GAAGATGGCTATCAGCTACCCCTTCAGTGCCTGGGCGTAACCCTTCTTGAAGACCAGAGGCTGAGTCATGCCGCTCTCGTCTGGAAGCTCTCTGATGTCTGAAAGTTCTCTGGCTTTCTTGACAAGCTGTCGCTTGCGGGTAAAAGGCATGATAGGCAACTCTTGATGAAGTGCGATGGTTGGGAAGAAGGAGCTGAGAGAAGAGTCCCTGCCCGTCCTGCGTATTCTTCCCTGCGGGTGCTGGTGGTGCTATCCACCCCTAAAGAGTGGCCAGGAGGAGGAAAGAAGGAGAGGAGTAAAACTGAAAATAAAAAGAAGGAACGTACGAAGGATCAAGAGGGGTGGCAGGTTGCGACCCGCTCAGACTTTGTGCGAAACTGACATTGCTCCCCAGTTGCCTTGTCGGGTTTTGTAGGTTTACACCTCCCATAGGCATGCCGTTGCCGAATGCCCATCCGGGACCGCTGGTTGCTGTTCCCGCATTCATTAACTCCTATTCTTCACATGCAGTCTTCCCTTTTGTTATAAGGTCTCCCGCTATACCTTGTTTCCCGTTTGGTAACCGGTTCGACACCGAGCGTCCGGGCTGCTGTTGCTGGCCTCCATAAGCAGGCATTCCCCGGACTGATTGCGGCACAACTCCTGCTTCCCGTCTAACGTCAGTGAAAGGTCCAGTGTCAGATAAAGCGAGTATAAAAGGCAGTGGAATATATATGCGCGCCATCTCAAACTTCGGACGACAAGGGTGCTGAGCATGGTATTCATGTCCGCAACCAAAGGACCGATCCCTAACCATGGAGGCAGAGGCAGGCGATGAACAAGGACAGTAGACAAAGCCATGAGGATGGGTGTCTTGTTGGCCTTCTGTAGAACCTAGCGGTCATGTTTTCCGGTCTTGTGTTTTTTTCTTCTTCTTTCTGCACAGGATGTCCAGGTGCAAACTCCCCCAACGACCCGCGAACTGTATCCCAGAAACGCATTGTGGAGGGTGCTGTACAATGTGCCCCAACCCGGCGCGATCGGACGAGAAGAAATGGAACCGTCGGCTCAGAGGTTGTCGTTTCGTGGTCGCGTAGCATGCGGAGGAAGGGAATTCCGCTGGCGCCGCTCAAAGACTAGAGTATAGCGGGGGTAGGGTATGTGGTGACCGGGAAATCGAGGTCGAGATGGACAGAGAGGTGCGAAACGGGCGAAATCCTACCTGGTCTATTCATGATCAAAGGCTCGAGAGCGATCGAGCTTATGGTGGGGCGGACAGATTGGGGGAGTGTAACTTCCGGTATCGCAGTTCTGGTAGACGTGTGTTCGAGTACGGCTTCCGTCGAAAGAGGGCGACTTGTAATAGAAGAGGCCCGAGGCTTGTACTGAGTGAGGTAGAGAACCGAAAGGCCAGCGACTTTGGAGTTTGGAGGCGCTTTCTCTGGATGGTGTTTGGAGGCTTTCCCACCAAGCCGACCTCCACATCGCCTTTCCTATTAGCCTGCTCACTGCAATGTGCTGTTCCCCACAACTGATGGCTGATAGGTACCAGACTCTAATTAAGATTCAAGGTACAGAGTACAACGTACTTATGATGTGGACCGTGCACACAACTGCCTTGGCCCCATTTACCTTAGGTAGTTCCCTCACCTCGCCTTATAACTTTGACATCTTCATCACAGTCTCGGCTACTATAACAAAGCCATATATTCCCGAATTACACACGTTAAGTCGTGTGAAGTACCTTATTATAAGCTGAAAAATCATGATCAATCATGGTATATGGATAGACCTAAGTCAGACAAACCTGAAGACTCACGCCCTAGAATCGATCCCCTTTGATATCAAAGCCACCGCCGAGACTCCCACATCTCCTCGAACTCACGATACATATACCATGGACTTAGCTACCTATTTTATGAAGCAAGCTCACGCGCAAGGCTCTGCTCCAAATCTACATTCGTCAACCATCGGCCGATGAGAATGATCTTCCCCTGTCGAGATGCATCTGTATTCCTCGACGACACAGGCGCGTCGATGATCTCAAAAATCTCCCGGACACCTTGAACGATCTTCTGACTTCCATCCTCAAATACCAAACGGCCCTTTGAACGATGGACCTCCAACAAGGTGTCCTGACCAGGCGCTCGTTGATCCCACAGGACGCTCCGCAACCACCTGTCGATCTTCTCCTCCTGATTTGGCGACAGGACCGGGACGGGTATCGATACCGTCGAGATTGTCTGGAGGGTTCTTGTCAGCCCATGATACTGCCCTGGGTCGCAGCGGATCGTAGTGAGCACTTACTGGATCCAGGTGGCTGTGCCCTTTGCGAGTAAATTCAACAGCGGATAGCTCGTCGTAGGCGTGGAGGTCCAGCAGAAACCCCTCCAACTGGGGGACTTCGCTATTCTGCGTGACGTGGATCTTGGCCAGTCCGTTGATGGACTCGATTCTCTCTCTTACGACCTGCAGCTCCTCGGGACTGACTAGATCTGACTTGTTTATGACGATGACATCGGCGTGAGAGATTTGAAGATGAGCTGTCGTCATCAATGGCCCGTGCTCGTGCTCGTCGTCATGCGGGCTTTCGTCGATTGTGGTCTTGTGCGTTGGGTCTTCGAGTTCGCGAAGAATATTCTTCGCATCGACCAGCGTCACGATCCCGTCGAGGTAAATGGTGCTGCCCAGACCATCATCCATCCAGAACAACGGCGCGAGGTTTCCCGGATCCGCGAGTCCCGTGGTCTCGAGTAAGATGTAGTCAAAGGCCCCTTTCTTTTCCATGAGGGACTCGATGGCACTGACACCCGTGTCCCTTTGGCCGGTTTCTCCGTCAGCACGGCTGTTTCAGGGCTTGAGGGTATAAACGAATAAATGAGTGAACAAATAAAACAAGAAGGGGAAGAAATGGAGTTGCCTCACTTGACCGAGCAGCATAAGCAGCCATTGCCGACTTCGAGCCATTCTTCAACCTGCTCGTTGTCCTTGCTGACCGTGAGGGACTTCTCGATATCCACAGCTGCCGAGATATCAAGTCAGGTATAAGTCACGCCTAGGTCACTTCTATTCTTACTTACAGTCGCCAAACTCTAGGACCATGTCAGCCGAACCCGTTTTCCTCACAGAAGTTTCCACACAGCTCAGATCCTGAGTGTACACATAGACTAACCGTTCATAACGACGGCAATTTTTTTTCCATGTTGAGCTGTCAAGATGTAATTGAGCAACGTAGTCTTCCCAGAACCGAGGTAGCCCGTTACTATAGTAAGCGGTACCTTAGGTCGTTTCTCCTCCGAGTCCTCGTGTGCTTCATCGTTGACTTCGGGAGCTGTCTGGATGAGCTCGGGCGGGGCATCATCATCGTCGAAGGTCATCTTTGCTTGGTGGCGGGCGAAACTCTGCCGAGGGACTATTGTTGATTCGATTCAGTACTACCTAACAGGACTCGGAATGGGTTCGAAAAATCAGAAATAAAGGCTGAGAACGAGAGCTTGTGAAATATGTTGAGACTTCAGTCCACTGTTTTACTCCTGTTCCATCGGTTTCTCAAGGTGAAGTTATCAACGTGAAGTTATCGACCAGAAGTACTTGATACTTACCTTCGTGCCTTGACAACTAAGGTACTTGAGTTTGCGTCGGCATTACTCAGGCTGACTAAGACAACGTGACTAATCGGATCCGGTACACGGTCTGGTCCCCTGGTTGGCGCCCTAGGCCGTTGAGCCACCCTCTCTCCGATTCGTACATCGCAATAATTTCATGTGGTGTTGTTCATTCCAACGGTCAACCGTTGCCCAAACAAGCAACGGCTTCCCGAAACTCAAACGCCTTCTACCTATTTTACAAAAAGACACTGGTCATTTCTGTCGAGTCTGGGATACTAGAGCTCTCTTAGAGCTCTATTCCCTCCCATCCCTACCATGACAATGACCCCGAGCTCTCCTAGATTACCGAGTCCTCCTCCGCCGGCCGAGGACCAGATCGGCCCTCAGTCGCCGGCCATGGGCACCGAAGCAGGCCGTCAAGCATCCCAGCTGGAGCAGGCGCTGCTCGATGCGAATTCAAAACGCCGCATTCACCCGGGCACCAAGGCGCACGACATGGCGGCCGGTCCGCCACTGATTCCTCTTAATGAAGTGCGTTTCTCTCCTCGTAGCCCCTTGTCTCCCTTCGTCTCCATGGCCATCAGCCCTATCACTGCTCTGATTTAACCTCATCGTCGATTCTGAACTCCCATCTTCTGTAAAATAACGCATCTTTCTCTCTAACAAAGGGCGTCCGTCCTCCCCCATACACAGCTCGATTCTGCATTCCAGCTCCAAGAACATCTCGCCGCCCTCCATTTCCACCACACCAAGGGCAACACCCAAGCGATTACCCGCGCGACGGCCATCCAGCTCGCCACGCCCCCCTTCGCCATCGACCGCACCCTCTGGCTCTACGAGCTCTGCCGCTTCCTCATAGCCCAGTGTAACTCCCTCATCGTCGGCTTCCTGTTCGACGCGCCCCCGTGCAGCGCCCACACGTGCCCGGAGATGCGCGCCTCGGAATGGCAGTTCCTCTGCGCCGTGCACGAGCAGCCCAAGAGCTGCTGCGCCATCGACTACTGCTGCCACACTCTCGACTGGGCCGCCAACGTCGTCACCGACCCCAAGATCTTCCCCAGCCGCTTCGTCGTCTCGTCCGACGCCCACAGCAAGAGCGTCGCCGTCAAGAACCTCGTCAACGTCTTTCGCCGCCTCCACCGTATCTTCGCCCACGCCTGGTTCCAGCACCGCGCCGTCTTCTGGAACGTCGAGAACCAGTCCGGCCTTTACGTCTTGTTCAAGACGGTCTGCGACATGTACGACCTGCTCCCCGCAGAGAACTACAAGCTGCCCCCCGAGGCGGAAGGGCTGGAGACTGCTGCTGCTGGTGCCGCTGCTGGTGCCGCTGCTGGTGCTGCTGCGGCTGCGGCTGCACATGACGGGGGCTTGCTTGAGGCCGGCGAGGCGAAGAAACCGATCCAGCCAGTTAGTATCGCGAAGCCTCCCCATCGTCAGCAGCAACAACTACAACAACAACAACAACAGCAACAACAACAACAACAACAGCAACAGCAGCCACCACAACAGCCACCGCAACCACAACAACAGCAGCAGCAGCAGCAGCAAGGGGGAGAGCTGGGTGACGACGATGGCCACCAGTCTCTCGGCAGGAACAACACCAGGAGACATATCCGAGCCAGTCCCTCGACGGGCAGTGCTGTGACGACTGTCATGGAAACCGACGAGGAGGACCACGACGTGACGAGAAAGCTGCAGAACATGCACATTTCAGCTCCGATGGCCGTGCAGGAGGAATACGAAGTCGCCGAGGTTCCCGTCATCGTGGAGCAGGGAATCATGGCCGATGCCTCACCGCAGGATGACTCGGCCGCTGGTGAGGAGGACGAGGTGAAGGAGGTGCAGCCAACAGCGTCCGAAGGCGATTCCCCTGCAAAGTTGACCGACGATGAGAATTCGGCCCAGGACGTTGAGAAGGGTGAAACGGGCGAAACCCCGGTCCCGGATGCGCCAGTGCCAGTTCTGGAACCCGAACCGGAATCAACCGCGGCGTCTTCGGCGGGACCTGGTCCCCAGGAGGAAGGGGACAGTGTCGGGGATAATACCGTCGTCCACGAGGAAGGGGTAGAAGGAACGGATGACACCGGGGTGGACCACCAGGATTTTGCCCAACCTTCTAGCACCGTCGACAAGCCTGAAGAAGCAGCGGGGGCAGTGGGGGCAGACGATGCCGTGCCCCCTGGCGAGGAGGCCGAGGGTTCGGACGAGATACGTCCAGCAGAGACTAATAGCACGGAGAAAGAAGATAAAGAAGAGAAGGAGAAGGAGAAGGAGAAGGAGAAGGAGAAGGAGAAGGAGAAGGAGAAGGAGAAGGAGAAGGAGAAGGAGAAGGAGAAGGAGAAGGAGAAGGAGGAGAAGGAGAAGGAGGAGGAGAAGGAGGAGGAGGAGAAGGAGGAGGAAAAGGAGAAGGAGGAGGAAAAGGAGAAGGAGGAGAGCTAGTGGTCAGTGTCGGCTTGAACATAAGTTGTGTACCTGTATATCATAATATGCATCAGGGAGAGTGCTAGATGTCGTGAATATGCGCTGTATTCGTATTGTGTGTCCAGGCCAAAACATAAGAGCCCGTGTATCTATGGCCATTGATACTAACTCTTGGCGAAGGAAGAGAAGATGGCTCCCTCGCCCAGTAGCCGTGAACATGTCGATTACGGCGCCATCACCCTGGCTTACCTACCATGGTACATTACTCGTTATTATTATTTCCAACTAATCACCAGAACGTACCCTTACGCGCCGGAAAGACGATAGACGACGTGCGCTATGAAGAAATATGTTTTGCACATCGTTGAGATAACTTTGCCTCGCCGAGATCACCACCAGCCCGTTTCCCCCCCTATTTGCTTTTCCCAAACAAAAAGTACATGGGGCCCCATGTATACACGCATATAAATTGTACATACACTCGTAAACACCGTCCTCATTTCAGAGGCGGCCTCCTCATTTCAGAATGCTTTCCCGCCCGAGGTTCAGGATACCGGGGCACAGGGAAGCAGAGGAGCCCCTGTCGATCGTAGAGAGAACAGGCCAAATATTCTTCACCACGAGTCGAAGAAAGCCGCGTGTTTCCCGGTTCCGGGTTGACCGCCGACCGATTTCACCCGATAAAGGGTCGACGACAGGTAAAGGCCACTCCCGCATGGTGATGGGCACACCATCTGTGACCATCGTCGTAACCCATCACTGCCGAACCTCTCTACCTCTCGCCCTCCCTCCCCCTCCCCGCGCCGCTTCAGCCGTCTCCTGTGTCGCTCATATCAAGCTTCGCAAAGATGTGGCGCACTTCCCTGAGGTTCTCCTGCTGGGCATTGATGGCAGCGGCATTGCGTTCGTCGGCGAGGCTTCTCACGGCCTTGAGGATGGGACTGTACCCTTCATCGTTGGGTAGCCACCATCGTGCACAGGAAGGTTCCCGAAACATCTCGCCCATCTTGACTCGTACGTTGGCCGGGTGGATGTATCTGAAAGAAAAGGGCATGTTAGCATTTGTGGCTCTGAGGCTGGGGCGTACAACGTTGGGGGGATGACCATTGCAATTAAGAAAAGGAAAAGTGAAGAGAGAGGGGGCACATGGCGCTCGGGTAAAAGAAAAGAAAAAAAAAGAAGAAGAAGAAACCTCACCCCTTCGATTCGATCAAGGCGAATTTGCGACGAAACCAATTGCTGTGCTTCTTATCCTTCGGCAGGAATAGCGCACTCATGGACGTGGTAGCTTGTGCCGCGATCAAGCTGCCCTTGGGGCTTCCGGGCCAGCGATCGATGAGCTCGACGCAGGCGCAGACGTTATAAGAGTAGTCGCGCAGATCGGCGTATGATTTCTCCCGATCCGTAGTGGGAGACTGGCACAGGTGCATGATGACCATGGACATCCAACCGACGATCAGTTTCGTGGTCGGGAACAGAGGCTCCCTGTAGAGGATCCCGGGGGTGTAGGGGTCGACAATGTCGGATTCGTCCCGCGGCGGCGCGCCGTGGCCGAAATCGGTCACCAGAAACGCCGGGTCGACCAGCTCGCGATCCCATTCTGCCCTCCAGTCCAAAAGACGCTGCAGGATGCGGCTGTGCTCGGCTTGGAAGGCTTCCGGTGAGATCTGGCCCCGACTTCCTCTTGCGTACAGCATGGACATCTCTCTCGAGAGGAGACGCACGAGGGCGGACTCTTTGTCGATCTTCCAATTCAGTCGAAGTTGGGGGTTGTCGCCGTTCAGTAGGATCTGCGTCTGGCAGTAGTCCACGTATTCGGTGAACCATTCGTGGGAGAGGGACGTCGGGAATCCACCCATGATCGCAATGAAGACATCGAAGCGGGCGTACCATGATACTGCCATTCTGCCCAGCACAGTTTCCATTGCCGACTTTGGAGTGAAAAGCGTTATGAGGAGCTCGTGTGCTGCTTTCTGGTGGCCCATTAAGTTGATCCAGTCCCCGAGATACTCCTTGTTTTTGTTCAGTCGTCGTCAGCCCTCTGCTTGCTTGACGAAGTAAAAGGGGGGGGGGCAGCGTAAAAATGAAATAAAACAATTAAGGCAGAGACTCACTTCAATGGTGGCAAGTTGTAATATGGTGAAGAGAGTGTGTATACTGGGCTTTTCTTTCCTCTTCAGGAATTCTATAAGCATGATGACACTCTTGTTGTAGTATTGGAGAAACTCGTGTATGTCGCCGTCCGGGTTGTGTTCGAGGGTATAGAGGTAGGCGGAGAAGCCCACCAGCGCATTCAGCAAGGATTCGCTCCCGAGAGCCAACTGCGGAAGCATGTTGCGAAAGAAGTCATCGCCGTCGAAGACGATACAGTAGTGATGATGTGTGATGTTGTGATAATAGTAGTCCATGTAGCGCTGCATGCTCGCGGGCAGATGAGACCAGTCGGCACGACTGCTAGGCTGGAAATTCGGCAGATCGGGGGCTGGCGGCGTGCTCGTCGAGTGGCCGACGCTGGTCCCGACCGAGGTCGCCGGCGAGCTCCTGTTCCCGTCGTGAGATGCGTGGGACGGGGTCTCGGACGCTTGGCGCGCGCCGTGTTTCTGGGTGTTCCGCGAAGACGATGCACTAGACGAAGGCCGCATGGAGACGGGTCCTTTCGAGGGCAGGGTGTCGTCATGTGAGCCCCCCTCCTCCTGGTCCGGTATGGTCTCCAAGGCGACGTCCGGCCCGGTGTCCTCTTCCAAGTCGTCTACTTCGAGAGACGAGCTTGGACTCGGCCGCTGCATAGGAACTGTCCCCCCCGTCCCTGCCGTCTCTTTGAGGCTAGAACTCTGAGATGATGCGCTTTTACTCGGCGGAGGATCTGGATAGATACATTCTCGATTCCCTTTTCGACATCCTGGGCATGGTCAACTTGAGCGGCCCTTGGGAAAAAAAAATCATATAGTTATTGAGGGGAGAGGTAGCCTACTTTCGCAGATTGGACGGGTCTCGTCACACTTGGAAAAAAAGAAAAAAAAAAAAGCGTCAGGGCCTGACAGGATGAGTTGGGAGGCATTCCAGCGAACTTACCTTGACTCTCCTGCTCCGACACATGAAGCACCCAGATCGAGTACGCCTATGCTTGACATGATCAATGCCCGGGGCGGATTTCCGTCGTACTTTGTGAGATTTCGACGGATTGAAAATCAGCGGCTCGTGGATGCCAGCAAGAAAGCCAGGTGCCTGGTAAGAAGAAGATGTTGCCGGGCCTGCTATGGATGACGACGACGACTGCACGACAGAAAATGGCGACGGATATGCCTCTGGTGGGATCTTGCTCGGGTTCTGGCCAGCGCCCGACATGGAGGCCAGGAAGTGGTGGTAGTAGTCACCCATGATGGGCACCCCGGGGTATATTCACTGGTGGCCCCAATTCTTTGCTTAACCAGTGACCGAACTTTTCTGAATCTGGAGGGGTTGTATGGACAACGGGTCCAATGGGGGGAAAGGAGGCACTGGTCTTTTGTTCCTTTCCTCTGGCGAGTGCGATTCCCGACGAGTTATGGCTCGAACGTAGCAAGAGTAGAGTAGAGCAGGTCGACAGAAGCTGAATCCAATGGCCACCCAAGGATGGATCCCTTTCGACCCTTCTAGCCAGGAATCTCTTCTGTGAGGTACAGATTACAGGGGTGCCTCGGTAGAATTGACGGTTTCCGTCAGGGGATAAAACAAAACGGACGAAAGAAAAAAATAAACAATAATAATAAATGGATAAAAAAGAGGTAAAAGAAAGAGCCCATCCAATGCGATGCGGGTGAATGGCGAGGGGAAAATGTTCCCCCCTCCAGGGTTGTAGCTTGGTTCGTGGCGCGAGGTCCCAAGACAGGTGCAGCAGCAGTACCGACGACTGGTTCGCACAGAGATGCGTTCGGCCAATGACAAGTGATTTCACCTGGTCAAGCCGAGTGCGAGGTGACGGTGTTGTGTTGGTGCACGGGGAAAGGGGGTGGGGGATACGAAAGTAGAGACAGTTAAAAGTGAGCGAGTGTTTTTGTGTTTTTGGCGACTGGGGTTGTTTGGACGGCCCCCAATGAGGGCGTCGAGAAGTAAATACTTCAATGCAAATCCTTTTCAGTTTACTGTCGCCAGGAAGTTCAAGCGACGACGACGACGAGTCGTGGGGGGGGGGGATAGAAGTCCCGTGTCGCCAAGGAGTTTCCACTCGCAGGTAACGACAGGAGAGTAGAACACGGTTGACAATCTGTCTGGAAAGATTAGCACTTTGTACTTTAGGAGTACGGGGGGTTGTGTGCGTGTGCGAGTGTCTATGTGTGTGTGTGTGTGTGTGTGTGTGTGTGTGTGTGTGTGTGTGTGTGTGGTGAGTAAGTGAGCGAGTGAGTGTGTGGAGATGTAGGATTCCGGAGAAGTTGATTCTCATGAACCATGAATCTTCTCTTCTTTGTTACTGTACGTTATGCCACGACATGTCCACATACCCTCGTACATGGAGCCCTAGGACGGGACGGCCAGTCTGCGCGGGATCCCCAGCAAACAAGCACGACTCGGGTGGTGGATGGCTACGACCTTGGCCAGCCAGATCCAGATTCTCTACCGCGCATATCTACACCAAAGACAAAAAAAGGGTGGAAATCAAAGGGAATAGGGGAGGCATGGGACGGGAAATGCAAGACGTAAGAGGAAATGAGCGAGGTCGAATAGAGAGGCTGAACTGCGGGCTTACCCAGATGCTTCCTTCTACGTGTACCGTGGACTGGGTTATGCGGAATGCAAAGGTAAATCCGTGCCGCAGGGCGTCAGGCGAAGGTGGAGATAAACTGCCGGGTGGTTTGGTAGAGGAGAAGAGCCGGTAAGTGAGCACTTCTTACAGCAAGGCCCAGCAAGTCCGGAGGGTTTGGCGGATTGGCGGGGTGGCCCAGTTCTTGGAAGTTGAGTGTTACCTGCAATGCACGTTGTAGGGTAGGTATGATGTCGAGGCCAGAGAGAGAGAGAGAGAGCGAGACACACACACACACACACACACACACACAGAGAGAGAGAGAGAGAGAGAGAGCTGCCTGAACTGGGGGTGTGCGGCGCGAAAGCAAGAAAACCCGCAAAATGCCGTCCGATGTAGGTATCCGTACAAGCAGGGATATGATCACTTCCGTTAGGACATACATAACTGTAACTGAAGTATTCACCGGTCCGGAGTACGCGCAAGTCGATAAAGTAGGAGTTTGATTTGCTAACTAACGAGGCACACATCGCGGGACGAAGCGCTTCTCGAAGCCCTATCCCCGGGATATGGGGAAGCAAAGTGATGGGTCGGTCTCGTCGCAGGTTGCAGGTCCGCAGGGCACAAGAGTATATGTAAGAGCAGGGAGCAAGGGAGCGAGGAGGGGGTAGTGGTGGGAGGGTGACCGAATTGGCAATTGAAGCAGATAGCCACTGCGAGCAAAAGTCCTTGAGATTCGCCGAGAATGAGGCTAATAACGAATCAGTACCTAGTTAGCAGGAGGCCATCCATTCATGCGCGGGGCTGTCCCAAGATGAAGATGGAAGAGAAAGGGAAAGAAAGCAAGAGGGGGATCGATATCTCTGTGCTGCCTCCACACCGCTCATGAACAACGCAACGCCATTCCTAGAAAGTAAAGAACCACGAGAGTGTCAAGCAGAGAACAGGTAGAGACCCGCATCCCGTATGTATAAGACAGGTAGGTGCTCCATACCTTATGTACGTTATAAGTGTAGAAAAAGTTTAGCGTGAAGCATCACCAGGGTGAGAGAGGTGCTAGTGGAGGCGTGTTTCTGGCTGGTGTTAGGGAGGGGGGGGGGGGGTTTGTTAGGGGAGGGAATTTGCTGGGCAACAAAGTTACAACTGACGGAAAAGGGGGGGCATGCTCCAGGTTTCCTTTCTAGACCTCCCAGTAGGGACCACTAGTGCCATGCAGCGCGTCTTGGGATCACCATGGCTCGAGCTGCTAATACGCTAATACATAGCTGGAAGAGAGCGGCGTGGCGTTCCTGGGTGGGTTACAGCAGGGGTGGGTGCTCTGCGACCGACTACACTGGCATGGGGGACGGTTTGGCGTTAACGTGCCTTGGCAGATGCGAGGATCGTCCTCTCGCCCGCGCAAACGGCGCAGCTTACAACGTTAAGACGGGATAAATGCCAAGTATTCGAGAGAGAGGCGAAGAGGCGACAGAACCCTCTTCTACCGCATCTACCGTATCTCCCACATCTACCGCATCTACCGCATGATGCGTTGTTTCTGCCGTTCCTGGGCACAGGAGGAAACAGTTGTAATTCGCCCAAGGATGAATGTATGACGGAAATCGAATCACCGAGGGGTCAACCTCTGTTACGAGGGGATGGTGCATACCTATGTATGTACGTACTCCATACGCCCCTTGAGTTCGTACTGGATCTGGATCTATTTTGGGTCACCGGCCGAGAAGATGGATGCATCGACCTCGACCTCTGTGGGGGTCGAATAGTTAACCCGTGCGGCTGACCGGTCGGGATTCTTATAATTAGTGTGTGTGCGCGAGTCAGTGTTCGTGTGTGTAGATGTGTGTGTAGATGTCATGCGTCGGTCCGTAACGATCCAAGGAGCAAGACCCTAATAACCAGGAGAATTCGAGATCGACTAGCTACATAGACTAGGTACCTTATATAACTTTCTATCCGTATAACGGATGCCGGATATCGGGAGATACCAAAGGTAAGGTAGGTAAGGTAGGTAAGGTAGGTAAGGTAGGTAAGGTAGGTAAGGTAGGTAAGGTAGGTAAGGTAGGTAAAGTACAGTATACTCTGTCCGGATAATTCGTTGGTGAAACCTGGGGGAAAGTAAGACATTGCAGTGGATAGGGTCAATATACACGTGTGTACGAAGGTAAAAAGGAAGAAAAGGGGGGAAATGTGCGGAAGACAATAGAGGCGTATGTACAGTTGTAGCTAAGCTAAGGTACCTTACCTTAGGTAAGGTAGGTACCTTTAGGTACGGATAAGCACACTCGGACTATTCCATCCACAAGTCCATCCGCCACGGAAAAGGAAACCGGAGCCCCGGACCTGGCCCGAGCTCCGCATACCTTATGGTAACGGAAATCAACGAAATCAGCGGGGTTTGTCCGTATTAGATACCCGCCTTCATAGGGGGTTACAGGGGTTCCACGAACCCGGCACGCCATCATGCCCACCCTGTCAAGCCGTCAAGCGGTATTTTCTCGCTCCCCTCCCGTTGGCTGCTGGCATATCAAGGATCGACTCCGCACATTTTAGGGGGAGGGAGATCTTCGAGGTAACGTGCCCGTCCGTTAATTTCAACGTGGCTTCTGGGCTTATGTAATGCCGACATGGAAAGACGCCGCCTGATACCCTTACCTGATTTGGCCTTTCAGGTACGTCTGCGTTAGGCACAATCCTTGTAGTCTACATACACTAAATTGTGGCGGCGTGAATACCGGAGCAAGGTCGGACTGGCGTAGGTACCCAGTTTCCCCTCTGGTGACACTTCCCCGCCCACTAATAAGGTAACTGCTGCACCGAGCTACTGTAGGTAAGATGGGGCCACCAAGCAGTAGATCCGTAAGCGTGTCTCCCTAAGGTACCTTCAGGTAGGTAGCTACGGATATCCGCACCACCAACTCCGTATAAGACCTCGGGCACTTGGTTCGGACGTGGGACCCGAAAGACGCCGATGGACGAGTTATTAACATGAACAGCTTAGAATTGAGTCTTTCATGGTGCGGAATGGTACGGAATGTGCTTCCCTAGGTTCCGCCTGCATAAAGGCCCCGGTTCCAGAGTTGAATTGCTCCATTTTCGCCAATAATACTCATACCTATCAGGCATGGATACTGCAGGCAGCGCCCTTCTTGTTCGATGCCCTTGTGGACGGCGTACATACAACGTACAGCGTAGGTAATGGCACTTTTGCGGTCTGTAACCCTGTCTACTCCGTGCCGGCTATGCCGCCAGTGCGAGATACATAGGGTGGGGGTATGGTCGTATGGTCGCCGCCTCAGCGCCGAATCAACCCGGACAGGATCAACAGAGAGGAGACGGGATATGATCTGCAAATATCCATCCAGCCAGCCGCACAGCACCCGGTGTTCTGACTATCCCCGTCGCCTTCGTCCAATCACATCGGCCCGATCGGACGGATGCCACGAGGCATGCCGCCTCCAACGTCTGCGAGATGCGCCAGATGCGCCAGATGCGCCCATCATCACATGGCGTACCACACCGCAGCGAGTGACTGGATTGGACTCGGCCAAAATCTTGTCTTACCTAGAACCACGCACTTTCTGTCACATCTGCCCACCCCCCCAATTCTTCGGGCCTCGTCACGTTTCTATTTTAAAAGTTACTGATACCGATGGAAAAGATTGAAATCACAATTAGCTAAGACGAAAAGACTCGTTGTTCCGGATGTTTGGCCCCGATCGGCCTTCACGTTCACACTCATGTTCCTACTCAACCATATCCCATATGGTATGTCTACGTAATTACTCGAGCCCCACGGGTTGCATGAATAGGGGGTCTGTTACCTCCTGCTTTCTCGCATGAACTCATTCCAAGCAACCAGATGACACGGATCAAGCCCGTAAGGATGTCTCACGGCCAGTTTTCTTCACCCTTGACCCCGGCTTGATCCAACTTCATGCGTATCCATCCAGAGTACGTGTACATACAGCGTAGCTTGCTTTGTGTCCATGTACGTGTAAAAGCGGAATGAGAGCGGAAACATAAGCAGCAACGTAAGAGTCCATGCAGTGAACACCACAGAACCAGCCTGGGGATTCTACTAGTAACTACAACGTACTAGTAGAACAATACCCCATGCTGTCTGTCGGCACGGCATCTCCAGGGATATCGCTCCTTTCGTTAGAGCCTCCGACGACCGACGTCAAGGCCGAGAGCAGCTTTGCACCTGTAGCTCGGTCTGGCTGGCTCAGTGACTGTGCTCGTCCGATGTCCGCGGGCGGCAATGCACGCTGCAGAGTGATCGAGTGCATGAATCAATAAGGGTACGGGTTGTTATCCATTGTAAGGAGCCCGCTCACCAATCATGTTCTGTGAGCCGACTCTATCTGCATCCCCCGGTGTGGTAACCTCCCATCCAGCCAAGGCTGACTTGTGGGGAGATGCCATCGGAGACCGGTTTAGACTCGAGAGCAAGATCAGCTGCCCGGGACAGGGAAATCCGGCTGACGGCAGGCAAGCTGCTGGATATGACGATCAACTCGGGGTCATCTCATCGCATGAAGACACAACCTTGAAGGTCCCCGAGACTGATTTCATGCATCGCCGAGTCAATGTCCATTCCGCCCTCCTATACGCAGATGATCCTCCAACACGCTTCTTTCTGGGATCCCTGACCTCACAAACACAAAGCCTTGTCAGTTAGTTTCAATCAAGTATACTGGTCTATAACTGCCATTGGCACTAGGCGTTTCCCAAAGCATAGGAAAATCTGTCATCCTTCCAATTTTCTTGGAACAGATCGCAGTCGCCGGTGATACTAGAGCACTTGGTACGGAGTAGATGGAGATGTTTTTCGCAGACAGAAGAAGCCTCATCGACCACCTGGAGACCTCAGGCTCCGCACAATATCACATGACCTTTAAGAGACCCCACACTTTCTTTGTCGTTGTTTGGTGGGGCTCACCGACCAATCTCCATAAAGAAATGCTGACAAATACTGGGAACTGAGTAAGCAGTAAATACATCGACATACCGTCCTCGGGCAAGACGGTGAGTGTGAACGGTGCCTGTCAGGTAGTGAATCGCTCGCCCTTAAACTCCATTCTTCGCTCACCACCTACGCCTACAAGGGATGACGGCCGCCGAGACTCTGTCAAGCGGTCCTGGCGGCAGCTTAGCACAGGCCGACCCAAGTCTGTACGCCGCCTTCTTCCTCCTCCCAATCATCACCGTCCTCGGCTTCATCATCCCCTTCCTCTACCTGTTCCCCCCAGTCCCTGCCACCAAGGCCGACGCCCTGGAACGGACTCATACCCGTCTGGGCCTTACAGAAGAGGAGAGCAACCTCAGGGACCAGTTTGCGGCCCGGCACCACGGTGATAGTTCGGGCCACGGAAAGCCGAAGGTCCAGGCGCTATGCATCTACCCCGTGAAATCGTGCAAAGGCATTGAGATCACCCGCTCCCGCGTACTGCCCAGCGGTCTCGAGTTCGACCGCCTGTACACCTTTGCGCAGCTTCGGAGCAAGTTTCCCCTCCCCGCTAACCCCACCGAGGGCGGAGCCGTAAAGGAAGAGGAGAAGAAGGCGGACATGGCGGACAAGGCGGACAAGGGGGGCGAGATCCACTCGTGGGAGTTCATCACGCAGCGTCAGTTCGGCCTGCTGGCCAACGTCAAGGTGGACGTCTGGGTCCCGGATCCGGCTAAACAGAAAACCCGTCCGGCCGAGGCACAGAGCGAAGGATGGGACGAGGAGGCGTGGATTGTTCTCCGGTTTCCCTGGCGTGATGCTGGTCTGAGAGGCTTCCTGTCCCTCGTGGCGGCCAAGATAGCACGGGGGTGGGATGCCGTCCCGGAGAAGGAGGTCCTGGTCCCCGCCGGTTTCCCTTCGGAAGCGGATATCAAGGCGAGAGGGTACAAGTATGAGGAAGTGCGCATCTGGAGGGACACCGTTGAGGCGTTGAATTTGGGCCGGGAGCTGCCGGAAGAGTTGAGGTTCTATTTGGGTGTTAGTAACCCATTAGGTCTTTTCATGATCGACCCCGGAAGGCAAAGAGATGTATACCGTTGCGCGCCGAGGCGGGAGCAGGCCGGATACCAGCCTATTGTTGGCTTCCAGGATGCTGTATGTTGGATGGCTTGCTCACAGTCCTTTTCTTTTCCTATCCGAGTTTCCTCTCTCTCTCTCTCTCTCTCGTGCAATAGATGGCAAGCCGCGACTGACCAGACAAATACGCAGTATCCACTTCATCTGATGAGCTTGAGCAGCTTCCAAGACTTTGACTCCATGGTTGCCAAGGACGAGGATATCAAACGGCTTGACATCAGCCGCTTTCGAGCCAACATCATAAGTACGGTTGACCTCTCTGCACGCTTTCGCAGAAAAGGGGGCACAATGCTAACTTTTATGTGGTTTAGCCTCCGGAGTCCCAGCATATGAAGAGGAGAAGTGGAAGTCGATCCGTCTCAACCCGGGATCCTCGAGCCTCAGCAACGTCGCTGATTTCCACGTTTCCTGTCGCACCGTCCGCTGCAAGCTGCCCAACGTCGACCCGGCTACCGGTATGCGACACCCCGCCGAGCCGGACAGGTCGCTGCGGAAACATCGCAATGTCGATGCTGGAGCGCCATTGTTGGGATGCCTAGGGATGCAGATGTGTCCGCTATTCGAGGATGCAGAAGATGCCCAGAGTGAGGATTTGCGGACCTGGGTAGAGGTCGGCATGGACATCGACGTCCTGGCGCAGGGCGAACACCTCTACATCAAGCAGTGAGAAATAGACCTGGGCGACTGAGCATGCGGTGACATGCGCTGCTAAAGAGTAGTAGTTGGGGTAGGAGATTAAACTCAAATATCAAAATCATCTGCAAAAAAATAGGGGGATATCAAGCTCATTAAGACAACCCCTAGTCATTATTCCCGTGATCATTTCAGCCTTCTAGCCAGCCAGCCAGCCAGCCATCCAGTCCTTCCTTTGCCGAACACGCTATCCCACCCACTCATACCATATTGTCCCCCCTGCGATGCTTAGAGACACTTTAAACACATATACAGACATAAACGCGTCATCGTCACCTCAGGTCTGCAGGCGTTAACGCCTGCACCATGCTTGTGCCTTCGCTAAACCGGGTGCGGAAAATGCGGTTCGCGTTCTGGAACATGCCGTCCTTCAGACTGACGACGATGAACTGCGAGCCCTTGAACCGCGTCTTAATGAGCCGGCCAATGTTCTGGGTGTGTGACAGGTCCAATGCGGCGTCAACCTCGTCGAGGATGTACATGGGTGCTGGCTTGAATTGAAGCAGAGCCATGATCAGCGACAAGGCGATGAGTGATCTTTGTTACACCTTTTGTTAGTCAAGCCTCGAGAGGGATGTATATGAAAGGAAAAAAGAAAAAGAAAAAAGGAAAAACAAAGGGGAGACGGGTTGAAGGATGCATACCTCTGACCACCAGACAATTCAGTCAAGCTCTCCTTCCACACCTTGCCCAGCGAAACCTTGACTTCCAGGCCGTCACTGATGGTTTTCCCCTCAGGGGGATCAAGCTTGGCAAAGCTACCCGGCAACAGCTCGTTGAAGATCTGCCCAAAGTCTCCGTTGACCTTCTCCCACGTCTGTTGCAAGGCCTTCTTCTTGTAGTCGTCGAGGCTGACAATGGTCTCCTCAATCTTGCGCTTGTCGCGAATGACCGTCTTCATCATGTGCTTGAGCGAGACCTCCTTCTTCTCGACGCTGTCGATCATATTCATCACCTTGGGGTTGATCTTCTTCTTCATGCCTTGGAACCGGTCGGTCAGGTTGCGCAGCGTCGCCCTGCACCCGCCGATGTTCTGCCCCTTGAAGTCGTACAACGTCCCGGGGCGCCCAAAGTTGCCCTTCTCCTCCGCGATCCACTCGTACTCCTGCTCCAGGTGCCCCACGGACTGCGAGGCCGACTGCTGTTCCTTGTGGAACCGCTCGACCTGGTGCACGAGCTTCTGCATCTCGAGGCCTTCCTCGGCGATGCGCGCGCTCTTGGAACGCTTCGCTTCCTCTAGCGAGCGGAGCTCGTCGTCGAATCCGTGCAGCTTCGCCCTCTCGTCGTCCAGTTCGGCCTGCACCGCGTCGTGTTTGTCCTTGAGCTGGGCCTGCTGCCTGACGAGATCTTTGATGTCTTGTTCCTGCGCCTTGATGGCGACTTGGACCTCCTGGAGCTGTTCCCTGGCCGCGGCAAGGTCTCCGGCAACCTGCTCCGAGTCGAGCTGGGCGCCTTGCAGTTCCTTCTGCAGCGTCTTTATGGAAGTCGCGCTTTGGTTCAGCTTCGCCCGTAGCTTGTCGAGGGTTGTTTGCAGCTCAACCAGCTTTGCGTCCTTGTTGTTATCGAAGTCTTTCATGTCCTTCTCGATACGCTTCTCATCGGCAACGGCTTCCGCATGCCTCTTCCGTGCCTCCGTAATGTCGATCTTGAGTTGCGAGACGGTCTCCTTCATTGTCTCTACTTCCTGGATGATCGAAGACGACGAGTTACCGCTGATTTGTTCCTCGGCCAGCTTGATCTCGTGGCTCTTGAGGTCAAGCTCCTGTTTTATTTTCCGCGCATGGTCGAGCTTGGACTTCTCCTGGGCAATGGTAGCCTGGACTTCCTTCAAGGCCGCTTCGGCCTGGTTGAGCTGCCGGGTTAGCTCATTGAGCTGCTGTAAGGTCACCAGCATGCCGCTGGAGGTCGGCGCACTCCCGCCTGACAACGTCCCTGAAGGGTCATATGCGTCGCCTTCCAGGGTGATGCTTCTCATCCGGACATTGGGGTCGAATGTAACCTTCTTGGCCGTATCGGCGTCGGCGCAGACCAGAGTGTTGCCGAAAACGTACTCCATGGCTGCAGACACCTCCTCATCGTAGCCCACGAGAGACAACGCGAGGTCAACCTTGCCTGGTGCAATGCGCTGCGCCGTCGCAATTGTCTGCGCCGATGCCTTGAAAGCCGCGATCTTGTTGAGAGGGATGATGGTGACTCGCTTACGGAGCTTGCCGCCTTTGAGAAGTTGCGTGCCTGTAACCTCTGTGTCCACCACGACGTTGTAGAGCCGGCCGCCGGCACAGATCTCCAGCGCGGTCCCCGCCTTGGTGTGCTCCTTGCCGAGGGTAAAAAGCTGAGCGACCAGACCTTTAACTTTGGATCTGTCAAAGTTGGGCACCGGGTCCGCGTAGTTGAAGTCGATATTGGCAACTTTCCTCTTCAAAACGTCGGATTCTTGTCGCAAGGTCCGGGTCTGTTGCTGAAGCGAAGATTGCTGATGGTATAGATCTTCTTCTTGGCCAGGTTGGAAGCCCATTCTGCCCAGCTCCTTCTCGAGCTTTTGCTGTTGTGCCCGCAAACCCTCGAGGTCTTTGAGGAGCCCGGCGTTCTGTTCTTTGGCTTTCCTCGCACGGGGCTCTTCCTCTTTGAGCCGCTTCTCGAGGTGAGTAATTTTCATTTTCGCTTGTTCTTGCTCTGTGACTGCTGCCGTGGCGCGGTTCCGGGCATCCTGAAGTTGTCCCTGATAGCCGCTGTCTTGACCGTCTTTGGAAGCGACGCCAGTTTGCAACGATTGGAGCAGCTCCTCCTTCGCTTCGGCCTCTTCCCTCTGCTTCTCAACCTGCTCCTTGGCTGTGTCGTACTTGGCCTTGGTCTTCTCGTACGCTTTCGTCTTGTCTTGGAGCGATGTCTCCAGCTCGGAGACCGTCTTCTCAACGGCAGACTTCTTCTCTTCCTCCTCGGCAAGACTGGACTTTTTGAGATCCATCTGCGTGGCGAGCCGTACGAGCTCGTTCGAATGCTTCTTGACCGCATCTTCGAGTGCCTGGGCCTTGCCGCCCTTTTTGAGCTCCTTGTCCCGTTGCGCACGCACTCTCTCCATGTCTTCCTCCAGATGGGAGATTTCGCTCTTCAGACGTGCCACGGAGTGCTCGAGATCTTTCTTGCGTTGCTTCTTGCCGTCTAGGTCGGCGGCGGATTGCGCGAGTTGCTCTTGGCTCTTGACGTAGTCATGGGCGACCACAACCCTCGTCAGCCGTTCCATGTCGTTTTGTGTCTGTTGGAAATCGAGAAATGCGCGTTTCTCTGTCCTCAGCTTCTCCAGCTTCGGCTCGATCTCGTCTCGAAGCAGTTCTGTGATCTCCTGAAGCTTCATCTCCTTCTTTGCCATGGTCTTAAGCGCCTTGTCGCGCCGATCCTCAAACATCCTTGTGCCGGCCGCCTCCTCGATCATGGACAAAACCTCGACGGGCTTCATGTTCAGGACTTTGGTGATTCTGCCTTGCATGATGAGGAAGTTGGGATTGTTGATGTTGAGCTGTACCGACTGAAACAGGTTCTGTACCGTCTGTTGCTGCGCCCTATGCCCGTTGATTAGGTACTTTGACGTCCCGCCCAGGACGATTTGTCGAGTCACACTGATTGTTGCATATTCCTCGAAGCCGATGGGTGATTTCTTCTTGTCCCGATTATCAAATACGATGGTAACACTCGCTTTCGTCACGCCGGCTTGTCCGCGCTTGTATATAAGGTCCTAGCTTCTCGTTCAGCGCGCGTTTCCTCTGGACAACAAGCTCCATGCAGGGCGTGCTCCATACCTGTAGGTTTTGCGCTCTCACTGTCGACATGTTGGTAATGCCCAAAACAAAACAGATGGCGTCGAGAATGTTTGACTTCCCCGAGCCATTGAGGCCGGTGATGGAGTTGAAACTCTCGTCCCTGTGGTTCTATGAGCGCCGTTCGTTCCGAGAGGATCTGTCGGTGTGTTTACTTACCATCCCGAAATCACCGTCCGGACGGCATACGACTTGAAGCCCTGTAAGACTGTCAGTACAGGAAAAGCAAAACCTTAGAAGAAGTGAGATCGGGGACTTACGTCTATTATGACCTCGATAACCCTCATGCTGCTCGCGTTAGTCGTCACCCTGCTCTTGTTGCTGTCGTTCGTTTAATATATAGGAACGAACAACGCGACGAAAGTAAACAATGCGCAGTTCCCCCGGTTGCGATAAGCTGCTTATCGGCATTATTCCCCCACCTAAGGTACAAAGGTACGGTAATACGTAGCACAGATGCCTTACCTAACACGAAGAGTCGCGAGGGATACATCACGTGATACAGAGCTCTTGGCGCAACGTACGTGGACGGATCGGACAGGGAAACGGGACGCGCTTGTCCTAATTGGGAGCAACCAAAACAAAGCACAGCGGACCGGACCTCGATCCTGGATTCCCACCGACAACCTGAACTTCGTGGCTCAGCTCTTCGCGTTGGACAGCCCTCCCTTCCCGACACGCCTCCATTTACTACGAATACTATTTGGCGCTTCGACTTTGATGACCACACGGCCTTTTTCTTACGAATTCATAGCGTTATAACGCAGTTTTGCGCGTCCCTGAACAATTGCTAAGCAATGGCGGCGATGCGAGGATCACGCGTTCCCGTCGGGTCAGCGACGTGGATCGCGGATGAGCGAGCTTCTGCTTTGAGCTTTGCTCAGGCCGAGGTTCAGGAGTTTGCCTTTTCTGCTCGTAACGATATCGACTGGCTGAACGAACATATGGCCGACGTCTTCAATGAGAACCAAATGTAAGCCTCCAGGCTCAAACCTCCCTGTCTGTAGCAAACCGGGCGTTGCTGATATATACTACACAGTAACGTTGCCGAAATATTCAAAACACCCGGGAAACTACGAGGCAAGACCCCTCGAACTGCCCGGAAACTGAACAATGGAGAGGTTCGCGTTGTAAGTTCGGTGGATGCTGTCTACTCTGCCGACGCGGCTTTCCTAATGACTTCCAGCCCTTATCGGACGTCTTTTCATCCGCCTCGAAGGCAGCTCCCACCCCATTTGCCCAACAGCTTAATCGGTTGCAATCACCAAGGCCTCAGGTCTCCGCCTCCAGAACCCCTCTTGCTGCCAGAAATGCCTCACCATTGAAACTGCTTCAATCTCCCCGCCCACAGCCGTCGAAACATGTCGTGCTCCCAGCGGACTCAGGCTACTACGGAAGCCAATCACAAGAAGTCATTGATGGTGACATCTCAACGCAGCCCATGCAGACCTATAGTCCGTCTCGATTGGGTCATGGCGACTACAACGATGGGATTCTGGAAGATGAACCTGTCGTCCAGCAAAGTCCGACCGTCACAAGGACTATGCAGTCCCCCACTAGGACATTCCAAACCGCGAGGGAGGAGCAGACGACCCGTGCAGTTCACGGAGCTTCCCAGGAGCCACATTCAACAACACCCAACACGTCACCGGTCCGAAACCCGTTGCAGGAAATCCCAACATATCCGATCATGTCGCCCCAAAAAGCCCGCCCTGGACATGATTCTTCCCCCAAGAAATCGTCGCCTCTTAAGCCCATTCTCTCACGACCTCAAGAGGAACAGGCACCTGACACTGCGGCAGAAACGCAAGGCGACGACGCAGACGAAGCAAGGTCAATGTCTGAAGGCTCGAGCCCTATTCGTCCAGTTGTTCGGAAAAGTAGCCTCAACTTTGCTTCTCTCCCCGCCCGTGAGCCCCTGACTAGTAAGAGGAGTTTGGGACAACGTCAGTCGAGGACCAGCTACGATAACCGGACCAGCTATTTCGGGCGACACACTGGAGGGAAGAGCTTGGGCAACGTCAGCCTGCACCCTGAGTCGGACGACGATGATGACTTTGATGATGCGATGGACATTGACGGCAAAGGTTCCGCCGCGCAGGACCCTACCATTACAGGTGGGTTTGCAGATACGCACAACAAGGCCTATACCCAGAGGCTGCAAGACCAAATCAGTCTGCTTGGGAAGTCACAGCCCAACGCCGGCAGACAGTCCAGGTCTGTCCACAGTTCCACGGCATCCCAACAGCCCGCTCAGGGCACCGTATTGCAGTCTGCCCAAGAAGGCGAGCCGTCTCCTGCCCGATCCCCAGTTCGATCTCCGATTCGATCGCCGATTCGATCCCCGGACAAGATGGACGTGGCCCCTCGGACGCCTGGTGCATTCCCTGAAGATGACGAGGAGGGGGATTGGATTGCTCCTCCGGCCGTGCCGGAGAAGGATGTGATTCGACCCAGTCCGCTGCCTACATTGGCCAAGAGCTACTCGGCAGACATCATGGAGGGTGTACACGGCATGACCACGGTTGGAGGAGCTGAGTTTGTTTTGCCTAAGCAGCGACAGCTTGACACGCGGCTTCCTTCCCCCCAGCGCCCACAAATGATCCCTGACCGGGCGACCGGCACTCCCGGCCATGGGAAATCAGCTTCCGTCTCTGTGCTACCCAGCCAGGCATCGGTCCACCGCGTCGGGACAGAATCTCCCCAGAAAGGGATCTCTGTTTCCAACCCGACGCTGGCATCGGGGTCGGGGGTGGATCGTCCCGCAACGCCGAAATCCCCGTCACGTGTTTTCCGCGACAGCCCGCTGAAGCAAGTTAAGAACAAGCTGTCCTCCATTATCAAGAGTTCCCGAGGGCTCCTGGCCAGCAGTGCTGCGATTAGCGCCGAGGGCAAGTCGTCTATTCTATCGCCCTCGACGACGCGACTCGCGCAGTTGATGAATCCGTCAACGGATTCGATCTCAAAGCAGAGTACTCGCCCGGAATCTTTATACCCAACTCTATCTCAACGGATAGCTCCAGATGCGCAGACCCTCGCGTCCATGACTAGTACCGGAAGTCCAACTCGACCCATTGCCAAACGGACGAGGTCTTCCGCCGAACGAGAAAAGGAGGAGAAACGCAAGGAAAAGGAAGCTCAGAAGGAAGCCCGGTTGATGGCCGAACAGATGGGAAAGCTGGAGAAGGTGCGGCAGAAGGAGCGCGAGAAGGCTAGGGATTTCAGCAAGGAACTGGAGAAGAAAGCCGCAGCCCAGAGGGAGCAGGAGAAGCAGGAAAAGCAGGCACCACCGATTCAGACTCCTGTTGCGAAAGACAATCGGGCGTCGAGAATGAGCCCTCGGAAAGTCAAGGGCCCCGGCGCCGGACCTGCAACGACACACGAGGATGCGGATGTGGAGATGGTAGACGTCCAGTCGTCCATGCCACCCCCGTCCGTTCCTCGCTCGACAGGCCCCAGCCAGGCCACCCGCGGGCGAGAGGTTCGACGCCCAGTCAAGCCACCGGTCCAGTCTGCCGTCAAGTCGAAGCAAGCGCCCACAGTCATCCGAGTCAACACGGGGTCACAGCACTCGCAGTTTCACCCGTCCACGAGCGCTCTGTCGTCCAACCTGCATGACACTCTTGGGCCTGCTCAGCCTCAACAGCAGCTCAAGAGCAAGGCCAGCCAAGCTTCATTGCACAACAAGCCGTCGCTGCAGAGTCTCAAGAGCTCGGTCTCCTCATCTGGACGGCCCAAAGCGCTCGAGCTAGCGGCGAAACGAAAAGAGCAGGAAGAGAAGGAAGCGCAACGCAAGCGGGAGGCGAAGATGGAAATTGAGAGGAAACGCGCGGCCATTCAGGAAGAGGAAAAGAAGCAAGAATTACAGAGGCGCCAGGAAGCAGAGCGGCAAAAGGAGAAGGAGCGAGAGACGGCGGCAGCACAGGCTGAGGCCAGGAAGAAGGCGGCCATCGAGCGTGCCAAGCAGACAAGGGCGCCTCCTCCTGCGGTACGGTCTCAGCCCAATGGGCCGCCGGATTATGCGTCCACGCAGCAGGACAGAGCGGCCCAACGCGCAGACGGACCTCCTCGCCCGCCCTCTCGCGCGACGATGACGAACCAGCGGTCTCAGGAGGACGCCGGTCGACCGGTCAATGCTGTCCTGTCTCACGGCGCCAAGGTCCCACCGAAGAGACCGCTTCCACAGGAAGGTAGCGACCGTTCGTCCCGGAACCCGCAGGCCAGGAATGGACCCAGTTACCAAGCCAAAGATGCCAAGCGGCGGCGAACGAGCGACGACTTTCTGGATGAGCTGGACATGGAGAGCCAGCCGCCCAATATCAAAGGCCCACCCGTACGTCCCTCAGGAGGGCTCAAGAAGGTACGTTCGATACGTCTCAAGTTGCCTTGGGGGGGGGTTAACTAGACGAGGAGAAAAACTAACACCGCGAATGCAGGATGTGCCGTCGAAAGTACCGTTCGGCAGTGGATACTCTACTATCCCATCCCAGAGCTCCTCCCGCGACCTGTTCAAGGCGACGGTCACGGCTCAGCACCACAGCGCGATCAAGGCTACGCCTCCCGTGGACATGTCGCAGTTCTCCAAGGGGGCCATCCCGTTCGCACCGAACCCCAACGGCGGCGGCGGCGGCGGGCCAGCACACAAGACGCCTGCCAGGACGGCGGGCATGCCCCCGGGCAAGTCGACGGGCAAGACCGGCACCCGGTCGTCGCCCCGGTTCCAGAACGGCGAGTCGATCGAGCTCCCCGAGATCCAGACGGACGACGAGGACGAGGACGAGGACGACGCGCCCCTGGGAGCGGCGGCCTGGGCTGATTCCCCGGATCTACGGCGGGCACTCATGCAGCAGGAGACGGTGGACCCGGCGCTGATTTTCGGGCCGCCGGCGCCGCTGAACATGGAGGAGGTGTTCAGCAAGAGCAAGGACAGGTGGCACAAGTTCCGGGCGCGCACGTCGAGCGCCAACTGGAGCGGACCCGACCGGCTTACGGAGGAGGAGGTCCAGCGCGATTTGGCGGCGAGGGACAAGCTGAGGAAGGAAGGCGGGTGGTCTTATGAGATGAGCAAGGACTTGGTGTGATGGGGGGGGGGAGGATGAAGAACCGCGGGGTTATCCGTTACTCGGTACTGCTCTGCTTATGCCCTATATTACTTTGGAAAAGGGGGGGAACAAGGGGGAGGGATTCGGCGTATCAAGGGTGTTGTAGAGTGACGACCACTCTTAAAGAGAGGATATTGCGTTTGCTGCGTGTGTCTTGGTATTTTCGGTATCTTGATTTTTGGAGGCGTTATGAAATTAGGGAAACATTATGGTGGGTGCTTGACAGGATGATGGGCTGTTTGGGGTTACGGATAATCAGAACGCAATATGATATGATTTTGATCGGTATTTTAACAGGATGAAATGAAGCAATGAAGCCTCGAAGCCTCCGTGCAGATAGAGAGATAAGGACTGTCCCTTTTGACCGTGGTCAGGTGACGAGCGAGTCGGTACGTCATCATTATTTAGGGTCCTCTTTGGGAAAATCATTATTACATAATCACTCCTACTTAGTATGGAGGACGTTCTTTCGTGGCTGCGCTGAGGCAACGAAACGGTTTGTTTTCTTTGACAACAGTCGCTGAAGTCTGGCGGGGCATAACCTAATTAGAAGGTACCTAAGGTACCTTAAGGTTAGGTAAGGTAAGGTACGTGACCTAAGGTACCTAACGTTGAGACGAAGTATGAAGTATCACGGATATTCTACTTTGAACTCTTCCGCCTGGTCGCTGCTCAGTTGGAGATTCTCATAAACAGGACCTTGAAGCAACGTCTTGCCTCGCAGCTTCCGGAAGTCTTACCTTGGTGCTCACCGTTACACGAGCAAAAGTCAAAAGTCTCAACTACCTTAGGTACCTTACGTTACGTACCTACCCAAGGGACCCTGGATTCTTCTCCCTTTCTCCCTTCTCTTCTTCTGCCCTTTTGCCCTTTTTACCTTGTTTCTTGGCGAACAACTTTACGATAATCACATCCCTACCGAAACACCAACATCGCCGCTTAATGTTCTCCCACGACTTGATTCTTCGCACATTATAGCCAAGCGCTCAACCTGGGGAAAGCACTTGGAGCTTCCCATCGACTCGGACTTTCCAGACGTCGTATGTAGTTCCCCGGATTTCGAGTTGGCTTTTGACGTCATTCGGTGAGTTGCTCTCCAGGCACCTTTCACCTTTGCCCTTTGCCCTTTGCCCTTTGCATCCGTCGGTCTGTTGGTCAACTTTGACAGGGCACCACTCGAGATGCTTGGCTTGCCCTGAGCCAAGAATATGCTCCCTCGGCGTGGCTTTCGGGTCATTCCAGCTTCCCACCTACCTTAGTGTTGCTGCCTACCCATCCTACCTATGTACTGCATATATTGCCCTATGAACGCTCACTGGCTGACTTGGGGGTTTCGCTTCTCACTAGACGCCCAACAAAAGTTCCTGTATTCGCCTGACCGCTGGCACTACGACCTACTCGGCACTTCTCGAACCGTCCCCGTCCACCCAGCTCCCCCTACCCGATAGCACACTCGAACGACGACTGAACCGGGAGGGCATTTGGCTGTATACACGGATCATTCCGAGAAGGGACACAATTCTCCCGGCTGGACAAACTAGCTACCGACGTACCACGTCAGCGTGTTCGACATCCGAACTCTCGCATGCCAAAGGCAACAAGTGGCGCAAAAGAGAGGGATTCAGCTCACGCCACCTTGACGTTCTCCCAACGATTTTTGCAGCTCCTGATTTCCGCTGCCAGATCTACCACGCGCCTCGTTGTGCTGATGTGTAGCATAAGAACCGGATCACCATCACCTTCTATTACTGTCGCTTATCGTCTCCCTCCATACTCGTATCCGGGTCGTCCACATTGCCAGAATGCCGGCAATTGATTCCAGTCGCGATTACTACGCGGATCTCCAGCTGCCACCCACGGCGGACGTCGCCGAAATCAAGAAACAGTTCAGAAAGCTAGGTACATCAACTGGGTGAACGTTCTGCCCATCGCCAGTGACCCTGTTACTGACTGGAGATAGCGCTCCTATACCACCCCGACCGCAACCCAGGAAAGGAGGCCGAAGTCAACTCCAAATTCCAGACCATTCAATCCGCGCACGAGATTCTCAGCGATCCCCAGCTGAAAGCCAAATACGATGCCAGCCGACCACGCTCCAGGTATCCCACCGCCTCCGGGGTCAAAGGCAACCCATGGCAAAATGCCGGTTCCCATTTCCCTCCGCCTCCACGAAGGACTGGTCCAACTGGTCCTGGCCCAACCCGCAACCCCCCACCGTCAGGTGCTCAGAAGTATCGGAACTTTGCTGGTGCGGCACCCACAGCTAAGGCGCATCCGCATGCGCGGGAGGACCACATGGAAGCAAAACGCAATGCCTGGCATGCTTTCGAACAAATGAGGCCCAATTCTCAGGGCAAGTCAGCCTACACGCAAGCCAAGGCCAGCAGACCCCCAGAGCCCCCTCCCACCCCTTCTCGACCCGTCCCCCGCACACCGGCACAGAAAGAGAGGGCTGAAGCCGCATTTGGTGCAAAAACGTCGCAATACGTCCCTCAATCTCCCGTCGCCGGCGATGAGCCTCCGGCGCGCTCCCCCGCCTCCCACCCCCACAACCGACACACCTATGACCCGGCGGCAGACCCGTCAACCCGGACCCCCCGCGACTCCATACCGGATCCCCTGGCCCAGTTCCGTGGCTATGACAAGCGGCAGAGCAGCCCATACCATAGCAGCAGCGGCGAGAGGACCAATCCGTTTGATGGCGCTACTATTAACCGTACCAAGAGTACCAGAGAAACCTCTAGGCGAGACCAGCACGAAAGCGCCCCAGGTCTATCAGCCGGCAGTCCGCGACATCATCGCAGCTCGAGCGCGCCTCGGACCGCCCGGTCGAACGAATCGGGTGAAGACCGACCATCTCCGGCGAACCCTCCGAACCCCCTAAACGTCCCCAGGCCAACCTTCCCTTCACGAGCAAGCGCCAGATACACTCCTCCTGACCGGGTAAACGGCGCTGGGGCTACCATTAACCCGACTCGATTCCCGACAGACACCAAACCCGACATCAATGGTATGTCCTTAGGCTTCTCCTGACCCTTCTGACATGATGTAAAAAAGAAAAGAAAAATGCTAACTCGAGACAGGCACAGCAGGTGGTGGACAATCCCCACATAAGACACAAGGGCCTTCAATGTATGGCACACCAACCACCAACCCTTCCAAGACTTCGTCATTCTCCGCATCTGCAAGTAGCAGTACAGCTTGGCCTCCGGCTCCAACGTCACGCGTGCACGGTTTTGAGATGTATAGCAGTGGTGGTGGAATGTTCAAGTCGGGGGGCAAGGGAGCTCGTTCTTCAACGTCCTCGTCTCCGAGTGGGGACGACACTATTTCTTCTACCCCTGGATCACTCACACCATTCGAGCGCCAACAGGGTGAACTGCTCAAGGAGCTCATCAAGGAAGCACACACACACACGTCCACTCAGACTAGACAACGGCGATCAAGTCAAACACGCACGTGTGATAAAACTCCCGCTGACAAGACATCTCTGCATAGCTTTAGCTTTCCGATCAACGACGATACCTTCACCCAAACAACCCCGGAACCGAAACGCTTCACCCGAACGAGCACTGACGACATCAACACCAAGTTCGCTAACGACCAAGGTTCCGAGGCATGGCAGTTCAAAGCGGGCGGTCCTCAGCAGGAAGACCCCTTCGGCAAGCGACCCGCGCATTCTGGGAGCAGAGCTGGCCGAGAATCGCCACTTAGACAGGCAGCACCGCCACGGCCGGCAAAGGAACCCCTCGACAAGACCCGCGAGGCATCCCCCGCCGAGGCCGGGTTCGACGCGCAGGGTTGGGGCGAGCAGTTCGGCCCGCAAGTCTTCGCCCCCCAGCCGACTAGAGGCGCCTCGGCTTCGCCAACTCGCCCGTCTCGATCCAGCACGAGAAAACACAGGACGGTGCATCCGACGATGGGCACAGCCGGTATGGTAAATGAGGATAGTAGCGGTAGCGAGGGACGCCGCAGCGGCAGCGGCAGCGGCAGCGGTAACGGAAGTGACTCCCGGGACCGCCGGCCGGACGGAGTACCAGCTGGGTCCGACAGCCCCATGGCCATGGACATCGACCCACCCTCAGTCAAAGCGAGCAGCGCGGGCGATGCAGCAGAACCGAAGCCTACGGCACGTAACATTCCGGTAGAACCCTCGCGTCCCGAGTGGAGACCTGGCGATGTCAAGGGGATGCAGGACGCCGGCCAGGCCAACGGAGAGCAGCAGAAGAAATCCGCCCCGAAACCCCATGTCGGCGGTTCCGAGGATAGCGAGGAGTTCCGTGCCACTCTGGCCGATCTCAAGAACGTGGCGCCGTTTGCCCAGCCGCCAGCAACAGGGCTTGGTTCTTTCAGCGATCTCAAGACCAACCTGCCGTTCGAGAGCAAGGCGTCCGATAAAATCCCCATCGCGAAGGAGAAGCACACCACCACCAGCCAGGAGCTCAACTTCCCGTTGGTGCCCCAGGCACCCACGCCCCCGCCTACTCTTGCCGTCTCCGGCCTCAAGCCGACCCTGCCGGCCTGGCAGAAGTACCTCGTGGATTTCCAGAACTACATGCAGCAGTGGGACGCCTTTACCGTCCAGGTCACGGAACACTTCAATGCGCGCAAGGAGCAGATTCTCCGGGCGCGCGAGGCCCGCGGCTACGCTTTCCTTGCGGCGCAGAGCGACAGCGGCATTGAGGAGTATCTTGAGTGGCTTCGACAGGATCAGGGTGTCCGCAGGAAGTGGACCGCGGCGTGTGAATCGCACGAGGGGCGCGTCCGGGAGTTTCTTGTCTACCGGCAGAAAATGCGATAGAAGTCTATGACGAAGGTAAAGAAACCGCAAAGTCATACTACAAAACTACATGGGGCGGAAGGGGGGCGGGCAAGTGGGGTGAGATGTTGAGTTATTATAGACCCTGACGACGGGGGGCAGCATTCTTCTGCTGAACTTGGTTTTTTTTTTCCTAGCGAATTTTCTACTGGCAGATGGACGGTTTGCAAGCTGCAGGGATGAATCGGATTTCTTTTCTTTTTTTTTTCTTTTCTTCCTTTCACATGCCTTCCGTTGGCTCTGCTGGCGGCGGAGCGGTTGTAAGGCAGATAGATAGATCACGGTGCAGCGGGAAAGAACAGACACTGGATCCGAGCCCCCGCTGCTCATGTGGCGTCGAAGGATGGACGGCATAGATGTACTTTATGTTCTGGATGGCGGAGAGAAGGGGGAGCGGGCGGTTCTTTTTTTCGTCTTTGCTTTTTAGCCTGCATTCTACATGCCACATTAAGATAGCGTCTTGATACCACGCTTCGCTGTCCTCGAGGGGGTGCAGACTCGGCTTTCGGGACGTCAGGATGGAGAGACATGGGAGGGGGGTGGTCAGGGGTGGGCACGTTATATCACCAAAATTGGCTGACTACCGGGCTATGGAGGAAGATCGAGACGTGTTGCGTAAGGGTTGGTGTTGGTGTAGACAGGGAGATTCGGTCGGCCTCCGTAGCATAGGCCACTCAGCTCCATGGCGCAATAGGAGAGTATTTTGGCCAACCTGGAGGGATATACTGTTTCCATGGTGTTCATATGTCACTATCACCTTATAAGACGTGCTCAGTGTGATTCCTTTTATTATCTCCTATTCTTGGTCCATGAAAATGAGGAGGGAATCTGGGGGGGAGGGAGAGGTTCAACCAGCCAAATGAGAGAACAAAGTGAGTCCATCAATAGTTTGCGTGTAGACGCAGGGACAGATACAGTGAATTTGGCGGGAGAAGGTCTCTTAGAAGAAGCAAAAGCAAAATGAAGGAAGAATCAAGAGCCCAGAAGTCCCAGCGTTCCCAAAGGTGCAAATGTACAAATCCCCGGAGCTGCGAACCTTACACCCCGATCATATCGAGAACATGAGTTGACCTGTAAAGAGAAGCGCAGCTAGGAAGCCTGTGATCATGCAACACCTTAGAGGTTAGGTAGAGTTAGAGAGACCAGTCTTTAGGCATCCTCTTCCTCCTCGGTAACTGTGCCGTTGGCGGGCTTGCTAGAGTCGGCATTGGACTTGGTGGTCTCGCCGTCCGCAGCGACTCCTTTGTCGTTCGTATCGGCTTTGACCTCGGCTTCCTCCTTGATCCCAACGTTGGAGACAGCGATGGGGTCTTCGAGTTCTTCCTCGGAGTCCTTCGCCTTGGCCTTGGTCTTGGCGGGCTTCTTGGGTGTGCGTTTCTTCTTCGCCGAACCTTCTGTCAACTTGTTAGCCCTGGGGTCGAGTAGAAGCATCACTTACCCCTCCCGGGGGGGGGGGGGAGGGTGGGGAGTGAAGGACAAGAACAAGTTCAGGCCAGGAAGCATAAGCATAGTGTTAAGACCAAAACCCACCTTCGTCGCTAACGGCGTCGGCCTGGCGCTTGCGGCCACGCTTCGGCTTGGTAGGGGTGGAGGTCTCTCCGTTTGGGCCCTCGGCGCCTTCGACCTTCTCACCGGCGTTCTCGCCTGCCTCGGCGTCTCCAGTGGCGGGGGCCTTTTTCGGAGTCCTCTTGCGAGCTGGAAAGTAAATGTCAGTTTTAGTTTTTTTCCTTTTTAGTTTTCTTTTTTTTTTTTATAATAAAAAGAAGAAAGAGAGAAAGAAAGACAGAAAGCAACTCACGCGTAGCCGTCTTCTTCGGCTTAGCAGGGGACAGCGCGACGGGCTTGTCGCCACTCTCATCACCCCCGTCGAGGGCGAGAGCCTTCATCTCTGCATGGATACGGGTCCATTGGTTTTTCAGGGCTTTGGTTGTGCGGCCGGGTAGGATGATCTGCTTCCAGTCGACGCTCCCTTCGCCGAGGGCCTGATTCAGAATGCGCAGGACCAACTGGTTCTGAACAGGGAAGGAGGGGTTTCAGTAGTTAGTTGGTCTGTTTCTTACATAGGTTTCTTGTTTATTGGTAGACCGGAGTGGTGTTGAGCTTACCTTCTCGGCCGGAGTCCAAGCCGCGGGCTTGCCGGATTCACCAGACATTTTGGTGTCTCCAGCGTCGCTCTGAACGTCAGACATGTTGCTTTGGTTAGGGGTCTTACTTTTGTTTCTCGGCTGTTATGAGTAGAGTCTGTGAACTGAGTTGGGTTGGGTAGAAGCGGGATGAGATAGATGACTGCGGAAAGTAGACAGTCGTTGCGGGATGATGGGATGTAGGTGGGTAGAAGCCAGATACCAAAACACATGCAACGATGTGTACGGACTAAGCGGTCAGGGAAGTAGAGAACCTGGCAGGAACGGTGTGGTGATGTAATAGCGTCAAGGAGGGGTTAAGGAAAGATCAATGTAAGAGGAAGGTGAGAGGAAGGTGAAGGGTCGGTTGACGGTCGAGTAAGTACGGCCGTTGCCCGGGTGGGGGAAGGTGCCAGATGATACAGGGTTGAGAGCAGGCTATTGCCAAAAGTCCCAAGTTTGTAGGATCCCGTGACAGAAATGGGATGACGGTAAGATGATATGAAGGCAAGGCCAAAGTGTTTGGTGGAAGGGGTTTGGGCAAGAGAGTATCCGGGTCCTATGGGACTATGGGACTATGGGACGGTTGGTTTCTTCCGGGAACACGGAACACCACTTGCAAGCCTTGATAGAACCCTGAGACGTATGGAATTCTTTTTGAGGTAGGAGTTGCTGAGTTGGCAAGGGGAGACACGGGGCTATCGTGTAATACAGGCGAGAAGAGAAATATCGGTTGTATGAGGCGTGGTCCGCGTGTTCTGCAATGGCACAGCAAGGACGATGGAATTTACGAAACGAGATAATTGATGTTTATATCTACCACTGCGTGTTTGCATGATCAAGCTTGAGGCACGAGGCCGCAGAAGCCATAGGGGGTATAAGGAGTAAGCTGGAAGCTCCGTGGATTTCGATGAACGTTGTAGTTGAGTCTTTGCCTTGGATGAAGGAACCGGAATAGGCACAAGAGTAGTTCTTTTATTTTATTTTATCTTATTTTACAGAAAATTGTTTGTAGCATATGCTGGTAAGTTCTGGTATACTCAACCGACAATAAGAGACCAAAGCAACAAAAGAGAATTTTCTATGACTCTCCTTAAGACGGTGGTGATCATGGATTGGCAGAAACCTGTCTCTGTCGTCGTCTTGAAAGCACGTGCCTCTCTCGGAGGGTTCTATCCCGAAGTCGGTGCTCATTCCTGCGAGAATGTACCCAGGTACGAAGGACAGAACTCCTTCTCCAGATTACCTCAGCAGATGACCCTGGTACGGATAGGTAGCTGGCGCTGGCACGGTCGCATGCACAAGCCATGCACATACACGTAGTATGGAAATATCCATAGTAAACTCTGCCTCACACCACAGGACACACCACCACGGTGAACCGGCAAGCCTGGTACAGCCAAGTCACAAGGGCTTCAGACATCGCGGACATGTAAGACATGCATATGGAGGGGCTGCCCAGTTGCCTACAGCCGAGACGCTTGCAATGCAATACCTTATTTACAATGATTTACAATGATTTTATACGGCCTGCTTTCCGGTTGGAGGGTACCTTGGTGGGTGTGATTATTGTGACGATGGTGTCAAAGATTGAACTCACGATCCATCTCCTGCACGAGGAATCAATACAATTGTGTGAGGCTACCATACTTGGTATTGAATATAACGAGCAGCGGAAGTAGAGGTATGTCCATAAACGGACCCAGTATGCATCTAAACCATGTTAGACGAGCTCAACCTCAACTTATACGTACTGTTTAGAGACGAAAAGTCTAAAAAAAAAAAAAAAAAAAAAAAAAAAGCCTTGAACAAAAGGACGGCGCATTCGCAAGGAACCCCAAGAACCACCCACATGCGCCTCGTCCTCTTTCAGCGAGGAACTAGGATCGATAATCATTCCACTTTCTTCTCGCCGTTTTCGCTTTCGTCGTTTACCCGGTGTCTAAGAACCGTCGCGCAGAACGGTTCCAGCAACGCGACGCCTTCCACGACGCCTTCCACGACTTCCACCAACTGGCGTCGTGCTTTCAGCCTTTCCACCACGAACACACGAATCGTCAGCCTTCACCATCGGAAGCTTATACTTTCAGACTGGAGGTCTAAATTACAGCTCCCTCGGAGCTTCTACCTCCAGCCATTTGTCTCACCTCTTACTCAACCCTCCCCCTTTGCCACCGTATCTTCATATTCCGCACCACCGATCCGGCACTCCGCTCACACGACCACGACGAATAAGAGAAACGTGCCGTCGCACAAACCTGAGTCGAAGGGAGCAGAATCAATTCCTGTCACGTCGACTTCTTCGCCGTCTGACGGGTCTATCGAGACCGAACCCGAACCCGAGACCACATCCGCCTCCAAGATGAACAACACCACCACCAACCAGTCCCCGCGCTCCAAGCGCAAGGCGCCCTCCAGCCCGGAAGCCGGCGCCCGCCCGCACAAGCAGCTCCGACCGGGTCCTGTCAACGGCAGGATGTCCGCCGGTGATAACACCCCGGATATGGACCTCGAGGAGTCGCCCGTGTACGTGGAGGAGGAGGACGACGAGTACGCCCGCCTACAGCCCGTCTATTCCACCACGACCCAGGAACCAGAGGCCTGGCAGCGGACCATTGAGAAGGTCATCAGCAACGTCGTTTCCATCCGCTTTTGTCAGACCTGCTCTTTCGACACCGACCCGGCCTTGACGAGTGAAGCCACTGGCTTTGTCGTGGATGCCGAGAGGGGGTGAGTGGTTTTTTTTTCTTCTTTTTTTTTCTTTTTTCTTTTTTGGTTCAAGTCCCCTCAATGATGCTGTCATTCTGGGAGCTCCCATGTCATTCAGTCTCTTGCACGAAACCGCAGAGAAAGAAAAAAAATTAGTCGTTGAAAGCTGACGAAACGGCCGTACGCTTGCGCCGTGCAGTTACATCTTGACGAATCGTCACGTTGTCGGCTCCGGTCCCTTCTGGGGATTTGTCGTCTTCGATAACCATGAGGAGGTTGATGCGTACCCCGTCTACCGTGACCCCGTCCACGATTTTGGTATTCTGCGCTTCGACCCCAAGGCTCTCCACTATATAAACATCGAATCACTGGAGCTACGGCCAGACCTCGCGAAGAGTAAGCGTCTTCCTTCCAATCTCCTCCCCCCTTCTGTTCTTTCTTGCATACGAAAATGCTGACAACTTCCCCCTCCAGTCGGCGTCGAAATCCGGGTTGTCGGTAACGATGCCGGCGAGAAGCTCAGTATCTTGTCTGGCTTCATAAGCCGTCTGGACCGGAACGCCCCAGAGTACGGAGAGGGATACAGCGACTTCAACACATGCTACTACCAGGCAAACGCGGCTGCGAGTGGTGGCAGCTCCGGCAGTCCTGTCGTCAACATTGACGGCTATGCAGTCGCCCTGCAAGCCGGCGGGCGGAGCGACGGCGCTTCGACCGACTACTTCCTCCCCCTCGACCGACCGCTACGAGCGCTACAGTGTATCCAGCAAGGAAAGCCCGTGACAAGAGGAGACGTCCAGTGCCAGTTCCTCCTAAAACCCTTCGACGAGTGTCGTCGTCTCGGACTCACGGCCGAGTGGGAGGCCTTGGCCCGGAAGACGTTCCCCAAGGAGAACAACATGCTCGTCGCCGAGATCGTCCTGCCGGAAGGACCGTCCTACGGCAAGCTGCAAGAAGGTGACATTCTCATCAAGGTGAACGGCGAGCTGGTGACGCAGTTTATCCGGCTCGATGAGATTCTCGATTCGAACGTCGGGCAGTCGATCAAGATACAACTGCAGCGAGGCGGCAAGGACATGGAAGTGGATGTCGATGTGGGCAACCTGCACAAGATCACGCCGGACCGCTTCATATCCGTAGGCGGGGCCAGCTTCCATGATATATCATACCAGCAGGCACGTCTGTACGCTGTGGCCTGCAAGGGAGTGTTCGTCTGCGAGGCCACGGGATCTTTCAGATTTGACGGCGCCGATAATGGGTGGATTATCAACACGGTGGCTGGGAAGGAAACGCCCGACCTGGACGCCTTTATGGACGTGATGAAGGCGATCCCGGACCGGGCGCGCGTGGTCGTCACTCACAAACACCTCCGTGATCTCCACACGGTCCACACAAGCGTCATCCACGTCGATAGGCATTGGTCTGCGAAGATGAAGATGGCGATTAGGAACGACGAAACCGGGCTCTGGGACTTTGTGGATCTGGGCGATCCCCTGCCGCCGGTACCGACGGTCCCTCAATCCGGTTCCTTTATCCAACTGCAGAACACGACACACCCGGCCGTGGCTGACCTTGTAAGGAGCTTCGTACTCGTCAGCTGCACCATGCCCGTGAAGCTGGACGGTTTCCCGAAGAACAAGAAATGGGGCATGGGCCTGGTGATAGATGCCGACGCGGGCTTGGTGGTCATCTCCCGCGCCATCGTCCCGCACGACCTCTGCGATGTCGACATCACCATCGCCGATACCATCTTCGTCGACGGCAAGGTCGTCTTCCTCCACCCGTTACAGAACTACGCCGTCATCCAGTACGACCCGAAGCTCGTGGAAGCCCCCGTGCTGAGCGCAAGGCTGAGCACCGAGCAGATCACGCAGGGTTCCTCGACCAACTTTATCGGCTACAACAGGATGGGCCGCGTGGTGCACGCCACCACTACGGTGACGGAAATCACGCCCGTCGCGATCCCCGCCAACTCGGGGGCGCCCCGCTACCGCGCCGTCAACGTCGACGCCATCACCGTCGACACCAACCTCAGCAACCAGTGCGGCAGCGGTGTTCTCGTGGCGCCGGACGGCTCGGTGCAGGCGCTGTGGCTGACCTACCTCGGCGAGCGGTCTCCCTGCACTAACCGTGACGAGGAGTACCACCTGGGCCTGGCCACGCCGACGCTGCTCCCGGTCATCTCGCAGATCCAGCAGGGCATCGCGCCCAAGCTGCGGCTCCTCTCGGTCGAGTTTCGGGCGATCAAGATGCTGCAGGCGCGGGACATGGGCGTGCCGGACGAGTGGATCCGAAAGGTGACGGAGGCCAACAAGACGCAGCACCAGCTGTTCATGGTCAGCAACCGGACGTTCGAGCGGGGCGACCGCGACCAGCAGAACGCGCTGCTGGAGGGCGACATCGTGCTGAGCCTCAACGGGCAGGTGATCACGCGGGTGTCGGAGCTGGACGTGATGTACTCGCACGAGGTGCTGGAGGCCGAGATCGTCCGGGTGAAGGAGGTGACGAGGATCCGGGTGCACACGGTGGCGGCGGACGACGTGGAGACGGACCACGCCGTCTCGTTTTGCGGCGCGATCCTGCAGCGGCCGCACCACGCCGTGCGTCAGCAGATTAGCAAGCTGCACAGCGAGGTCTATGTGTCGGCGCGCACCCGGGGTTCGCCGGCTTACCAGTACGGACTTGCGCCGACCAACTTTGTCACGCACGTCAATGACCGGCCGACTCCGGATTTGGAGACGTTCATTGCGACTGTGCAGGAGATTCCGGACAACACATGTAATTTTTTTCCCTCTTTTTTTCCTCTTTTTTTTTTCTTTTTCTTTTTGGCGCCCTCTCTCGCTTCTTTGCATATTGTTGTTGTAACACTGACATCTCTCTCCTTCATAGACTTCCGCCTCAGGGCTTGCACATTCGACTCTGTACCCTGGGTCGTGACCATGAAGAAGAACGAGCACTACTTCCCCACGGTGGAATGGATCAAGGACCCCTCGGAGGCGTCCGGCTGGCGACGCAAGACTTATGACCGTGGAGAGGTCTTCGAAGGCGAAGGGCCGGACGGTCTGCATACTAATACGGAAGACGCGGACATGGGAGAGGAGATTACACCTACTTCATAAGACGAACAACACCCACCTCGCCAACAAAAAGATGGACAACAAGATGAGAATATCTTCAACGATGTACAAATAGACCCTGATGATCAACAGCCGGACACGACGGATACAGAAGATGTCATTGCAATGCGGCCTGCACCTGGTTAGACATTCTTCTCGGCATCGCAAAGAAAGAAAGGAAAGCAAATAAAAAACCTCTCCAGCCTCGGGACGTCAACAAAAAAAAATACAACATGGCTCTCATCAGGTCAGCGCCGGGAGGGACGACCCACGAGATTCCACGCCGGCTGGACTGTCCACTCTGATGGCCTTTTATCATTTTCATCCACTTCATTCTCCTATTCCATTTCGACCTTGTCTCTTCGCATGCGGACGGAGGCTTGGCATTCAGCGAGGACGGACTGGCGATGGATAGATAGATGCGTAGAGGCATCCATCGTATCGAACCGACCAGTTTGGGTTGCGCCTTGATTCGGCAGTTGTATGTATCATTAGAATCATGTTCAAGTAGATTCTTGCGGCCTCATGCTCCGTAGGCGGCTCTGAAATGAGCGCAAGACTGAAGAAAATCATTATTTGAAGAATTTGACAGTACCGTGTGCATCCAATACATATGTTTGTGCTTCAGCGAGTCGACAACCAAGGTAGTAGCTAAGGTAGTGATGGTAGATAAAGATTTATTTCATATTCTAATGCCCATTGTTCGTTCATAGAATCATGCCAACAAGAAGAGGCTCCCGGTTGAGTAGGCATTATCCTTCAACGCGAAGAAGCATGAACTGTGCGTCGTCTGTTCGTAGCAAAACACAAAGCAACGCGCCCAACCCAAAAATTTTACAACGCGCCCTTGACGAAACAGAACAGGATCCACGCCAAACACGCCTGCCAAACAAACCGTCAAGAGGCCGGTCGAAAAACTGGTTCGTAGATGGGGAGTTTCCTTTTGAGTTTCCTCTTCGCAGCAGCCCGACAGGCCACAAAGCGATGAGGGGAAGAAAACGAAGCAGAGCAAAAAAGTCTTTACTGCATAGTAGGGTTCCAAAAATTCCCTAGCCAGCCGAAGCCAACTAGGAGTGGTCAGTAAATAGTTTTCAACTAGCAAAAACGCGATCTCGGACGAATCCTCACTGATACGCGTAAAGCCCTTGCACTCGGATGAGGAAAGAAAGAAGAGAAAGAGTTCCGAAAATTTGGGGGGAGGGGAGGCGGTATTTGTACCTGTCCAGCGGGCGGTGGGAGGCGGCAGATCAGTCGGGATTTTTTCGGTGCCTTCTCCACTTTTGTCTAGGCAGCGGTCCTGGATGACCTACCTACCTTAATAATTACGGATACCTAACAAAGCAGCCACGTTGTACCTTGGTACCTAGGTATAAGGTAGGTACTGCCGTAAGGTACCTGCCGTACCTGACTTCGACTCGTGGTGGGGATTAGTGGGGGCATGGAGCTTGCGGCGACACTAACTCCCGACTTCATCTCCCAAGGGGGTCCATGAACGGATTGACGTCCAGCCTTTGGGAGAGCTGCGCACCGCTTTCCGGGACGCTGATGCTGGTTCAACTGCTACGAAGATGCTGTCCTTCATCTTAGTCCAGAACCGGCAGTAAGTGCCCAAACCACGCAACCATGGCTATGCTATGCTCTGCTATGCTGTGCTATGCTGTGCCCACCCGTCTTCATGGAACCCTTTTAAAAGGCCACAAACAACGTCGAAGCTAACGCTGCATTCAGGGGTAAGACCCGGCTGGCCAAGTGGTATGCACCCTACAGCGACGAGGAGAAGATCAAGCTCAAAGGCGAGGTACGTTGTTTATCTATCTACTGTCTTTGACGCATTGCATTCCCCCGGCAAGTTGACAACCACCAATTCGAAACGCCAAAAAAAAAATAGGTCCACCGCCTCGTAGCCCCCCGCGACCAGAAATACCAGTCCAACTTCGTCGAGCACCGCAACAACAAGATCGTCTACCGCCGCTACGCCGGGCTCTTCTTCTGCGCCTGCGTCGACACCAACGACAACGAGCTCGCCTACCTCGAGGCCATCCACTTCTTCGTCGAGGTCCTCGACGCCTTCTTCGGGAACGTCTGCGAGCTGGACCTCGTCTTCAATTTTTACAAGGTCTACGCCATCCTCGATGAGGTCTTCCTCGCCGGCGAGATTGAGGAGACCAGCAAGCAGGTCGTTCTGACGAGGCTGGAGCATCTCGATAAGTTGGAGTAACGGGCGACTTGTTGATGAGGTCGAATGAGAAACAGTCCAGATGGAGACGGGGTTTATACCAGTGGCCGCGAGACGTACACAATACCTCGCGCAAAAACGGGTGGCAGGCATTTGTTCGTTTTCTGACCTGGGCGTACGGAGTTACGGAGGAGACTACGGTACGAGTCGAACAGATGGAAATTCGTCGAAAATCATATGATTTTGTATGACTCATGGGCTCTTCTCGCGAGCTCATGTACAAAGAGAACCCCATACTTACGCCCGATTAAAGCGCCATGTTTTCGCTGCCGGACGATTTTGCGATTGACCAGATCCCCATTCCAGGCATAAGCTCCTTAGTCTTCCCCTGAGAATCTCAGCTCTGCGTGACGGTGCCACCAGGGACTGTCACTGTTTGGCGTCTCACGAAGCAGCCCAACAGAGAGGACTCGAGAATGTCTACTCCGTATATCCGGGCCCCAGCTTCTCTCGCTCTGTTGCCCAGTGGAGTATCGGCAGTTGAGACGAAGGGGCGCAGAGCAAATGGGAGAACCAGGGAAAGCAAAAATCCCAGAAGAAAACGAAGAGAAAGTAAGAATAAGAAAAAAGAAGACGACGAAGAAAACAAACCATCTCCTCGACGGAGACAAACAATCCCATGTCCAAGAAAGAATCGAGTCGAACCAACGTGGATCCTTCCACAACTCATGGCCTCTGACCTACAAGGGTAGATCTCAAGGTCAGACGCCCAGGTGGAAGTAATATATGCGTCGAATCAGCAAGGGTGAAAAAGAAGAAGAAAAGAAACGCTATAACGAGCAGATGAAGAGATGTGTCTCTATTGCCAGCTGGACACTGACAAGAGAAGGATCGTGGCAGAAAAGCGCACGAAAGAAATATCTTCACCAGATCATGGTTCTAGGCACACTCGAGGCGTGCCTTCACCGCGGTCTTGCATGCCCCGGTCTTTCAAGGCCGGGTCTTCCACCCTCAGTTCATCGAGGCTTTTCGGAGCCTCCATATGCTCGTCCTCTTCATACATTTCAGCGGCGGACTTGCGCTTAACCTGATGGATATGGCGACGTTCCCGGCCCCGAAAGAGGTCGAGTACGAAGGCATCAGAGGACGAATCCTGCGCCAGCGTACGGCCGGACGTTGAGCTGCCCCGTGAGCTGACGTGTCTGCTGGTGGCGTCTGCTGCGAGGCCAACATCGGCATCCTGGGTAGGGCATCCGGTCGAACTACCTTGCTCGGAGCTGTCGGACATGGGATCGGACATGGGAGCGTCGATTTGGTCTGCGTTCAGAGAAGCAGAAGCCATGACACCCCCATGACCGATGGAGAACCGCATACCATGGGCCGGTGAACCAACGGCAGTGTCAGTTAGCTCGTTGCAGGGTATCTTCTGCTTGGTGCTTGCAGGTTCCAGGCCGCCATCCAGTACAACATCCTTGGCCAAGTCGTCCAGGAAACAATCTACTTGGGCATCCAAGTCGGGCAGTTCATCAGTGATTTCCACTTCACCGCGACCTACAGCCCCGGGCCCGTGGGTCCCCGGGCTGGCGGTGCTACGTCGTGCGGCTTGAGCCCCCCCCCTTCCCCTTACGGAAGTCGCAAATTCCGGATCATCCCAGGGCGACCATGGCGAGAGCCGGCCGTCGGTAGTTCCCATTCCATGACTGGAAATGGGAGTCTCCGGTACAGATAATTGGTTGGATAAAGGGGGGCTGGCTTCTTTTGGGTGAGTGTTCTGAGGAGGACGTTTGTTGTTTTTGCGCCTCCCTCTACGGGTCTTTTTGTTCTCAGTTCGGCCCATCTCGACTTCATTATCCTCATCCTCCCTTTCCCGTTTCCTTCCGGTACCAAGGTGTAAGATATTAGTGCCAGAGAACAGTGGGCCTCCGATCTTCTTTGGCTTGTACAGAAGGTCATCGTCAGCAGAGTGGGAGGACGGGGACTTGTCCGTGGTCTGTTGTCGATACAGCAGCCTCTCCGGGTTGGTATAAGGTTCGGCTTTATGCACCTCCGGTGTCAAGGCTTGATCAGCTCCAGATGGCTGGAGCTGTTTGTCTGGACGTGCCAATACGTCGTCCGAGCATTGGCCGCCCATCGGAATGTCCCCCGCTTGCTTCCCATTCAGACGCATGGCGGACTTAAGGTTACAGCTTGTTGTGAGATTGGCTCGCTTTCGTTGTTGCGTAAGCGAGTTGGGGTGCTTGTTCTCGGGACAGACGGCGAAGTGATGGTCTCCTATCAGGCCACATAACGTGCATCTGTAGTCCTGCCTCGGCGGGGTGTCATAGCTAGGGATCATGTTCGTGGGGCATGCATTGATAAAATGTCCTGGAAGAAGATGGCGTGACAACCCCGTCAGTTTGGCTCTTGGTTCGTTAAGAAAATGAGGGAATTGGCTTACCCCCGAGGCCACACCGAAAGCAGACGTACGATGGAGACGGCGGCTCTGGCGTACTTTGACTAAGGGGGTAGATCACTGTAGGTTGCTGAGGATGGTTGCCAGAGGCTCCCGCCTCGGGGGAGTTACACCCCCAGCTGGCTTGTCCCCTGTCAAAGCCAAATCCTGCAAAGGTGTATCCATTATGCCCTGTGAAGGCCTGTGATGCCCATTCATTCACCATACTGCCCTGGCGGCCCAGAAGAGGGGCTGTCCATGTCTGGGAATCTGCAGTCATGACAGGAGTCAAGGTCATACCGGGAGGAAAGACGAGTTTTGGAGTCGCCAGAGCAGCACTGGTCGAAGCCGGTGCTGCTTTGGTCTTCTTGGACTCTCCGGAATCGGTCTTCTTCCTACTCTTTGTCTTGCCGGGTTGGGCAGCAGAAGACTTGGGGGGGTTTTTGTAGTCAATTTCGATGTTTCGAAGGGCATACCTCCAAGCTTGTTGGACAGCCGGGTCTTCAACTCCGCTTGACTTTCTTGACTGCCGAAACTCGTGTAGAACTTCATGTTTGGCGATTCGAAAGGTGGAGATGAAGTCGCACCAGCGGCGGATTTCAAGGGGACGGTCTGCGGAGTTCTTCAACTTGAGGCGGGGAATCTGCTTTGCCAACCACTCGGAAGAAATTGTCAGGACATTCTGGTCAGTGATGGTTCCTTCTTGTCTATTCTTTCTCAGAAGATCTTCGACGTGGTCCTGGGATATACGGCCAAGTTCCTGGATGGACTCGAACCCCAAGACTGCAAGTAGTTCTGAAATCGTCATGATGTATATGGCAGAGTTCTTCCCCCAAAACTGAGAAAGTGTTGGCGGGAGGAGCGACGAGGAGCAGGAACAGTAATGCAATGCGCGAAGGGAAGGGGGGGGGGAGGGAGAGGGGTGAGAAGAGGCCAAATATTGGGCCAGTAACGGGAACGAATAGGAGGAATTAGGACGTGAGGGAAGGAAGGAGCACTGGAGTATCTGACGGAAGGCACTTCCCGACAAGAGTTACAAGAGAAGGTGCTACGTAATCAGGAGAGTTAGTTTCCTCTATGAGGGAGAAGATACAAGAGATATGGACTTTATAAGGTAAGGTAGGTGAGTAAGGTACCTATATATCGTCAGGTGAAGTGACCTCACTGACCCCTGATCCCCGGGTGTCAAATACAGCATGGGACGAACAAACATGTTGTCATGTATTGTGATCAGTTTGTGGCTTGCTATTTGAGATGACCAGAAACACAGATACCAGTCATAAGGGGGTCTAGATAGAGGCATCTACGTGTACAGAAGCCGAAATCCATGTGTGCCTCCTAGAACAGTCTCCAGGTATACTTTTTGAGCAGTCTAAGTTTACACACTCATGAGTTCTAGTGAATGATTATCATACAGCCGTGTCTGTGTCGAGCATCTGCGGTTGACACAGATACATAGGGCAGCCGTGACAGCATTCGGCCTCATGCTGGGAGATCACCGAGTTCAAGAGAAAATAAGTAGGTAGAGAGTGCGAGCTATGGGTAGGTATCTTATAAGCAAGCGCCTTTCAACGGCCACATGACCTGTGATCGCAGACTTTAGGGCAATGACTGAATGACTAGAAGGAGGAGTGAGTGGAAGCTGGTCGCTTGGGACACCAGAAATAACATGCTATCGCCAAACAAGTAGCGCTTCTGTGAACTAGGGATTCCCGTGCTTTCAACTGGACAAAAAGAAACAAGAAGGCAATCATCTCTTCAAGGCTGCAAATCTCCTTTCGAGGTCCGCAAGGTCGGGAACTTTACCCCCAGGACCGTCCCCATCAGGTGATTTCCGAGTCTCTACCGCTTTCTTGGCGGGCTTCAAATCCAGAGAATTGAGCTTGACGCTTGGGTGGACATTGTCGGTCGTCATCTTGGGTGGGTTTACCGTCAAGGGGCTGCTCGGCGTCCCGATGGTCCGAGGGGGTGTGGCTCTGCTGAGCTCTTCCTGCTCTTTCTCCGCCTTTTCTACCCTGGGATCCGCAGGGATTGGTTGCTCCAGCGCCTTCTGACCACCGCCGTCACCGTCACCGTCACCGTCACCGCCATCGCCATCGCCTACCCCCTTTTCCGCGCCTTGATCCTCGTCACCACCGTCAATGAGACCCGGCGGATCCCCCAGCTGTCTCCGCTTCGGCCAGTCGACGTTATAAGCCCGGGCAATCTCCTCCAGGTATCCGACAACCAGCTCCTCCCTCGGCGGGGTGACGCACAGCTTCCTGCCGACCTTCTCTGAGACCTTCCCGTCCGCGTTCTCCATGGCGGCCAGGACAAACTCCTTGCCGTACTTCTCGGCCAGCAGCGCGCGCACGACCTGCAGCTCCTTGATCTCCGTCTTGGGCGCGGCGTAGATGATGGTCTTGACGGCCTCCTCCAGGCCCGGGTCGCACGTGGGGCCCTCGAGGAGCCCGGCGCGGGCGATGAGCAGCTCGCAGTAGAGCTCGAGGATCTCGTACAGCTCGGAGGTGATGTCGGAGCGGATGATGTTCTCGACGCGGATGCGGGCGCTTTCGACCTTGCCGACTTCGAGGAGCTGGGCCATGGCGCGCCGTTGCGTCTTGCTCATGGCTTCGTCGCGCTGCTGCACCATGCGCAATCTCGCGATGGCCAGCTTGAGCTGGACTTTGAGCTTGGTCTAAGGAAAGGAGGAGGGGGGGTTGAGCGAGTGCAAAGTGCTCCGTTGTTAGTCTTTTATCGCTTTGTCTGACCCTATGTCGTCATCGGCAGAGCTGTTGGTGGGGTAGGGGATTAAGGGAATTCATGCCGGGGCGGCGGATGGTTGCTCACAAGTAGATTGGCCGGAGGGGCCATCGTGGGCTCTGTTTTGTTATATCGTCAAAGGTCAAATGGAAAATAAATACAGGGAGACAGAGACCGGATTGTCGGTGAGGATGGGAGGGGATGCTTCTGCCTTGCGACAAAGTATAGGGGGGCGTACTCGACGCGAGGTTGTCATGGTGGGGGGCACTGGGAGCTGCTGGTCTTATCTAATCGGGATGTGGGTAAAAGAGACACGCGGTCACTCTGTACGTACACAGATCCGGCCATATAACTCCGTCCATATAACTCCGTCCAACTCCCACTTCTTCCTCGGAGTAATTCTAGACTTTCTCGCGATGCCTGGACTGGATCTCGACTGCGTCTCATGCATCCCATGCTGCCGGCCGAAGAATTGACCTCACAGCGTTCCATCGATGTTCTTCCAGCCAATCAATCCAACTTTTTCTCATCCTCCCTAGTTTTGGTGCTGTTAGACCCTCGCGACAGCGCAGAAGACGAGTGGGACGAACCACGACGGGGGTCACAAATGTAAATCTTTTTTCTTTTTGTGTGCTTTTATTTTCCTCTTCCCATCTTATAATCTAAAGCCTTGTGCTGCGTCCTCACTTTCCTTAGCCCACCGCCGCAGGCTTCATGACTCCCAACTTCCGGCCAGAGAGGCGGTTGCTTGTTTGCCGCTGCTGAGAGCCGCAATGGCCAGTGTTCGCACCCCTGATCGCCGCCGCCCCTCAATTACGAGCCAGCGTCGTTCACGATGGTCGCAAAAGTTACGCTCTCAATGTTCTGCCATCTGGGCCAATCTGCATAGGGATCATCTCTGGCGACGGATCGTCAAGTTTTCCATTGCCACGACCGTCGCGCTGATCGTCGTCGTCCTTCCCGATGCTGTCGCGCTGTTCGGCACCACCGCCTTCTTCGCGCTTCTCACCACCGTCTTCGCACACCCGGCCCAGCGCATGGGGTTGATGGTGGAAAGCCTGCTCCTGATCTTTGCCGGGTGCATCCTGGGGACCGCGTGGGCCATCTTCGGCGTCTGGCTGTCGAGCCTCGTCCTCGCCTCCAACGTGTCGGGCGCCTACGCCATCCGTGCCGTCTTCCTTCTTTGCGCCGTCTTCCAACATGGCTACCTTCGTTCCTCCAGCCCGAGGCTGATCGCCTACGTCCTCTTCCACCTCCTGACCTCGACCGCCATCCTCTTGGGTCCAGCCCGAGCCGTGACCACGTCGATTATCACCGGCATTGCTTATCCCGTCTTGATTGGCTCCGCCGCCACGCTCCTTGCGAACCTCCTCGTCTTCCCGGAGCTCTCCTACACCTATCTTGCGCAGATAGCCATCAACACCATAAGTGAGACCACTCTGACGCTCTCGCGCTCTACCAGGTGGTTCCTCGCCCCTGGCGACCCCTGTCTCGGGCCTTCCGAGGGCCTCGGGGAAGAATCGCTCACGCAGAATACGCTGTATCAGAACCCATCCAGGAAAAGGGTCGATGAGAATGCGAGGACGGGAGAGTACCGGTGGTACAGGAAGCCGCTCGCGTTGCGAAATCCGTTTCATGCACCCGGATCCACGCCCGCCCTCGTCACTGTACCGAAAGGGGTTACGAGCTTGGCCACCCTGACGGACAGCAAATCGATATTGCGCTCCAAACTGCAGCGTTGCAAGTCTGGCCAGTCCGAGATCAATCTGGAGGTTTCGTTCGGGCCGCTCTCTCCTCTGAGTATGAAGCCCATCACTGGCAAGCTGATGACTGGTCTGGTGCACAACACCATTACCCTGATTGGGTCGTGCGAGAACAAGTTTGTCATGCTCAGGAGAAATACCGATCTTCGTCGTGATGAGGCTAGTAGGAGCAGGGGGAGCAGCAGGAGCAGCAGGAGGAGCAGCAGCAGCAGCAGGAGCAGCAGGAGGAGCAGCAGCAGCAGCAGCAGCAGCAGCGATAACAGCCGTAGTAGCAGCGACAGTACCGAGGATGACGACTCGGAAATATCTATTGATACCGCCACCGCCACCGCCACCGCCACGGAGCTCGTGGATCCCCTCTTGGAAGTTGAAATGGGCAATGTCGAGGTGTTCGAGGCTATGATCAGCCGGATCCGGGAACCGTCCACAGAGCTCGTGGAAACGATCAGACGATCCGCCATGGTAGTGACAACTGCCCTGGCATACTGCTATGGCCTGCCCAAATTGCATTTTGGCATGCCCACTCCCAAGAGGATCCCCCTTGAGGAGATGGACATCCACATCGACGCCTTCCTGGACGCCCTCGCCAGATTCGACCGCAGCTCCATGGCGGAACTAGAACGTCCCGCCGAGCTCGAGGGCAGCGAGATGAACCTCATGCCCCGCATGGAAACTTTCCTCGTGTCGTCCTTCCTACTAGGCTTGCGCCAATCGGCCGTCCGCTTGCTCCAGATGCTCCACTACGCCCGGGAGTTGGTGGAACAACGTCAAAGGGTACGGTTCTGGACGCAGATCCACATCCCCCGATTATCTGGTTGGAGACAATGGCTCTCCACGGGTGGCGAGTACGATGCCATGGTCCTGCCGCAGTCGATGCGCAGAGGGGCGCGATCCCCGCGAGGGTCTCTGAGGGAGAAGAGAGAGACGGAGCGAAGGGATGCAGGGCTTCCTTCCGAGGCGGGGCGTAAAAAGGCGTCTCCCTCGGCGCCCAACGATGAGGAGAAGCTGGCAGGGGGCGGCAGCCGCGACGACGGGCACCCGGACGCACAGGCGGCAGAACGCCCAGTATCGTCCCGCGAGAAGCAAGCGAAAAGAAAGCGACAGCGACAGAGACACGCATCACCGCAGGAGGGGCTACGTGGTGCCCTGAGACACGCAAGGATGGCGGCGGCCGACATGTACGAGTCGATGCAGAAATCGGATGATGCGCTGTACGCGATGAAGCTTGTTGTCGCCTTCTTCCTCGTCTCCTGGCCGGGTCTCGTCCCCTCGTGGCACGACTGGTACATTGAGGTCCGGGGCGTCTGGGCTCCGTTGCAGCTGATCTTGGTCTTCGAGGTGGCTATCGGCACGTCCCTTTTCGTGTTTCTCCTTCGCATGGTTGGTATCGCCTTTGGCTGTCTCGTCGGTCTCCTGGCTTGGGAGATTGGTAGGGGGCACAAGGTCCCCCTGGTGATTATCATGGTACTCGGTATCATTCCTTCGATCTACGTCCAGATTGGGACGAAGTATGTCAAGGCGGGCATGGTGGCGATTAATTCTATTGCGTCGGTCTCGCTAAGTATGTATATATTCACCGTCATCCTCTTCCTCTCCGCCCCCCCCTTTTCGAGCCATTGAATAATTAGGACCCATGCTCACTTTACACGCAATGTAGCCATGGTCTTCGTCAACGGGCGATCCGTCGAGATCTTCTGGAGACGGCTAGTTACCTTCCTCATCGGGTGTCTCGTAGGGTTGTTGGTCAGCCTCATGCTCTATCCCACGCGGGCGCGGCATCGGCTTGCCGAGTCCCTCTCGGCGTCCATCACGCACATCACGACGATGCAAACGGCGGTCGCGGTCGGGGTGGACAAGGCACGGGCGCCGGACATTCGGAACCAGAAGCTCCTGCGGCGGTTCGAGCGGGCGCGGGGCAAAGCGCAGGGCGCGCTGGCGGCGGCCGAGACGTTCCTCCCGTTCTGCCTCACGGAGCCCCGGCTGAAGGGGAGCTTCCGGCACCTGCACCCGATCTACCGCGAGATGATCTACGTGCTCCACCACATCGTGAACCGGATGGACAGCATGGTGCAGCTGCGGCGGGTATACGGCAGCTCGGTGCTGGAGGAGCTCAACCCGCACGTGCATGCGTACCGGCGGGCGCTGGCGGCCAGCGTGACCATGGCGCTCTTCTCGGTCAACCAGGCGCTGGTGACGCGCATGCCGCTGCCGCAGTTCATCCCGTCGGCGCGGCTGGCCATGTGGCGGCTCGTGCGGCGCGTGCGGGAGGTGCTGCAGCTGAAGGCGGCGGAACACGGGCTGGCGGGCGACACGACGGTCGGGGAGGGGTTGACGAGGTACATCGAGCGCGTGCGGTCCGAGGCGGGTAAGCGCGGGGCGTTGGATGAGCGGTCGGCGCGGTTGGTGACGCATTACAAGTTTTTGAGTTGGAATGCGAATGCGTCCGGGCAGATGGAGATTGTGGAGTATCTGGAGGAACTTGTCGAGCTGGCCAAGTTGCTGGTCGGGGTTAACGCGTTTCGGAGCGGGATGTTGGAGAGGCCTACGTTTCATGATTATGCTTCGCTGGCGAGTGGAGAGATGGACGAGCAGAAGAAGAGGAGGAAGAGGAGGAGGAAGAAGAAGAAGAGGAAGAAGAGGGAGGAGGAGGAGGAGGAGGAGGAGGAGCAGGTGACGGGAGCCTTGGGCGAACAGGGGAATGGCCCCGATGGAGAAGGCAGACGCGGGGAAGATTGGGAGGATGATAATAGAGAGGTGGTGGTGGATGATGAGCTGGCGAGAGCAGGAGGAGGAGGAGGAGGAGCAGGTGACGGGAGCCTTGGGCGAACAGGGGAATGGCCCCGATGGAGAAGGCAGACGCGGGGAAGATTGGGAGGATGATAATAGAGAGGTGGTGGTGGATGATGAGCTGGCGAGAGCAGAACAGGGTGCAGTCCTGGGTGCTGCTGCTGCTGCCATTCCGCTCCAGGAGATCGATACGGGGACATCGACGGGGCGGCAGCAGTCATCGAGGGGCGGTCTGGGTCGGATCGAGGGCAGACTCCGGAGAATAGCAACGCGGGATAAGAAAGCTCAAGAGTGGGAGCACGCAGTCGAGGGAGCGGAGGAGGAAAGCCATCCCGAGGTGCCCATCAGTCTTCAGCGTGTCTCGTCGAGGAGATCGGCCCGGAGGGCCTCGGCGGGTGTCCGGAGACGAGCGCAGACGTTGCAGGATGGGGATGAAGGTGGTCGGGATGCGGTTGGTGGTCTCAAAGGGAAGGGGATTGATGAGGAAGACGACGAAGCAGGCCATTGAGGTGTATTCGTAATGGTACGATGAATGATTAGTTCGGGTCAGTGAGGGTGAGGGTTGACGCATGGTCGTGAGGGCGGCTTCTATGCCGTGCCATGGTGATACCGTGGAACCCACCCCCCAAGGAGGCTCCGTACGTGACGTAGGTAGACGCAGACGGGGAATATTGGAGTCTTGGAGTCGTGGAGTCTTGGCAGTCTTGACTTCTTTGTCCAGCATGCATCATCGGCATGATGACATCTTCAGTTTGTGCCAAGATGAAGGCGAGTAGTAGAGTCGAGTGGCATGAAATGGTGTCCAAGTGGAATACCTGTGATTATTTATGCCTAGTTACCCCTTCTTTTCCCTCGGTTGAGCCTTCTGGTGATGATCTCTGCTCATATGCTCCCACCCCCCTTTTCTTCTTCTTTTATTCCCCCCGTCTTTACCCTAGTCGATCTACCCCCCGCGGAGAGTTCCAAGCAGCACGTTTGTCCTGACATTTCATCTCTCCATTTTCAGGAACCGAACCGATCCAGGGGAATACGGAATACTTGCGATTGATTAACCACCTACATCAACACCTGCTCCCAGACTTACAGTCTCAGCTCCTACAAAGCTATCTAAGCCAAGGAGCACGGCATGGAAGACAGTAGCAGAGGAAGAACGCAGACCGGACGAACCGAGGGAGGCGGCAGTGGCAGTGGCGTCGCCTTGGATAGACTACTCTTGTCCCCCAAGACCATCATAGCGAAGCGACGAGGACGGCGGAGACAGAAAAGGGAAGCGGAAGGGGACAGAAAGGGAAACGGTATCGGTATCGGTATTGGTATCGACGACGAGGCGCGTGACACTGCGGCTAACGATGGTGACGATCTGCTAAAGGGCTTAGGGCTGGCTATGGCGTATTATCGGCAGAAGGATGCGAGGGAAGAGGAGGGTGACGAAGAAGAAGAACGAGGAGGAGGAGGAGGAGACAAAAGCGAAGCCGAAGACGGAAGGGACGGAAGCAAAACGATCACGATGACGACGACGGAAGAGTAAGTTGGGTAACCCCCCCGTTTCCTCATTGGTCATTGATCCTTTTTGGTGGAGGAAGTTGTCAGCAGCCACCGGGGTACGAAAGAGTACGAATCATGGCTTGATTGCTTGGATTTGGGACGTTTTCCTATTGGCCTTTGCCCCAGAGTTGCAGGTGGTCTTCCAAACATCCAAAGTCGTTTTTCGTATCCCTTTCCCCGCTCCGCTCCTTCGAACCAGTCATATTAGCCTGACCAAGGGGTGGTCTTGGTCTTTCTTTCCGGCTCTTTCCATCATTCACCCCCCAAGCTCTTCTCTTCACCGACTTTCGGGTGTTCTGTTTGGGTACCGAGTTACATTGATTTTCTTGGACACCCTCACCCCCCTCTTGACCCCCCGCCCCTTTTGCCCTTTGCAGGATCCACTCACCAGAACACGGCCACAACGGAACGTTGGGACACTTCCGAACAAACCCCCTACCCCACTTCGGCCTAGGCTAGGCTCTCCAGGCGTCCCTTCCCCACCCTTCAGCCTTTACACCTGCACTTTTGTCAACATAACTCCATACGTTGTACCTTGCGTTGTACTTCATACATATTCGTACTTCACCACGCACCCACGCACCCACCCTCCACGCACGTTGTGCATCTGTTCAACTCCAAATTCCAACGCTAACTCGTCCTTCTCTCTTCCTCTTCCCATTCTAGTAGGTCTCACAACCAAGCATCTTCTTCATCCCTATCAGAAACCCTACCAGCAACCGCATCAACCGTCGTCATTCCCTCTCCCGTCATACGTCCTAACGCCTTTGCCGTTTCGACCCATCCCTCCCAGATCGGCTACCTCACCACCTCCTCTCCCCTCGTCCAAGCAACGCACCTCCCGGCGCCCCAGGGCCAGGAGGAGCACCAAGCGCCCGAGCTGGCATCCCCGTCGTCGACCATAGTCGCCAACCGGCCCGAGTCGGTTGGCTCCGACTCGCGGTCCAGCAGCCTCTCTGTCCGGAGCAAGACCTCCCTGTTGCCCCCGAAGCGAGACGCCCGTCGCTCTCCATCTCCCGTGGGTAAGATAAGGAGCGCCTTCAAGTCCCGCAAGAGTCTGGCGGGGAACAGCGGAAGCAGTCCAGGCACAAGTCCCGAGCGCCGGGCCACTTCTGCCGTGGACGGCGGTGTCAATCTCGATGCCGTAGGAAGTGGGAGTGGCAGAAGTCGTGACCTGGACCTGGACCTGGACCAGAACCGAAACCGAAACCGAGACCGAGACCGAGACCGAAACCGAGACCGAGACCGAGACGACTACGGACACATCGACAGCGCAACTCCTTCCCTTTCCGACACAGCCTCGTCAGTCAGCCACATCACCGCATCTACATCCGCCCTCCTTTCTTCCCGTCCTTCCGAATCGCAGGACTCGGAAACCTCTCGTGACACCTGCCGTGACACCTCTCGTGATACCTCTCGTAACAATACTACGCCGACTCCGGAACAATTCTCCCCCGATGCTTCCACTTCCACTCTGACAATTTCGTCCCCGCGACTGTCTGAACCGAAACGGGCTGCCACTGCCTCATTTGCTCCCCACCGTCGTTCCTTCACCCAGCTCCCCGCAACGCCACCCACCGCCACAACCGCTCAATCCCACAAGGAAGCAACGCCTGGTATCGTCAACACGCCGCCCTCGCCCACTGAACCTTCACGCGATGCCATTACCTTACCCCCTACTTCCAAACACGAACACAGCCTAGATGCTTCCAGTGCACCTTCCCCGTGGGGCACTCTGGTAGCCCACAGGAGAACGAGATCCAACTCGGCGAGCCCCGGCCCCAGCAAACTCTCCAACGCCACCTTTGCTCCCATGTCCCCGACCGTTGAGAGTCCCCCGGTCAACAACCCCAACAGTACATCCAGCTTCTTCTCGTCCATGCTTTCGGCTGCTCAAACCGCCGCCAACCAGATTACCAATACCATACAGAACACAAACCTCGGCCCGGCTTCGCCCAAAAATAAGGCCGGCATGGGAGCCCGTGGCTCCGTGCCGCAGTTAGGAGGAGGAAGAGGAGGAGTCCATCTCGGAGATTCCGCAGCAACCAGCCACGACGCCTCCGACAAGGTGCCCGCCGTCAAGACCCTAGGGGACGGGGAGCTGACCCTTCACCAACTCGGCATCGTCGAACCTTCCTCCCCTAGCCTGGGCCCTTCTCCCGTCACCTCCAAATTCCCCGACATGTCCTCCGAGACCCGCGCTCGCTCAGAATCCGCCCCGGTCGAGTCGACCTCGGGTGCTGTGTCCCACGATGACACATCCGACGATGCCCAGCCCCAGCCGAACGGGGCGGCAGCACGTTTGCTGCAGGATTCTCCCGCCATCGAACGCAGCCCGGTTCCTTCGGTACCGGACGAGAAGACCAGCGTCAGCCGTTCCGGTAGTGTCCGGAGCTCGGTCATAAGACACCGACCCCGTGGCAGCTCCACCGCTACGCGCGCTACGACCACCACGATCGGGCCCCCCATTGCCGCCACCGCGACCGGCGCCTCGGCCGCCCAGCCCGCCAGCCCTTCCGCCCAACAAAGGCTGAGCGGTTTTGCCGTCTCCAGCAAGAAGCGCAACCGGGACTTCCACGTCCTGTTCAAGAGCGTGCCGGACGACGACTACCTGATAGAGGACTACAGCTGCGCCCTGCAGCGCGAGATCCTGGCTCACGGCCGCCTGTACGTCTCGGAGGGCCACCTCTGCTTCAGTAGCAACATCCTCGGTTGGTCGACGACTCTGGTCATGAGCTTTGACGAGATCGTCGCCGTCGAAAAGAGGTCCACGGCTCTGGTCTTCAAAAATGGCCTCATGGTCACTACCCTGCACGCTAGGCACATTTTTGCCAGCTTCGCCAGCCGAGACTCGACCTACGACCTGATCATCAACATCTGGAAGCTCGGCCACCCTTCGCTGAGGAGCACCCTCAACGGGGTCGAGCTCGAGACCACCGGCGGCGACAAGACGGAGAAGATCATGGATGCAGGGGAGGCCCAAGGACCTGTCGAGCCGGAGGACCGGAGCGCTTCCGTCTCTGAGCTGGATGATGACAGCGAGGATGGTTCCGATATGTACGACGAAGATGACGAGGGAGAACCGGCCGATACCGCACACGGGAGCGAGGTCTCCGGCACTTCGGACTCCGACAAGGCGGCAGCAGCTCGCAAAGTCTCGGGCGCCGTGGTCACGAATGGTGCTCCCCCGGACTCGGGTAGTGGCGGCGAGGCCGGACCTCCCGCTGCCGGTGACGACTTCCCCGGGCCAGCAACCCACCCCGCCACGGATTGCGGCGACGCGGCCTCCCACTTGGAGAAGGTGGTGGGGGATGACGTCGTCCCCGCTCCGCTGGGTAAGGTGCACGACCTGATGTTCGGCGCGGGATCGGTGAATTTCATGCTCAAGTGGCTCAAGAACGAGGCCAAGTGCTGGGACATCGTCATGGAAGACAAAAAGGGGCTCAGTGCGGAAAACAAGACGCGGGCGTACAACTACATGAAGCCCCTCCCCGGCAGCATCGGCCCCAGCAAGACCAAGTGTATCGTGGCCGAGACCGTCGACAGCCTGGATTTCGAAAAGGCCGTCCACGTGTCCGTGGTGACGCAGACGCCAGACGTCCCGAGCGGCAACGCCTTCACCGTGAAGACCAAGTACTGTCTCTCGTGGGCCGAGAATAATTCGACTCGCATCCACGTCAGCTGCGTTGTGGATTGGACGGCTAAGAGTTGGCTTAAGGGTAGGACTTCCCCCCCTTTTTTTTCCCTTTCTTTTCCATAACTGGACATAACTGACAAGTCTGCACAGGCGCAATTGAGAAAGGCGCAAACGACGGGCAGGTGTCGTACTGCACCGACTTGGTCGCGAGCTTGAAGGCTGCCGTGTCTTCGAAATCTCGTCCCGGCGCAGATGCCAGCCGTGGCGTTGCGGGCAAAAAGAGGAAGGGCCGCAAGGGCCGCAGCCTGCAGGCGTCCACAGACACGGATACCGAGAAGGGTGACGTCAAGCCGAAGAAGCAGGACTGGGGTCTCTTCGAGCCCTTGCGGCCGCTCCTGGGCCCGGCCGTCGACCTGATCAAGCCGATCATGACAGGCAATATCATGTACGGACTGCTCGTCGGGCTCCTGGTGACGGCGTGGTTCGGCTTCGGTTTCCCCGACGCTTCTCGGCGGTCGCGGGACGTGGGCTACTACGCGGCGCCCGACCGGATTGCGGCGTACGAGGAGATTTGGCGGCGGGAAGAGAGCGAGCTGTGGGATTGGCTCCAGGAACGAGTCAACCTGGAGCGGATAAGAGAAGGAGCCGCCGCCGCCGCTGGCCCATCGACGGTGGGACAGATGGCTGGATCCCGTGCGATGAGGGAGAGATTGGGCCAAGAGCGCTTGGACGACCGCGAGATGGAGACGGCGATCCGCACTACGGAGGAGAGACTTCAGGGGCTGAAGGAGTTGATGGGGAAGAACAAGGGGGTGTGAGAGAAAGGGGAGGGGAGGGAGAGGAGGGAGAGGACCGGCGAACATACCCCTGTGTCGAAGGAGAGACGTTGCGGCAACTGGCCATCACACACATTCCCCCTTTTCCTTTTCCTTTTTTTTTTTTTTTTTCTTTTTTCTTTTACCCTTTCTCTCTCTTATCGTCATACTCGTACGAAAAGTTCCAACTGCGGGCAGGTCCTGTAAGGGACGTGTTCGACATTGTTAGGTATATACCACCTTACCCGCTTACACATAGCAGCCATAGCTACGTTTTTCCTTGCTTATTTTATTTTCTGGGGTTGTCAAAGTCTCTACGAGGGCATGAGAGGAGGAGCAGGCGGAGAGGTCCAAAAAGCATCATTGTAACATTAGTTTTTTTCGCAAGCGGTCAGAGCATGTCGAATATATACAATATCCAGGATATGATTTTGCTGAGGACTGAATGCCGACATGGCATGAAGATGAGTTGGAACCTACGAACCAGGGTCCGTCGAACGTCAACCGTCAACGTCAACCGTCAACCGTCGTCAACCAAACCCCCCCTTCCCCTGCACGCGTCTCACAGCCCCAACGACGCCCTTGGCCCAGCTAAACCACCCCGGCTCAACGCCCAGCGCGCCCTCGACCTCCCTTCCGCCACGGGGATCGCGCCACACGCCGTCCCGGCGATCCACGGCCCCGTAGGCGGCGGTGTTCTGGACGCGGCGCAGGGCGTCGATCCAGGCGCGACAGAGCGGCGGGGAGTCGACCATGAGGTTGGCCTCCTGGGAGTGGCACCAGGTCTGGGTGTCCTGGTTGCCGGAGCCGAGGATGGCGACGCGCTCGTCGGCGATGAGGAGCTTGACGTGGCTGGCGCGGGGGCCGGACCATTGGACCAGGGGCTTGGCGTGGTCTTTGGCGACGTACCAGTTGTAGTGCAGCTTGGAGCGGGCGGGGGTGGGGAGGGAGGTGTGGAGTTTGTGCGAGATGAGTTCGTTGTGGCCTCCTTGCATGGGGAGGAGTTCACCCTGGGGGGGTGTTGTTGTTAGATGGGGGAGGGGTTGTCAGTTGGGGGGGGAGAAAGCGATGTATATATGGAATATGGATAGGAATAAATGCGGGAAAGAGAGGGGAGGAGGAGGGAAGCGTACAGTGTCGTTGTAGCCTAGAGAGATGTAGCACCACACGTCTACGCCTCTTTCGCAGGCTTCGGTTATAGCGGGGAGGAGAGGCTCTGCGTTGAGGGTCGGGGTCTGGATGAAGACGGAGTGTTGGGCGTTGCGGAGGGCGGAGAGCCAGGCTGCGTTTTGCGGGTTGACGATGTCCTGGTTGTTCGGGAAGCCGTAGGGCGGTCGGTTGACGAGGGCCATGGGGACGGGGTCGTGTGGTGGATGTGGGAGGTAAGGGGTCATTTGTTCGGCCGGGGGGAAGTCTGGGGGCCGGTGCGAGGCGAGAACGACGTAGCCGGGGTGTAGTGTGTGGTTCAGGTGACGGGTGATGGGTGCGAACGCGTCTTCGCCGGGACGAGCTGTGACGGAAGCTTGTACGCGGAGGATTTCGGAGGCCTGGTCGTGATCGTAGTGGGGATCGTCGTGGTGGTGCTCGGGGAGGAGGTCGATGTCCGATTCAGGGGCTGGGGAGGAGGTGGAGGTCGAGGTCCAGGTGGAGGTGGAGGTGGAGGTGCCGCTGTTGGGATCCTGCTCGATCGGAGCAAACGGACTCGTCCAGGTCATCTTGTCCGGATCAACAACGACAGGAGTGCCTCGCAGTCTTCCGGCGTCGTCGAACAACCGCTCATGACTCTCCGTCCAGCTCGGACAACTATCCTGCGCGCCCGTGGCGGGCGAACCGATCAACGGCAACCCAGCCCCCAGCCCCTTGCTCCACGTAATCAAGGCCATATCATAGATGGAGTCGACCACCGGGCCCTCGAACTGCACGGCCATCTCGAGGTTGTTGGTATCCTGCACGTTGTTGCTCTGCACCAGGGCGATCCTCCGATCGACGACGGTGAACTTGGCGTGGAAGGTGCCCAGCAAGGGGCGGTGGTAGTTCATGACGTGCAGGTCGAGGTGCGGGATGTCGCTGCGGCGCGGGAGGGCGACCTGGCGGTCGGTGAAGTCGCGCTCGGCGACTTCGTGGTGCGGGTCGAGGAACTGCTTCAGCGAGCCGCGGTCGTACATGAGCTTCACGACTACCTTGCTGCGGCGTTCGGCGCCGACACGGCGGGAGAGTTCGCGGAGGGCGTTGGTGAGGAAGGTGGCGGCCACGCCGTTTTGCCAGTAGTTGGTGAAGAGGAGGATTTCCTTTTCGGCGCGGACGATGAGGTTGGACATGTGGCGCGCGATGTCCGGGGTGCTAGAAGGGGCGAGGGACAGGGGGCTTAGCAATGAGCGTCTGGAGAAGGGAGGGCAAAAGTGTTGGCTGGCTCACGTAGAGATGATGGTCAGGGGTACAGTTCCGCTGGTGCCCATGAGAGAAGGACTGACGACGGCCTGATCAAGCCTGTCGTCTATGGTCCTCAGCGAGTCACCGTATATCTGGAGGAAAAGATCGCTAGGCTGCGTCTTGCCCCATGTCGCCAGGGCGGACGCCTTGTCTAGCGATGACAGTCCACCGGATGGGGCCACATCGCCGCTGCTGTTGGCCGGGTGGCTGTCTTTTTCAGCTTCATGACGATGTTGATGTTGATGATGTTGCCAACTCTTGCCATACAACTGGTCCCAGGCCTCGCTTGGAGTGAGTGAAGGTTCCTTGGCTAACAGTAGGGAAACGCTCTTATGGGCGGAGCAATGGTGATACAGCTCTTCGCTGATGTCCTTCACCTTGTCGATGGTTTTGGTCAGAGGCGTAGGCGGCATAGTCATCTTCTGTCCTGCGTCTGTATCCTGTATTTCTCTGTGTGAAGAAGGGAGAGGAACGTATGAGCGGATAGAAAGCAAGCTTAGATCCTTCGCCACTGGCCACTTTGGCTTGGCGACTTGGCGATACTTGGACTACGTAAATGTTTGAACACATGGAGTGTCCAACGTGTGGGCTAGAAGATCCGAGGTCGGTATACAAAGTTAAGCATCGGCGTTGGGCGCAGGAAAGGTTACCACTTGATAGACACCGCCCCCCGACGTTCGACTTCGACTCGCTACCAAGGCAAAACTGAGTTGCCGCCGTTCCCCTGGCCCGACCATCGAGGACCGCACCCGCCCTTCTGCTCGGCGCACTTGTTCACTTCGCCGTGGCACCGTCTGGGCCCTAGTTCTAGCGCGCCATCTCGAACACCACGATCTGCAACGGCAATGTCTCATCACTTTCATCGGAGGCATGAACGTACGTATTGGTGGGCTACACATCAGCCGTCCGTTCACAGTAACACCAAATCGAGGGGCATGAAAGTTCGTGCATTATCGTCCAAGTCATTGCCCCCCATCAAAACAAAAATTGACCGGCTGTGCTGGAAAAAGAAGATAAAAAATAAATGCAAACAGTCCACTGCGGCTCGATTACGCCTGTGGCTCGGAGGCGATGCTCAGCTTGGAAGCCGAACCCCGCGATCCGGGCCGTCTGCTCTCCGTCCTCTCCATCCCTGAACCGGCTCCATCCACGGCGCTGCTTTCTCGCGACAGCGGCGACGGTTTCTCGGGAGTGACGGACCGGGAATCGGCACGCGGCCGCTTCGGCTTGGTGGAGGAGCTCACGGACAGCTTGCTGCCCCGTCTCGGTTTCTTCTCCTTTTCCGATGTTGTCGGCCCGGTCGACGATGAGCCCGAGCTAGCCTTTCGGCTGAGGCCGACTGCGGCGGCGGCGGCGGCGGCGGGATCGTCGCTCTCGACGGTCGGAGTGATGTTCCGCGGCCGCGGCGATGAGCTGGTAGAGCTGCGGCGGCGCGTGGTGCTGCTGTTGCCGTTGCTGTTGCTGTTGCCGTTGCCGTTGCCGTTGCCGTTGCCGTTGCTGTTGCTGTTGCGGCGGCGGTACTGCTTCTCCAGGGCAGCGGCCCGGGGATGCAGCTTGTCCGTGTCGTGGTCTCGGTCGCGGTTCCGGCTGTGGGTGGCAGCACCAGCACCAGCACCAACACCAACACCAGCAGCGGAGGAGGACGACCGCGTGGACGGCGTGGTCGGCACGCCGGGGACGCGACGCCAGGGTAACCACCAAAAGATGCCCCAACGCTCCTTGGCCAGGCGGCGGTCCCGTTCCTTCAATTTCTTCCGGAGGAGGGCGCGTCGCTCGTTCTCCCGCTCCCAGTATTCGGCGCGGTACAGCTCCCAGTTCTCGCGGAAAGCCGGGGTGAAGGGCTTGGCCAGCAAGAGCAGCTTGACGTAGTCGCCGCCCGACGCGAGGTCTTCCTCATGGCCGTGACCATGACCATGACCATGACCACTGCCGGTGGTAGTAGTACCTCCTCCTTTCTCCTCGTCTTCGGTGGTAACGATAGGTATGGGAGGGTGGGCACCGGGGGCGAGGCCCAGTTCTTTCTCGACGTCTCGTTGGATGGGGGGGTCGACGTGGCGGTAGGACGAGCTCGCGGTGTGGGAGAAGAGGCCGTAGGTCAGGAAGAAGCCGATGGTGGAGGCGAGCTCGGCCCACCAGGAGCGGCGGATGAGGACGAGCTTGCAATTGAAAGCGCGCAGGCCGCGGTTGGAGACGGCGAACCAGCGACGGGGCCAGCGGATGCCGCGGTCCCAGATGCCCGTAACCCAGACCAGGATGGCGGTCATGATGCCGCCCATAAAACAGAGCTTCTCGAAGGTCTCGATGCCCCAGTAGACGGAACCCCCGACGCCGCTGCCGTCCTCGCGCGGGGCCAGGAACAGGCCGTAGCCGAAAGCGCCGATCCAAAGGGTCAGCAGGGCCAGGAAGAAGGTGTGGTGGCGGCGACGGGCACGGAGCTCGAGGAACTGGGCGCGCAGGGAGGCTTCGAGGACGAGGAGGTTCAGGTAGACCATGGGCGGGGAGCTGGGTGCGTTGATGAGAGGGTCGGCGAGGGCGGACACGCCGCTGGTTCCGGTGACGGCCTTGGCATCCTTTCCGGGGGCGGGAGCTCCCTTGACCAGGGAGTCCAAGTGGTCGGCCATGAACTCGTTGGCGTCGCCTGGGGGGGGGGGGTTGAGGGAGGGAGAGAAGACAAGCAACGACAATGGGGTCGGCTACCTGGTAGACAGGGATGGTTGCATGTAGTTTTTAGGGGGAGAGATGGGTAGATTGGATTGTCGTGAGCGAGGAGCGAGGCGTTGATGTGTTGATTGCTGATGGGACGTGACGTGACGTGCTGTGGTTTGGATTTTTGGCTTCCTTTTTTTCTTGGAGTTTCTGGGCTGTCAGCTGTTAGCTGTCAGCTACATGTCACTGCTGCCTCTACCGTCACTTTGGTGGGTCATGGAATAACTTGAGCTCCGGAAAAGTATTACGTACGTTCTCTATGGGTACATACCTTACGTATTCGTACTTAAGACTGGGCCTCTTCCTTAGAGCCTCGGTACACGTACATCGTGCTGCGTCGGAATTACTAATAATAAGGGATACCTTACCTTAAGCTTAGGACCTACCTTAGTTATTAGTACCTGCGCAGACAGACACCATCCTCTGTCCACGTGGACTACAGCGAATCAGGCCCATCAGACACATCAGACACATCAGGCAGCAGTCTTTCTTCTGACTATTCTCCTTTATCTCCTTTCACTCTCCTTTAAATCCTTCCATCCCGCCTCCTCGCGTCTCAAAGCTGTTGACGAATCGAGTGGACGACCTCCCGACGGACACGGGGTAACACTTTGGCCCGGCCATTCCCCATTCGCCCCGCTTAACCTCCGGCGACACCACCCGTTAACTCCGAGCTCCGTCCACATCCCTCACTGCTCATCCGAGGATTCCATCCGAGTCATCCCTCCTGCTTTACCCTTTACGCATACGCCGTGCTGCGGTTCTAGCTCCCGCCGTCTTGGATCCAACCTTGGTCGATGCTGGTTCATGCTGCGTAGGAGTGTAGTACGTACGGTATCTCTTCTCTTTGTCTCAGCCCCCATCCTACCCCCTGCTGACGTACCCAACCAGATTGTGCACACCCTTGTCCTCTCCCGTCGCAGTCGCAGTCGCCCTCGCTCTGCCCTCAGCCATCCAATGCCGCGTCTCCCTGTAGCCTTGATCCTTCCGCCGCCCTCTTAGAACCGTGCCTTTAAAACCCCCCACTCAAGCATCCCACCTTTGGCCAAACCCCCTTCTGAGTCCCGGCATGCTCCAATTTCAGCCTCCATCCCTTTCCGCCGTGATCAACGGATCGCGACTCGGTCTCGCTGCGGCTTCCGCTCTGGTGACCAGCACAACTACTCCCACCGCTTGCTCCTCTTCCCCGGCCTCCATACGTCCCCTCTCGTCCCCCGAAGACGCCGCCGCCCAGCGAAGATCCTACCAGACCGCGACCACCGCGCATAAGACGAGGGATATGTCCGCCGATGAGAAGGCCAGGCCACAACGGCCCCATATCGCCTGGTTCCCCCTCGGTTACAAGGACGCCGCTTACCAGTGGGTATGTCTGTCTGCGCCTCCCCCTCCTCTTACCTTACGTGCTGTCGTTACGAGTCGATCAAGTTTTGTTGCCGTCGCTGACATCCGCCACCTTCCGCCATATAAGTGGACAAGTATATCTCCTACCCTCGCCGAAAGAAACGTCCTCTCCCACATCCCCTACCTCAGAGAGGCGCGAGACCAGCACGCCGCCGCCGCCGCCACCGCCTCGGCCCTCGATGCCGCCTCCCGCCCCGATCCTTACGGGCCCCGGGTATGGCGGTCACAGATGGTCACCCTCTCGGGCAAGGACCGCGCCCTCAACGAATATTCGATCGAGCGCGTGGGCGAAGAGGTGGACGACAACCTGGTGGTCCTGCACGGCTACGGCGCCGGACTGGGCTTCTTCTACAAAAACTTCGAGCCCCTGTCGCGGGCGCCCGGGTGGAAGCTCTACGCCCTCGACATGCTCGGCATGGGCAACTCGACGCGCCCGCCCTTCCGGGTCCACGCCAAGGACAAGGCGGGGAAGATCGCCGAGGCGGAGGCCTGGTTCATCGACTCCCTGGAGGAGTGGCGGAAGATCCGCAACATCGACAGGTTCACCCTCGTCGGCCACTCGCTCGGCGGCTACCTGTCGATCGCCTACGCCCTCAAGTACCCCGGCCGCCTGAAGAAGCTGGTCCTCGTCTCCCCCGCCGGCATGCCCGAGGATCCGTTCGCCGTCAGCGAAGCCATGCCCGAGCCCGACATGTCGACGCTCGAGAACGAGTTTACACAGGACCAGGAGAGCGTGGTCCATGATGAGCGGAACCGGGCCAACGCGCAGGTGAAGACCAACAAGGCGACGACGACGACGACGACGACGACGACGACCAATGGCGAAAGCACCAACGGCAAAAGCACCAACAGCAACAACGCGCCGAAAAGGCCACTCCCCGGCTGGCTCGTCTGGCTCTGGGACGCCAACGTCTCGCCCTTCAGCATCGTGCGCTTCACGGGCCCGCTGGGCCCGCGGTTCGTCTCCGGGTGGACGTCGCGCCGCTTCAACCACCTCCCCGCCACGGAGGCCCAGACGCTCCACGACTACGCCTTCTCCATCTTCCGCCAGAAGGGCAGCGGCGAGTACGCGCTCGCCTACATCCTGGCGCCGGGGGCGTTCGCGCGCAGCCCCATGGTCAACCGCATCGCCGGCGTGGGGCGGCAGATAGTGGCGGCGGCGGCGGCGGCGGAGCGCGAAGACGGCAGCGGCGAAAAGGTCAGCAAGGAGACGGGCGTGCCCGTGGTGATGATGTATGGCGAGAACGACTGGATGGACGTCGCGGGCGGGTTTGCGGCCCAGGAGAGGCTCAAGGAGGCGCGGCGCAAGGCGTTGCTGGAGAATTCGGACGAGGAAAAGAGGAGGGAGAACGGGTCTGCGAAGGTGGTGATCGTGCCGAAGGCGGGCCACCACCTTTACTTGGATAATCCTGAGGCGTTTAACGAGATGCTGCGGAAGGAGATGGACCACACGCGGGAGCAGGGGATGAAGGGGATTGTTTAGAAGTATGGTTGCGTGGTAGCGGGTAGAAGGTTACATGGCGAGAGCGGCGTTCTTTTTTTTTTCTTTTTTTTTTCTTTTTTTTTTCTTTTTTTTTTCTTCTTCATTTCTTCTTCTTTTTTTTCTCGGCCGCATCAGCCAGGATCGGCGTTTTGGAGTTGAACTAATTGAAAGTCGTGAGAATCATGAAGAACTTTTTACGCACACACATATATATATATATATATATATATATATACATATATTGTTGTTTGGTTGGGTGATGTTGCCAGGGTTGTACTGAAGCCTACCTAGGTATATTGTGTAAGGTACCTTACCTTGTATATTTGACACAAAGCCCATCATTATCTCCTGGAAGCCATAATGGAATTCGTCAGGGTATGTGACACTCAACATATGGAAAAAAGGAAAACAGGAAAAAAACAAAAGAAACGATGGTCCCAGAGGGCTCAAACTCTCGGCCTTTGCATCATTAGTACGACTGAGAAATTGATTAATTAGTGGAAATTCTGTACCATCTCGGAGACATCCAACTACGTACCGCTCTAACCAACTGAGCTATGGGACCTCAGACATGTGTCTTGGTGGCCAGGAATAGACCTAAGCTGTTTCCTTGTCGCTCACGATGCAGAAGTGTGGTGGACATGTGGACATGTGGTACGGGAGACAAAGTACGAATATGGATCCTCACACAGATCCAGGTACAGATTCGTATTTTGGGCAATGAATTTCCGTACTCAGCCCCAGCGTAGAAACCACAAAGTACAAACGACTCATGTACTCGTACTTCGAACTGCTAAGAACGGTCAACACCGAAACGATCACTGCCTCCCGACATACCAAGTGATTACTTCGTACTCTGTACGGCGGTTCTTTGTATTATACCTTCTTCTGCTCCTGAAGGTACCTTATCTTAGGTAATTACTCTAGGTATACTTCTTCTAGGTACTCCACGTATGGTTGCCCCTTGCATTATAATACCCGTACTACCGTAGAACTCGATAGATGCGGTTTTGAGCTATTGTGCCTCTTCCTTTACCGGCACTTCCGATACTGCCTCCTCTGATGCTGCCGCTTTGACTGCCACCTCCGATGCTGTAGCCTCCGATGCTGGTTCTGCTGATACTGGCCCTGCCGCCTCCGATTCTGGCTTTACTGGTGTTGTCCCTGCTGCTGCTGCTGATGATGATGATGACTCTGCCGGTGATGGCACTGCAGATGCTTGCCTTGTCCCGGCCGGTGCTGTCCCTGCCGGTGCCGTCCCTGGTTGTGGCCTTGCTGGTTGTGGCCCTCCCGGTGCTGGTCCTGCCCATGGTGTTCCTTGTGGCGGCCCTGGCCATGGTGCTCCATGTGGTGGCCCTGTCCACGGTGCCCCTTGTGGTAGTCCTGCCCATGGTGCTCCATGTGGAGGTGGCCCTGTCCATGGTCCTCCTTGTGGTGGCCATGCCCACGTTGTCCCTGGCGGTGGTCCTGTCCACGGTGCCCCTTGTGGCGGCCCTGGCCATGGTGCTCCATGTGGTGGCCCTGTCCACGGTGCCCCTTGTGGTGGTCCTGCCCATGGTGTTCCTTGTGGCGGCCCTGGCCATGGTGCTCCATGTGGTGGCCCTGTCCATGGTGCCCCTTGTGGAGGTGGCCCTGTCCATGGCCCTCCTTGTGGTGGCCATGCCCACATTGTCCCTGGCGGTGGCCCTCCCCATGCTTGTACTGCCCATGCTGGCCCTGTTGGTGCCGGCCCTGCCGCTGCTGCCCTTGCTGCTGCTGCCCTTGCCGCTGCTGCCCTTGCCGCTGATACACTTGCCGCTGTTGGCCTTGTTGGTGCCGTCCCTGCCGATGCTTGCCCTGTGGATGCTGGTGTTGCCGGTGCTGGTGTTGCCGGTGGTGGTGCTGCCTCTCCTCCCGGTGCTGCCGGTGCTGCCCCTTCCGGTGCTGTTTCTCCCTGAGCTGCCTCTCCTTGCGCCGACCCCGTCGATGCCGTCCCCGCTGACGCTTTCTCGGCTTGCCCGCCCGAGCCTACATTGGAGGCCGGCGTGGATGGACCACTCAATTCGATCCCAGAAGCGGCCAATATCTTGTGCCTCCGAGTCCACCAATTCTGTATGGTCGACGAGGGAATCCTGAAGAAGACGCTGGCTTCTTGGTATGTCGGTCTCCGGTACCCTGCGGGTACGACGGTGTTGTCCCCGAGGTCGCGTTCTCGTTCGCGCATTGGCGGGGCGCGTGGAAAAGGCGGGGGTTCGACGATGGCTACGTAATGACGCTCGAGGAATTCCAGGACCTGTATACGCCGTTGGTTCGGGTACGAGCGTTCAACGCGTGTTATCGGCTTGAGGGCGTGTTTGCGTTCGCTGATGGGCTTCGGTTTCGGGCCCGGTTTCTTTTTCACCGGAGGTCCGGACTGCGAGTTTGCAGTTGCCGGCGGGGGGGCCATGATGATTGTGATGATGTCGGGTACAGCGAGGTGATACTGTAGTAGAGGATTGTCATTGCTTGTACCTGTTGTACTTGTTGTGCTTGATGTTGAAGTTATTAATTGTATTTCCTTGAATTTTTTTTTTCTTTTTTTTTGCTTTTCTTTCTTTTTTTTCGGCTTTGGGAGCGTCGCGTTGATAAACGGAAAGTATCGAGTACCTGTACAGACTACGGACACGCATGCTCAGTCCAGTTCTCCACCGGCTGAGTCAACACAAAATTGTATTTGTTGAGTTTTGCAAAGACTTTTGTGAAGTACACGTGTACACGTACCAAAAGGTACGGATTCTTTCGTCTTTCGTACCTTGCCTATTTAGGAAAGGGGGCTGCCGGGTGTGGGGAAGCCCCTGACTAAGGTACCTTAGACAAGCCAAGTGGGGCCCTGACGAACCGAACGTCACCAGCGCTACGAACGTTACGTCATTTGTCTGAGCTGGACCCCTGGCCAAACACTTTGGTACGAATAAAACGCGAGGCGGGTTGATGCTTTACTAAAAATATGGAGGAATACGAAGATCTTGGGCAGTTCTACAGTAGTGAGTCTCGTTCTACATGTGTAGGCTTCGGTTCTACACGTACAACGTACACTAGCAATCTTCCCTATCTTCCTCGTATCCATCGAGTCCTGCCGCCTGCCTCCTTCAAGCTTTCGTCCTCTCGCTCCAACCGAAGCGTCCTCGTCCTTCTCCCAAGAAATCACAAAAGAAAGCTACGGCGTACATCCATCACCCCAAGCAAACACAGCAATACAAAGGAAACGAAACCGAAACCATCATCACCATCATCACCATCATCACCATCATGCCCTCCCTCCTCCGCGCCGCCCTCCCCTTCGCCGCCCTGGCCCACGCCGCCTCGGACGTCGTCTTCAACCCCGACTCAAACCCGCCCCTAAACCTCTCCCCTGTCGTCTTCCGCGAAGCCGCCGCCGTCCCCAATGCCACCAACGCCGTGCCCCTCGCCTTCGGTGACAGCTCCGACGACACCGGTGCGAACCAATGGGGTCTCCGGATCCTCGTAACCGGAAACGTCCCCGTTCGTGACGACGACGACAATGACGATGACGATGACGATGACGATGAGGACGTCACCCAGCTCACCGTCATCTCCCTCATTGCCCCTGAAGGTACCAGCAACTCGACCTGCCTCTCCGTCTGGGAGGCCTCAGTTCGGACGCCACCCGCGAGGCCCAGGACGATAGGGGATCGTGCGAGGTCTTCAGCTCGCAGTGCAGGGACGCCCTCGAGAGCGCGGCTTCCAACCGGGACGGCTGTGGCAGGGTGGATATACCCGATAGCTGCAGCGAGTGGTTCTCTAGCGACAGGCAGTGGAATGATGGTGAGTTTTGGTTATTCCATTTTTTTACTCCTTTTTTTCCCTTTTCCCCTTTTTTTGGTTCTGCTTGCCTCTTGGTGTCACGGTTGTCTAATGATAATCGCCTGCAGAAGTAACCTCCAACGCCACCCTGAGCAGCCGCGTCTTCGCCCGCGCCACCGACCCCGAAGACGCCGGCTCCGACGACGCCAGGGCCGCCTATGCCCGCGCCGTCACCCACGTCTGGCCCGTCGTCGTCTCCCTCGGCGATTCGTCCGCCCTGCGCTGCCTGCGCGCCTCCGACGTCCACCAGGGCAGTGACGAGCCTGACCGGGTGCCCGACCGTGACCCTGATGCGGATGGGGACAGCGACGATGACGATGACGATGATGACGACCGCAATGGTAACGGCAGCGGCAGCGGCAGTGGCTCGGGCAGTGGAAACGACGACGATGACGATAACGCCGCTGGAATGGTGCGGGCCGGCGTCTTTGGTGCTGTCGGTGTTGCTGTTCTCGCCGCTGTTGCCGCCTTCTAAACGACCTTTCGCCGTGGAGCCTGGGACATCTAAGGAGGGAGTGGCCTGTCTAATGATACACATCATAAGAGTGTAGCATTGATTGCCTTTGAAGCACCCATGTTGAGAAGGGCTTCGTTGTCCATGATACATCTTGTAATAATCATCAACCTGATATTCGAGTTGAGCTTTTCTATTCCTGATACCGTTGCATGGCGTTTCCTCTAACAACCAACCCCCTGTATCATAACGTGGACTATCTCCTGAGACTATGTTCATTCCTCTCTCTCTCTCTCTCTAATATCCCGTGAAAAGTCAGGACAACGTCTTTTGTGGCTCTTGGAAATTGCATGGCCATGACTATAATAGCTGGCTGGTGGCCTCTAGTGGCTATCAAAAATAAACATAAATATAAAAACGATATATATAAAGAAAAGGTGAAGAAGACTGGAAGAAAAGAGAAGAACAAAACGAAAAAGGCTGGTCTATGCAGGCAATTCTTGAGGCGGCGGTCGTGGATGAACTCGAGGCAGGCTATAACCATGCAACTCGGTCGCCGGGGTCAACGGCCCCTTGACATCGTTGGAGCTAACTGGCCAACTCGGTCCCTCACTATTCTGAAGACCTTGTCCTTGCCTCCTTTTCTTCTTCTTCTTCGTCTTCTGTCTTCTCCTCCAGAAGAACAAGGCCGTTCCACCTCCAATGACCACCAGCGCCCCTACAGCAGCTCCGGTCCCGATCGCGGCCAACGCCCCCGTCGAAAGATCGCCGCCGCCGTCATCGTCATCAGATTCATCAGATTCATCACCGCCCTCATCGTTGTTCACACCATCGGAAGACTCCGGCAACGGAACGGGAGATTCGGATTCCCGTCCAGGCATAACCCCCTCAGACTCTCTCGACCTCTCGACCTCCTCCTCCGTCAAAGCAGTCCACGCACCCTCCCACGAGGTCTCCCAGTCATTATCCCCCGCCTCCACCGTCTCAGCCTCGTCCTCGATGCGTTCCGCCCGCGGGGAAGACTGCACGTTAGGACCCGGCGCCTGGGCGAGGAACCACTTCTCGCGGTGCCAGTTCGCGCCCAGGAAGGCGTCCTGCAGGAACGCGCGGCCGAGGACGTGGTGGCCCTGCCCCCCCGTAAAACACGGCAAGTAAGGCGTCGGGACGTCGGCGAGCGGCGGGGTGAGGGTCAGGTTCAGGTGGGCGAAGGGGATGCGGATGGTGACGACGTCGGTGTTGGAGGCGGCGAAGAGGGAGAAGGTCAGAACGGAGGCGGAGGAGACGATGAGCGGGTAGCGCGGCGAGGCGCGGTCCCAGAGGTAGAGGCCCAGGGCGTCGTCGTACCGCACGGGGAGGTGGGCGGCGATGGCGTCGCAGGTGGGTTTCGGGAGCGTGAGGTAGGGCGAGCACCCGTCGACGCGGACGGGGAGGCCGCTGGTCGAGGCGGCCACGTCGTCCCGTATCAGGAGCCCCCGCTGCTCGGAGGTGAAGTGGTCGAAGGGCGAAGCGCCCTGGACGACCTGGATGCTGATGTCGCGGAGGGTGATGGTGTCTTGGAAGGATCCGTCCCCGACAAGCACGGGGCCGACGACGCGGTTGGGGTCGTAGCCGCCGAAGAGGAGGGAGCCGGCGACCTCGGCGCGCCTCGACGCCGACCCGATGTGCATGCCGAACGAGTTGGAGGGGATGTCGCCCTGCTCCCACAACACGCCGGGGACCAGGCTGGCGTTGGTGGGATAGCTGCCGTCGTTGGAGAAGGACTGGTTGACGGCGCCGGGGGGCCCGATGCCTAGACAGCCGGCTGAGAGGGGGTACCACTGGCCCCCCGGGTACGCGGTCATCAGACCGTCGACGAGGACGGGGCTGGTACGGGGGACGGTCGCACTCGCCCTGTCGTTAACCGTCATGGCGTCGAGCCACATCCGGTGGGTGCTGAGCATGCCGCCGACGGGCTGGACGTCCATGCCGAGCATGTACTCGTCGGGGCGAGGCGTCCAGGCTATGCCGCCGGAGAAGCCGTGCCTTCGTCGCGGCTGTAGGTCCCTGCCGTGGAGGCATAGCAAGGATGGGAGGAGTTTCGACGGCAATAGTCATCAGTCAAGATGTAGGACTGGAAAGTCCGGCCGGGGAAGAGGTTGACGGACTGGTCCTGACCGAGAGTCACCTCGACCGCGGGCCATGGTCCGTCGGCCCCAAAGCCCTGAGAGGACCACGGCACGCGGACGGGAGAGTTCCCATGGACTTGAGTGCAGTGGAGTGGCAGTAGAAAAAGGACCGACGACATGAACAAGCGAGATAGGCTCTGTGGTAATAAGCCCATGGTGATCGTTGAGATGGTGCATCGCCGGCATCTCACAGGTGTTGTATAATAAATAGCATCCCCAACTCAGATTACAAGAGTAAACATTACATGTATACACAAAGCGTAGCAGAGGAAGAGAGAGAAGAGAGAACAGAAAGTAAGGAAGGCTTTGGACTGAGCAGGGGGGAGTCGGGGGACGGCCTACTGATGCAAGAAACTCTCCCGGCCCCATCATCTCCGAAGAAAGCCCATTTTAACGCCAACGTAAGTGAGAGGCAACAAAGCTAGAGGAAACAGAGGCAACGGATCCGGACCAAGCAGACCGGGGACAAGGTCATGCCAGTCCTCGGATGGAGAACACAAAGCGTGAACAAGCGAAGCAGAAGTCACTTGCAAGTACGAATACCTACGTTGTACGAACTACAAACCTACACAGACTCGAACCTCGGTGACGAAATCTGGCGATGCAAAATCAAAAAGGAGGACGGTTGGGCAAGACGAGCGTCGCCCAGCTGCGGCTATAAGTCGTGCCAAGTGACCGTTGGTCGGTTGGTCTACCGTTTGTTGGTCCGTTGGCGTGTTGGTGTGTTGGTCAGCCAAGGTCTGGCGGTCTGGGGGTTGCCGTGGGTTTCTGGTATGGGATCAGCGGAACAGTGAATGAAAGGGGCAACGAACAAGCCGGTGCCTCGTGGAATTCAGACCCGACCGTCTGGTTATGCCAATCCATCCTTGGCACAGCGAACGAATCGAACGACAAGAATGGTGCAGTCAAGTCTGTCAAAGACGGTGGATGACCACCCCTTAAAAAGGGGGGGAACTAGAAAGCCAATAACCGAGGCCTTGTAACCGCTTGAGACAAGTTCCTGTTAGGTCCATGTCATCTAAGTGAAAGAAACAGAAAGGAAAAGGACTTGTTTGCAGCTTGCTAGCTGCTACGCCTAATCCTGGGAATAGGACAGGACGAAACCCCGTCCCGTGTGTATGGTAGCGTATCATGTTGAGTAAACCGTGGACGAGGAAGACGGCGACGGCGCTTGTTACGGGAAGTCGTAGTCTGTAGACAGGACTTGTCGTTCTATGGCGCTTGATTTGATCGTATATCATGATCGCGAGTTGTCGGCGGCAGAAGAGTCGACGAGAGTCATGGAACGAGAGAAGATGATAGATTGAGAAGTTATCTTGATTCTTGATTCTTGACTATCCAGACACACTCCCGCCCCCCTTTGTGCTTGCTTCACCGTCTTTGTCCCCTACCCTTACCCCTACACCCTGCGGTTCGTTGACTCTTTCTTACAGAGCTGATCATTGCTCAAAGGACCACCGATGGGCCACCAGTCTACCATCTATCAGTTGAGTCTTCTACAATGTCATCGCGAGTACTACTCTCACAGATATGGCCCTTTGCATGGCCCGGAACCTCGTCAGCCGCATCAACCACATCAACCTCTCTGCTACTCGACTCCAAGTTAACCACAGACAAGAACGCCTCATCTGGAACCACTCCCTCCTTCGTCGACGTCGTCACATCCAAGGGCTTCAGATGGATCGTCTCTTGCATTCTCGCCGCTCTCGTCTTTCTCAGTCTTCTCTCCAACGGGGAACACATCTTCACAAGGTCCCCGATACCCATATCAGAACCTCAACGCCCGGGGAGCCGGACAATACTCTCTCACTCCCACCGCCTGGATGGTCCTGACGACGTCGACTGGTCGCGCTTCGCCTACGTCCAGTACGTCACAAACAGCGTCTATCTCTGCAACGCCGTCATGATCTTCGAAAGCCTACATCGCCTCCAGAGCAAAGCCGACCGGCTCATGATGTATCCTGCCTCGATGATGTCCCCGGACGCCACGGTGAGCTCCTCAGACGACCAGAGGCTTCTTATCAAGGCCCGTGACGAGTACGGCGTCAAGCTTGCTCCCATCCAAGTGCAACACAGAGATGGGTTTGACGGTATGGTTTCTCACTCTCGAGTTCATCGCCCCCTTTTTTTTGTTTTATATATATCTTTTTCTTTTTTCCATTTCACTCCATCTTGAATAACTCCCGGTCCACTAACAACCCCCTCTATTATCACAGACACATGGTCCGACTCGTTCACAAAACTCCTAGCCTTCAACCAAACCCAATACGACCGCGTCCTCTCCCTCGACTCCGACTCCACCATCCTCCAACCCATGGACGAGCTCTTCCTCCTCCCCCCGTGTCCCATCGCCATGCCTCGCGCCTACTGGCTCTTCCCGGGGAAGCCGATCCTGTCCTCGCAGATCATGCTCATCACCCCCTCGGCCGACGAGTTCGCCCGCGTCCAGCGCAGAATCGACTCCGCCGCCCCGGACGACTACGACATGGAGATCGTCAACTCCCTCTACAAGGACACCGCCCTCGTGCTCCCCCACCGGCCCTACGACCTGCTGACCGCCGAGTTCCGCCGCGACGCCGACCATCACGTCCCGTACCTCGGCTCCGACACGGAAGCCTGGGACGCCGTCGCCGTGTTCAACGAGGCCAAGTTTCTGCATTTCTCCGATTGGCCTGTTCCCAAGCCGTGGTTGGCTACGCCGGAGCAGTTGAGGAGGGAGAGGGAGCCTACATGCATGGGTAAGGATGACGAGGAGGGACAGGAGTGTAGTGAGAAGATTCTGTGGAACAAATGTTATACTGATTTCAGGGAAAGGCGCAAGGTACGTTCCCCCCTTTTTTCTTCACCCCCCTTTTCTTATTATTTGTATTTATTTATTTTACTCCCATGCCTCGACTCTGCTTTCTTTCTTCCACTCGATATACTTGGACACTGCACGAAACGTGTTGACATCACGACAGCGGGTTTGTGGCAAGGGAACATCCCGTCAAGGCCGCAGGTAGTCGCACACCCGGGAAGTTGGAACGCTTACGCTGTGCATCGAGACACAACATGAGGCTTGTTTCCAGCGCCACCGCACAAGATGTGGTGGTACTGCATGTTTTACGATTTTACAATCATTCACCTGGCTGGTCCATGGCTTCAAATTATCGTACTTGTATTTACCCTTTACCTATGATACCAGCACGAGGCGTAGACAGGCAGGGACGGACCCCGACGGTCAGGCGCTAGGCTATAATTTTGGACAATCATGCTGTTTTCTTTTCTATTTGCTTCTGCTATTTTCTTCCGGGCTTGGACACTCTGGGATGGTGTATAGATCAAATCGTTGACAAGAAGAGGCCGGCCTGACGCGATATTTTGTGCTACGAGTCAACTTGCCACTGTAGAGCACGAGTTCGATGCAGGGCGGCTCGAGGATATAGACAACAGGAGAGTCGTTCCGTATTTATTATCCAAGACAGAAAAGAAAACCTTCTCGGAAAGGGGAAATATAGGGCGTGTCGTGATGACTTTGTAGAATATATCAATTTTAATGTCCTCTTAAACGACCCCTTTTCTTGCAGTATACATAGCACTCAGCACCCAACATTGCAACATCTTCCACACATGTAACTAAGACCAGAAATGAGCATTAGTGAGGCTTCTTCCTGTGGTATAACCAACTAACATTCACATTATCATGGGAATCTAACCCTGAGAGCTTACCTACCATATCTTGGCATAACCCCTTTAGCATACCCCTGGCTCCCCTCTTTAGAGTCCACGTTTGTTATTGTCTTCACGGATCAATCTTTACAATGATAACTTACTTGTGCAGAACTATACTATTCACATTATCATGCTTCTTGTTCCTATCCTAAATTTTAGGCTGTGACTCTTTGCTCAGATACAGAGAGGTGCTTTGAATAGAGAAACTAACTACTTTAATGTCAATATAACTATATTCTCCCCATTCTCGGCGCCAACCCACCTTTCTTCTTTACCTTCCCCCCGTTCCGCTTTGCTGCTCCTTTCCACTATTGTCAGTAACTCTGTAGCAAGGAATAGCGACTCATCATACCCGTAAGGTGTTCTCTATGTGTTCATATAACTACAAGACTCATAAACATAGGAACTACTTATCAAGTTCATTAACACAAAGGAAGGCACAATATATCCACGTGACTATGACTTGAATCGGGCAGGTATTATAGATCCATGATCAATAAGTGAACAGTCATGGTCAGGCGGTACAGAATGGGACCTGGAAGCTGAATGATAACATCACGACTCGTGAATGACCCTCGATATACAATAAACAAGAGCAGGAGAGCGAAATAAAATAGCAAAGCGGAAAGAGCAGGCGCTACACTAGCTGCAATTCACCTATTATCACCTTTACACAATAGCCCAACCCTGAATAGAGAGAGTGGTTCATCAAAACGAACATGAAACCATCCGATTCATTATTACTCTTGCCCTCTCTCGAGGAAGGAACCTCAACTACACCTCCGCAAGGAAGGGACGAGTTGAGTCCATCGTGTCAACTCTGTAAGCGCAAAGCAACACCTCCTTCCCCTAAGCTATAAAAGCTCGTCTGTCCTAACCTCCCGAACCGAGCCCTTGGTGTAGCAGAAGAAGAAAACGCTCTGGATTCACATTCCATTCGCAAGTCACCAGCTTCCCTCCGCTACCAACAACCAAGGCTTGTTCTCTCTTCTGAAGGAAAGAAGAAAAAAAGAATGAACATGATGCCGCAGGGATATGTAGACGAGGCCTTCACAGTCCAGAATAATCAAAGCATGGTCCCGACCGAGTCACACATGTTGCCGCATGGTGACTGGGCCGAGGATCCAATGGTCAACGGCGCAGAGGAGGACGACGACGACGACGAAGAGTTGAGCGCCGTCATTTTCAACTTCAACACCGATATCTCTCCTGTCAAGGGAACCACTCCCTCCACGTTGGGATTGCCGTCGGGCCAAGACTCGAGGATGTTCGGACCTGATCATCTCCTCTTTGGCGGTCATGGTTTGGACGATACCATGCAGCAGACCCCAGAGCACAATACCAACGGTGGCATGGATAGCGACGCCAACACCCCCCTCGATAAGCAGAACGGCTTCTCCGGTGACCTGGGATCGATGGTGGTTGAGACCGAGGCCGTGGGTGAAACCTTGGATCCAAACGCCGAACCCTTCGACTTGGTAGGTCAACTGTCACACCAACCCCCCAGCTAGAGGCCATGCAAGTGCAGACCTCTCGCATTGGGTCTTCTCGTTTCTTTTTGTGACGTCGAGGCGCTGACCCCCCCAAAAACAACAGGAGCATATTTTGTCTTTCATCCCGGTTGACACAGAAGTCCGACCTTTTCTCCCCACGCCCCATCCCCCGCCCGCCCCGACAACCCCCGATCCTAGCAAGTGGGTTGACAGTCTCGCAGCATCGGCCGATCAGAACGGGACGACGGGGACCAAAAAGAGGAAGCGCGGGCAGATCTCAAACGACGACGACGACGTGCACTCGGATAACACGCCACCGCCGCCGCCGCCGCCGCCGCCGCCGCGAAAGCTGCCTCCCCCAACGTACCACGTCGTCCCGGTGTTCCCGCCCAAGCCGGACGTGACAGGGTACCGCGCCATCGAAGGCGACATGCCGGACGGCCCCTACCGCGAGCGCACGGCCAAGTACAACAACGACGCGAGCGCCTTGCTCAAGAACTGGCAGAGAGAGAAGAACAACGTCTCCGCCCAGGCGTCGCGCCTGCGGAAGGCGAACCGGCTGATCGAGGTCGGCGAACTCCTGGCCCAAGCTCGCGCAGAGTGTGCCTTCTGGCGCGGCATGGCTATGAATCGTGGAGCTGCCGAGAAGGCTTGGTCCGGTCTGCCCCCGTCGGAGAGGGGGGAATGGGTAGCGTTGAACCGGATGGACCCAAGGGAGTTGAAGGAAGGTGGTGCGGCGAAGCAGGAGGACGAGGATACATAGATGATGGTCTCAATTTCCTTCATGAGAGCCATCATCCACCATATGGCACATGGGGCCAGTGTGGTATGCAATCCCACCTGCCTAGGCATTCCCTAGGTATTCCCATGCAGTGTTTGGAGAATGAGCCCTCCAGAAATGACAAAGACAGAAAGAGCCTTGAGTGCCATATTGACCCCTTGGGCTTTGTTGATGTGTTGCCTTGCTGACATTAAGCAAAGCATTCGCCGTGATGATGATATTCTGGATGACGGATAAAGAGGCGTGGAAGAGATGGTGGTTTGCGCATTGAGAGAAATGTGAGTAATGGAGCGCGCGCACTCTATGTCAAAGAGCAAGGGCGGAAGGAGAGCCACAGATGAATTTGTGACGCCCCTTCGGGCCCTTCCACCCTACTCGGGTCTCGCCATGCAAAGAACGCGCAGTATTAGGTCGGTCTCTTCTCTTAGTTAGCAAGGAATGTCAGTAAGTAAATAGAGAATATACCTAACTAGACGGGTAGAAACACGGTGATGATATCATAAGCTCGGTAAGAGATTATGGTTCTGCGGTATTGTTCCTAAGCGTGTTAGTAAAATTATCTTCCTGCGTGACTTAGTATTATAAACCTGTAAAGGATAACGGATAGGAGGGATGGATAAAAGGCTGGACGTGAGGAAAAAGAAAAGGCTAGGATAATAGGAGAGGTAGAAAAGAAGAGTTAGAGAAGTGAGGAAAAAGTAATAATATAAGAAGAAGATAGAAGGAGGTTATTGCCTGCCTACCGCGCACTTACATTAATTCAGTGCTTGATATTCCTGCCTAAGAACTTTAGAAGGCAGGGGCTAAAATAATCATAACCGGACTATCATATGCGCTTATAGATTAAAGAGACAAAAGAAGCAGTGATGCCTTTGGTGTTGACTGATTCTCTTGATTGTGTGTAGAAGATGGGAGGATATCAGCTTAGTCTGGGGGAGTTGATGGCTTTTAAAGGAGAGGAAAGGAGAGGAGGGGAGAGAAACCAAAGTATAAATAAAGTAGACTGATTAGTCTGTGTAATAAAACTTGGATATGGCTAGGAGTAAAAACGGAGGTAAAAAGAGAGAGAAGTTAATGGATACTTACGTGATTAGGAAGAAGTACCCCTTGGGTGAATATGATAAGAAGGAAAGCAGGTGAGCAAGGGATAGGTAGAGATAGTTGGAGTTGGGAAAGTGTGCGCTATCCTTCTGATCCATCCCAGCTCGAGGAAGGTAGAAGAAGAAAGGCAAAAACTGGAAGGTAAAAAGGAAGACTCTGAGCAAGGCATGGAGATGTTATTAAAGCTGTAAGCAAGAGAGCGCGTCTCTGATAGCCGTGAGGTAAAGACGGAGGAGGGAGAGTTCAGGGTACCTTAACCCAAAGACCGGCAGTGAGATGGTGAGAAAGTGATGGAGGTTACAAAGTAGCGGATCCACAGTAGAACCCTCGAAGGGAGTTAGGTAAGGTACCTTACCTAAGGTAGGTAGTATGGAATACATCGATGCCTCGTATAGAGACGTACAGATTCCCCTTCCAAGAGTCCAGAAACCTCAGTTTATAGCACTGCGAGGCAGGCACGTAAGCTCACTTACTTCTCTTCTATCTGACGACAAAGTTACAGCTGCCTTGAAAAGAATCCAGCTCCTTCTCAGAGAAGAACCCCCTGAGTTACCTTATGTACAGGCGAGTCCAAGCATGTGTGGGCATATCAATCTATTCCACTTCCGAGAACCTGTCTAAATTATCCATCTCCATCTTTTCGACTCGTCTTCTCCGTCTATCTATATTCGTCACCCCCTCCTTCTCTCATGCCCAGGCATCCCGAGTTCCACCCAGTAGGCAACTCCTCCCAAAGTAACCCACGGGGGAAAGATCTCGTGCCACGGTTGGTTGGGATGGAAATAGGGGGTTGAAGAAAGTCCCCAAACGGCCAACGCTGCGCCAGTTTTCCATCTTACATGTGGTGGGAAAACAAGAGATCAGGAAAACAAATGCAAAGGTACATGAGCAAAAATTTACATTGAAACAGAAAAAGAACAAAACATTAAAAAATCAAAAAAGAAATTGAGAACGTCTCGTTCTCCTCTTAGAAAGTGGACACCGCCACCGCGATGGCTTGCGTCTCAGAATGCGAGATCGATACGCTGACATCCTTCAGACCAGCCTTCCTGGCAGCAACGGCAGCATCACCGTGGAGCTAGATAAACCGAGTTAGCATCGTCTTCTCCAAGAAAAAAAAAAAACACAAGGCATCTTTGGGTGCAATACATACCCTAACAACTGGTGCGCCCTCCTCGTTCCTCGCAATCTCAATATCCTTGAGTGCCGCACCCGCGCCCTTGCTGGCCACGCCAAGAGACTTGAACACAGCCTCCTTGGCGCTCCACCGCCCCGCGAACGAGCTCTGCGGGCTCGGCGCCCGCCGGCAGTACGCAATCTCGGCCGCCGTGAAGTTCCTCTCCACAAACGTGTCGTTGTCGACGTTGACGGCCGCAATGTCCTCGACGTCGACCCCGACCTTGGAGTTGCTCGACGCCATCTTCTTGCCCAGCGCCTCCATCATCTCCTGCGTCGCCTGCGCCGCGCCGGGCTTCGCCGTCTTCTCCGACAGCTTCATGAAATTGCTCGGGTACGTCAGCGCCGACGACTTCTTGTCCTCCGTCACGCGCGCCTCCGGGTTCAGCAGCACCTTGCTGAGCTGCTCCTCGCTGTACGGCGGGTCCGACTTGGCCACGAACAGCGAGTTGTTGACCAGCCCGTTGTGGAAGAACCGGTACGTCTTCTTCTGCCGCGCCTCCACCTTGGCCGCGTACGCCGCGTACGTCTTCTCGTCCAGCACCGCGAACAGGTACTTGGCGTGCACGCCGATCGCCTGCGCGCCCTTCTGCCCGAAACCAAACGACGTCACCGAGAACGCCTTGATGCCGTCTGTCTGGATGCTGCGGCTGGGGTACATGATGAGGTCGAACTGCTCCATCACCGGGTCGACGTTGTCGGCGTTCCGGTTGCCCGGCACCAGGCCCGTGTTGAGCACCTGCAGGCAGCCGTTCATCATCCACGCTCCGGCCGCTCCCTTGGGGTGACCCGTGAGGTACTTCTGGAAGATGCCGAGCACCGCGTTGCCCTTCTTGCGCCCGAGGTGCTTGAGCTGCTGGCAAATCACCGACGACTCGTTCTTGTCGTTGGCCTTGGTCGACGTGCCGTGGAAAGACGCCACGCCCAAGTCGTCGACTGTGAGACCCCACGTCGCGAGCGCGCCCCGGAGCGGCGCGATGGTCGAGTCGTTCTTCCAGAAGTTGTTGCCGAGACTCCTGAGGACGTCCTTCTCTTGCCTCTGCGCCTCCTTCTCGATGTGCGTCGCCCGCGAATGCGCATACTCCTTCTCGTCGAACTCGTGGCCCTGCGCCTTCATCGCCTCGACCTCGTCGTACAGGTACTCCAGCTCCGACTCCTGCCACTGCTTAATCTGCTTCTTGCGCAGCTCGATCTGCCGCCGGCGGTAGTTCATGTCGAGCAGGGGCGACGGGAACTTGCCGGCATGTTCGCGCGCAGTGGTGAGCACACCCTGCCCGGGCGCGGGGACGGACCGGCCGATCTTGTCCGTCGCCGTCGTGGTCAGGGCAACAATGCCGTGGATGGGAACACCCATGTCAAGGGCGAGCTGCGCCGTCATGAGGATCTGGACACCGCAGCCCTGAGACTCCATGAAGCCGTTACGGGTGGTAGTGGTGGGTCGAGACATTTCCGCAGGCGTACGTCCGTGGGCAAACTCATCGGCGGCGTTGCTGGTCGCCTTCATGTTGGCGAATTCGTAAGAGCCTTCCTCGCCGAGGTCATCGAAGCCACCAACGAAAACGACCTTGGCCTTGCCTTCCATGATCGTCTCGTAGCCAATGTCAACCGACTCGACCGAAGTAGCGCACGCGCCGACAGGCGTCTTGATGGGACCCGACGAGGAGATGAGAAGCATGTTCACCCAGGCCGCCATGGTGTTGATGAACGACTCCTGCAGAATGTCGTTCTGGACCGGCTTGTCCAGGAAACGGTCGCGGTGCATACCCCGCAGAGCACCGGCTCCACCCATACCGGAGCCGATGCAGTTACCAACCTCGGAGACGTGCACATACTTGTAGAACTCGTAGGGATCGGTGATGCCGGAGGAAAGCAGCGCCTCGGCCACGGACACGAGAACGAAAAGGGTGACGGGATCGACCTGGTCGACAATGTCCTCGGGGACGCCGTATCGCTTGGCGTCCCAGCCAGTGGGGATCTGGCCAGCCACGAGGCGGTCGAAGCGAAGCGCCTTGGGGATCCAGAGACCAGCGCCCTTCTTCATGCGGACAGTGTACTCGCCCGAGTCGGGGATCTCGAAAATCTCCACCTTGTCGCCATGCTCGCGCTTGAACTCCTCCGCCGTCTCCTTGGACGCCTCGAAGGGCTCGAGGTCCTCCTCGATGACAACCTCGTGGAGCAGTTGCTTCTTCTCGGGGTCGTAGCCGCCAAACAATTCGGGTTCGATGAGACGGATACCGGAGTGTTCCAGAATGTGCTTCTCGTACTTCTGCTTGATGTCCTTGTCGTCAACGGGCTCGCCGGTCTTGGCGTCGACCCAGCCAGAGTAGGGCTTGCCCTTGATGGGTCCGTTGTGGTTCTTGATGAGACCCATGATCCAGGCCATCTCGACGCAGCCCTCGAGGGAGAACTCGCCGTAGGCCTCCATCTCCCACCGGGTGCGAGAGTTGCCCCAGGGCCCGACTTCGGCAAAGCCAGTGACGACGACGACCTTGTCCAAGTCGACCATGCCCTTCAGCTGATCGTGGAGAGGGGCGACTTCGGTCTCCCAGTCGGGAAGAGGCGGGAAGTCGAACTTGATGTTGGCGCGCGGCTCGATGACCTTCTTCTTGTACAGGAGCTCCGAATCGGCACCGTTGACCACCTTGTTCTCGATGGCATTCTCCTTGGCAACGGCGCGACGCACTTCGCTCGTCTCCATGATATCCTTCCGCAGCCTCGTCATGGTCTCGTTGAGGTTGGGGATGAACTGGAGACCGCCGTTCAAGTCGGCAAACACGGGTTCGGACTGGCAAAGGTCCACAATGGTAGGAGACATGAGACCCAGCAGGTTGAACGCCATCTCCTGCTGCGAGAAAGTGCGGACGCCGAAGGCCTCGACGCCCTCGGCGACGACGTTGTTGCCGCTCATGAGGCCCGTACCACGGGTCCAGCCGATAACAGCGCCGCAGATGGTGAGGTAGTTGCCCCAGTCCTCCGAGTACCATCGGTTGAACAGCGTCTCCAGAGCCAGCTTGGACTCCGAGTAGAGACCGTCGTTGCCGAACGTGCCGTGGTTGGGGGACAGGGGGAGGACCACCTGGGCGGGACGAGTCTCGAAACCGTGCTCCGCCTTCTGGGTCTTGACGCAGCCCAGCAGGCGGAGAAGGTTGGTCAACATGATCCTGTGAGCCAACTCGGACTTGGAGTCGATGTTGTCAATCTGGCGACCGTTCTCGGAGATGGCCGCGAAGGGGACAATGAAGTCCAGATCCCAGCCGAGACCCGACTTGGCGTCGTAGATGTACTCAACCAACGCCTCGACGTCCTGCTTGCTTCCCTGGTTGAAAGGCACCACGACGAGCTGAGAGCCACGGGAACCGTACCTGGTGTACATGGACTGGTAGTATTCCGTGACCTCACGAGAGAACCGGCTGGTGGTGACGATGACCTTTGCACCGCCGCTGATGAGGCCCTGGAGAACCTCAGCTCCGATGGAACCAGCACCGGCACCGGTCATCAGGACGTACTTGTCCTGGTACGTCACGCCGTTCTTCGCGGTCTCCTCGAGGCAGTTGAGGTAGACAGCGGTGAGCTTCTTGCTGTAGTCCCAGCCGTGCAGGGTCTTGCGCTTCAGGTGCAGGAAGGGAATGGTCTCAACCTTGCCCTTGCTAGGACCGTTGGCCTTGACCTTCTTGACGCCGTTGGGCTTTCCGCCGTCCTTGGGAATGATTTGGCTCTCGCTCATGGCGAGAGACCGCAGGACGTCACCGTACAGGCTCTTGATCTCCAATTGCGAGCTCTTGGACATCTTGTGCTGTTCCTTGATGAGCTTGTAGATGCGCTTCAGGTCGTTCTGCACCTTGGTCCTGTTGCCGTACTCGGAAATCTTGCCACCCTCAGCCATCTGCTGGACGTAGTGCTCCAACTTGCGGCAGCTGGGTCGGTTCGTCTCTTCGTAGTTCAGGTTACCCTTGGCATCGACGGTGGTGCGAGGCCCGGTGGGAATGGCGACGTCCTTGTACACTGGCGAGATATCGAGGACGTCCTTGCAGTTCTCGATGAGCAGCAGGCCGAGTTCCTGGGCAAGCTTGTAGGTCTCGCCGCGCTCGGTAGGGCAGTTGTCCATGTGGTACTGCATGAAGTCGAGCAGAGTAGGGTTCGACCGGTTCATGATGCGAATGCAGCGGCTGACGATTTCTCTATCGACGGCCTTGAGACGACCGAAAATGACGTCGAAGTACATGTGCAGGGCGTCCTGGCGGGCCCAATTCCAGGCGGAGTCGTAGGTACGGGCCTTGAGGGGGCTGAAGACGGGCTGGATGCCCGAAGCGTAGAAGTCGCCGTGCTCGACGGTCCAGAGATCGAGCTGAGCTTGGAGCACCTTCTCGGTTTGCTGAGAGTTGATGAAGGCCTTGTCGCCGGCCCGGAGGTCCAGCTTGAGATATCTCGCCAGAAGCTCAAGCTGCTGCTTGAACAAGGCCCTCTGGTCCTTGGTCAAGGCATCGATGGCGGCAGGGTCCATCATCATGCCGCCACCGGCGCCGGCGTCGGGGCCTGCCGCGGCGGCAGTCGAGAGGCTGATGCCGGCGCTGGCAGCATACTTTTGTGTGACGTCGTCGAGGAAAGCTTTCGCGTCTCCTTCGGAGCCCAAGCGGGCCGCGGGCTCCATGGTGAGTGCCAGGAGCAGGGCACCATCCTGCCTACCGGAGGCCAAACCCCACCTTGTCTCCAGGTATTTGCGGGCGGCAGTGATGTTGAAACCACCAGGCATCTTCGACGAAATCATGCGAGCAATGAGGGCCTGGGACTGCTTGCCGAGCTGCCCGTCAAATGTAGCCTGCATGGCAGCGCCCAGTTCGTCGAGTGGGGTATCTTCGGGCTTCTCTGGAGTGGAACCGAACTCCTTTCCGAGGTCGCCGAGGATTTCGTTTTGTAGTGTCGATTTGCCTGCCATGTGTCAGTCTCCACACACAAGTCACTTCAGGGGAGAGACGAGGAGATGGCAGCATGTACTCACCACCAACAAGGTCCTTGATGGCTTTGCCCATCGGTATCTCGGTCATGGGCTTCTTCAGTTTCTGGGCGATGAGAGCGCGCACGATGTCGACGGCTTGGACGGGGGCATCGGGCACTTGAGCAGCGGGGCCAGCACCGGGAGGAGGCGCGGCTGCTGCGGGTGCTGCGGCGGTCGGGGCTGCGGCGGCAGGAGCAGAGCCACTGGGGGCTGCCGCAGGCTCGGGCTCATCTTCAACAGGGTCGACATCGTAGTAAATCTCCTTGGCATCCTTGTTGTAGCAGAGAATCTGTCGCTGGACGGACTTGGCGGCATCGTAGGCCTCGTACTTGGAGGCTAGGGTTCGCTTCGCCATGACGCCGAGGGTGTCGGCCGGACCGATTTCGACTACGCGCTCGGCGTTCCTTTCGGCGAGGAAGACATCTTGTGTCTCGATCCACCTCACAGGTGATGCGAATTGGTAGGCGAGGAGCTCGATGAGGAGGGTGTGAGCAAGCTCTTGCTCGACTTCGGGACGCATGTTGGTGGAATTAGAGAGCTCGGTGGCTCAACTGGAGATAACAGGATGATGGTGTTTGTTGCTGGGAGGAGGATGTTGATATCTCCACGTCGCCCAAAGGTCGACTTGTCAGTCCACCAAATGTTCCGAGCGGCTGAGTTGTATTAAAACGATGTATGAAAAATGTACCGAGAGAACAGGACCAGCAAGCCGAGGGCTGGGGGAGGACTGGTGACCTGAGGCAATGGTACTTGGGAAAGAAATTTGGTAGTTAAAAGTGTGTACGAAAGTAATAATAGGGTCGGGGAGACGAGGAGAGACAAGACAAGAAGAGGAGGGAGTCAAGGCAGATAGATAGAGCGAGGGATAGGGTGCTAGGACCTGATGATTAATCTCTGCTGATTAAACTGCCACAGAGCTCGATGGCTTATCGAGAGAAGGGGAGGAAGATGTTGAAGGGGGAAGAAAATGTCCGTGGTGGTACTGAGGGTGTGGCTGTCGGAGGAGAGGAAGTGAAGGACCAAGGAATGGGTGGGTGCTGGCTACACTTTGCGGTCGTGTCTCGTCTCACTGGCTACACGCGTCGCACTGAGGGAAGGAGGTAAAAAAAATTGGACCACAAGTGGTTGTTGCAGTACCAACCATAGGCTACCTGCTCTGGACGTTACAGCGAGTCGGCTCCAGTACGTACGTACCAAGACATCTGGTCCCATCATTGAGGGATGTGTGTGAGAGCAGCTACGCTACGATGTGGGAAGCTTGGGTCCTCAACCATATTCATACGCTAAGCCCAAGGTAGTTTACCCACGTCAGGGGAAGGGACCCATCAGCGACGCGATGGCAATTTTATTGGAACAGGGGATAAGGGAAGGGAGGTCTGCCGTCATTACAAAGTACAACGTACTGGGGTATCTGTACCAACCCCCGTAGATACCTAGATGTATCTGTACGAAGTACCCGTACGGGTACACGACAAACCCATGGTTGGATTTGGGGTCGACGTGCTGGCACCAAAAAATCCTGACGTGCCCCCAACATGTTCGTCCATCCAATTTATGCCTTTCTGATTCCTATCGCAACATACCTCAGTTCAAATCAATTTCCTTTCGGTATTGGTTGCGGAACTGTCCTAGAACCAGCAAGAAAAAAGGTCCCCCTCCTTCCAGCTTTGAGTCTTATTATATTTGCTATCAGTGTTGTCCAGAACATCTTAGGCGATGAAAGCTCAAAAATCAGATCAGAGGCAGCTCTAGTGCGATTTTGGACTCGTATAGTAGTAACCCGTAGTACGGGTACATACTTCGTGCTAGTACATCGCTAAGATTGGGCCTGCAGCGGATGTGGTCCCCAGACATGACATTACCGGGGAAGGCGGCCGAGGTGGGCCAGAAGAGGGCCATGACATGATGTACATGTACTTGTGTCCGAATGCTTGGTTAGCACGTCAGGCTAAGGTAAGAATCTCCTTATTAACTTCGGATTGATACGGAGGTTTTTTTCTTGCTCTGCTGTCCTTTGGCTATCGGTGTGTTGGGGCAAAAACGGATATTATGCCCTGCTCCCCTCGGTCCGTCCCTGAGTGCCAGAGCTCCCGAGTCCCTCGTGGAGCGGGTGGTTGTTATGAGACGAACATTGTTCGCTCTTTTTGTTGTTACCGCAGGTTTCGGATGCACGAATTTGTTGAACTTGTGGTTGGAAATAAGGCCATTGACTCGAGAAAATACTGTCGGTCAGCATAAGTCCTGATGCCTGCCTAGCTTGCAGCTTTGCCCCCCCTCTGGCCGCGGTCGGTAATAGCTGGTTACTGATATTGCTGGAGAATGCGCTGCAGGTCCTTCAACATCAGTTATTATATGCAATCACAGAAGCTCTCAAGTCTCGCATCTCCCATCTCCCATCTCCCACTACCGATTCACCTTTCCGACTCCCGTAAGTCTCAGACGTATTCGCACTTCGTCCGGCATCAAGCCGAGATCGCAGGGTACGCGGGGAGAGGTTCTCCCCCTAGCTGAGCTGAATCCCTTCATTCCTCTTCGCCACGAGTCGTATGACGGAGTATCCGTAGAAATGCCTGCTCCATAGCCTTTTTTAGACGTGGATCATATCGCAAGCAAGGTGGAGTCGTGGTGATCGTCTCAGCATCGTTGCACGTCTGTACCGTCACAGTACATGTACTTGCCACCTCGTTGGGGCCTCCACCCACCATTGATGGGAAATGAGCCCAAGGCTACTGCGTAATAGGAGGTAGGGGAAGCTGACTGACCGCCTACTGAATCCAGCGACGAAGGACAAATTACTTTAACACCGGTACTACCGGACAACAACGACAAGTGATGTATTACCTATGGGCTAAGGTATGCAAGAGAACTTAAGGAGCGAGGTTGAACTTCTAGATTCGACTTGTAAAGTCAATTGGGCTAGTTGCGCAAAAGTTACCATTGACATGCCAAGAAAGCAATAGCTGAATAAAAGGGAGACTAATGGACCAGCAAAGTCTATATACATACAGCTACACTTACACCGCTGAAATACTGCAGTTCAGAGACACAATAGGCAACAGCTGTATGCGTACTCGCAACATACTATAACGTGAGATAGATAGCAAGACGATGGAAGTGTACAACGTATGCCTATATCCCTGCACGCAGGGATAATAAGCGAAAGAAGCCATAGGGGAAAAAAGAAGAAGAAAAAAACCCCCGGAATTTACATTCGCCCGATCCAGCAAAAGGCCAGGAATTAATCAAAATGAAAATCCAACATGCCGTGTTTTGTCCGGCTACCGAGTCGAAAATGCATGGTCGATACGAGACCCTGAACCGAGTACGTTGTACGTTGTACGTACCTGTACTTCGCGCATCCCTGAAGGATCGTCCAGACTACAGACAAAGTACAGGTACATGCTGCCCTGCCGCGTTGCCCCAACAGAACTAAAAATTTGGCGAGCATGCACCCACCTGCACCTACCCTCTACCCATACCTCTGTACCGACCCACCATTCACGCCACCTTGCACCCTGTCACACCACAACCCTGCAGTCTGCAGCCACAGAGCTCCCAGATCCCACCACAGATTCCCAGAGCCAAGTCCCGCCCCTCCATGCAGCAATCCCCGTCGAGAAGCTCAGAATTTTTCTTGTCGTTTTTCGTACGAAGTACATACTTGTTGCGGATACTGTTGAGCTTTGAGAGCCGGGAACCGGGACCATTGGGTAGAAGTCTCATTGGGAAAGGGGCCAAAAATCCCATCCCTCCATCCCGCCATCCCATCCATTGATTGAACGATTGAACGACCCACCATCCATCACGCACCTAGGTACGAAGTTATTGGGACGACCGAACGACGGACGACTCCTTCGATTCCGCTCGAGCGAAACGAAAAGGCCAAGCAAGGGGCAAAGAAACGTGGACTCCTCCCTCCTGTCGCGTCGTACTGCTTCCGGTACATTTCCTACCCTGCCGACAGACAAAAAAAAAAGGAAAAGGAAAAGAAAAGAAAAGAAAACATATCGTCACATCCTTTCTTGTCCTTCCTCTCTGTCCACACTTCACGACCCTTCCCTCCAAATTCCCCCTTATTCTCACGTATCCTTGTGGACTCTGACACTCCGTCCCTTTTCCGCCCCTAAACTACATCTCTTCTCCTTCGTGTTGGATTCTCGTGGTGGTTTCTCTACTGCAAAATACCTCCCTCTCAAATTCATAATCGACCAACGCGCAGGAGCTTTGATCCTCCAGGTCGAATCTCCATTGAAACTGCCCCATTTGCAGTTTACAGGTGCCGTTCGCTACAAGAAGCACTGTCTCCTGCTCTTCGCTGAGTACACGGAGTCAGACGTGGCAGGGTAAGTCTACTATCCGCCTGCTCAATTCACCCCATCCCATGGTCCTCTGTTCACGACTGATCTTCTCCCGCCGTCTCTGCAGCTCCCAGTCGCCATATCACGAGATCCGTCGTTATTTTTCTTCGTCTTCTCGTTCTAATACCCCTTAATTCGCCATGTACGGTACAGGCACAGGCCCTCAGACGGGCGTTTCCACCCCTCGCTCGAACTCATCTCTCCGTCCTCTCACTCTCCGTCATGGGTCCCTCGAAACCTCCTTTCTCGCTCCGACCTCGCTCCACTTCCACGCTCAACAGTTGAACGATCGCTTCGCCGCCACTCTTCCTACGGCCACAGACGAGCTCGCTCAGGATGACGAGCCATCATCCGTCGCCGAGCTTCTTGCCAGGTACATGGGCTTTGTGGCCAACGAGATCGAAAAGGGCGAAGATGACGAACAGGGCTCTTATGAGGCCGTCCTCAAGATCGTCCTCGTCGAGTTCGAGCGTGCCTACCTCCAGGGTAACGAGGTCCATGCCCTAGTGGCAACTCTCCCCGGCATCGATGCCAAGAAGCTCGAGGTGGTTCGCAGCTACTACCACGCCCGGATAACCGTTGGCCGTCCCATTAAGGAACACGAGTCTGCCCTCTTCCGGGCCGCCGAAGACGGCGCTGCCGGAATTTACTCCATTTTTGGCGGTCAGGGCAACATCGAGGAGTACTTTGACGAGCTTCGTGAGATCTACAAGACCTACTGGCCTTTGCTCGGTGGTCTCATCCACGATGCTGCCGAGCTGCTCCAGACTCTCTCCAAACATCCCGGCGCCGAGAAGCTGTATCCCAAGGGTCTTGATATTCTCAACTGGCTTGAGCATGAAGATGCCACCCCTGACGTGGACTACCTCGTCTCGGCCCCCGTCAGCTTCCCTTTGATCGGCTTGGTCCAGCTCGCCCACTACGAGGTCACCTGCAAGGTGATGGGTATCGATCCCGGCAAGATGCGCGATAGGCTCAAGGGCTCCACCGGTCACTCCCAGGGCGTCGTTTTGGCCGCCGCCACCGCCGCGGCCTCTTCTTGGGAGTCGTGGGCTGATATCGCCAAGTCTACTCTCACCATCCTCTTCTGGATCGGCGCCCGCAGTCAGCAGGTGTTCCCCCGGACATCGCTTGCCCCGACCATGATGCGCGAGTCGATTGACAACGGCGAGGGCGCTCCTACCCCGATGTTGAGCATCCGGGATCTTTCCCAGGCCGAGGTCCAGAAGCACGTGGATGCCACGAACCAATACCTCCCAGCCGACCGCCACATCTCCATCTCGCTCATCAATAGCCCGCGCAACCTCGTCGTTACTGGACCTCCCATCTCCCTCTGTGGTCTCAATGCCCAGCTGCGCAAGGTGAAGGCCGCTACCGGCTTGGACCAGAACAGGATCCCCCACACCGAGCGGAAGAGCCGGTTCGTGAACCGCTTCTTGCCCATCAGCGCTCCTTTCCACAGCAAGTACCTCGCCGAAGCGACCGAGTTGATCGACGCCGACCTCAAGGATGTTCAGATCGACTCCGAGTCTCTTGCCATCCCCGTCTTCGACACCAATAGCGGCAAGGACATCAGGGAGGAGGTCAACGGCAACATCGTTCCCAACCTCGTCCGTCTGATCACCAGAGATCCGGTCAACTGGGAGAAGGCTACCATCTTCCCCGGTGCCACTCACGTGCTGGACTTCGGCCCTGGCGGTATCTCCGGCTTGGGTATTCTAGCCAGCCGCAACAAGGAGGGAACCGGTGTGCATGTCATTCTCGCCGGCTCGGTCAATGGCACCATCACCGAGGTGGGCTACAAGTCGGAGCTTTTCGATCGCGACGAGGAGCACGCCGTACGTTATGCCATGGACTGGGTGAAGGAATTTGGCCCGCGGCTCATCAGGACCGTAAGCGGTCAAACCTTCGTCGACACCAAGATGAGCCGACTCCTGGGCCTTCCACCTGTCATGGTCGCCGGCATGACCCCAACGACCGTGCCCTGGGATTTCGTGGCTGCGACCATGAATGCCGGTTACCACGTTGAGCTGGCCGGTGGCGGTTACTACAATGGCAAGACCATGACCGAGGCGCTCTCCAAGATCGAGAACGCCATCCCCGCCGGTCGAGGCATCACTGTGAATCTCATCTACGTCAACCCTCGTGCCATGGGCTGGCAGATCCCCCTCATCGGCCGCCTCAGGGCTGAGGGCGTTCCCATCGAGGGTCTGACCATCGGAGCCGGCGTCCCGTCCATCGAGGTTGCCCAGGAGTACATTGAGACTCTCGGTCTGAAGCACATTGCCTTCAAGCCGGGCTCTGTCGATGCCATCCAGTCCGTCATCAATATCGCCAAGGCCAACCCTGACTTCCCCGTCATTCTGCAGTGGACGGGCGGCCGTGGAGGCGGCCACCACTCTTACGAGGATTTCCATCAGCCCATTCTGACCATGTACGGCCGCATCCGCCGCACCCCCAACATCGTCCTTGTGGCCGGTAGTGGCTTTGGTGGTGCCGAAGACACCTACCCTTACCTCACCGGTGAGTGGTCCAGGCGTTTTGGTTACCCGCCCATGCCCTTCGATGGCACTCTCTTTGGTAGCCGCATGATGGTCGCCAAGGAGGCGCATACCAGCAAGGCGGCCAAACAGGCCATTGTCGATGCCCCGGGCGTGGGTGACGAGGGTTGGGAGCAGACCTACAAGGGTCCCGCCGGCGGAGTCGTCACCGTCCGTTCTGAGATGGGCGAGCCTATCCACAAGCTTGCCACACGCGGTGTCCTGTTCTGGGCTGAGATGGACAAGAAGATCTTCAGCCTGCCCAAGGAGAAGCGGGTGGCCGAGCTCAAGAAGAACCGGAGCTACATCATCAAGAAGCTCAATGACGACTTCCACAAGGTGTGGTTCGGCCGCAACAGGGCCGGCGAGGCTGTCGACCTGGAGGATATGACCTATGGCGAGGTTGTCCGTCGTATGGTCGACCTCCTCTACGTGAGGCACGAGTCGCGGTGGATCGACCCTTCGTTCAAGAAGCTGACGGGCGACTTCATCCATCGCGTCGAGGAGCGGTTCACCTCTGGCCGTGACCACGCATCTCTTCTCCAGGACTTTGGAGAACTCGATACCCCCTTCCAGACCGTCACCAGGATCCTGGCCAGCTACCCCGAGGCCGAGGAGCAGATCATCAATGCCCAAGATGTGCAGCACTTCTTGATGCTCTGCCAGCGACGTGGACAAAAGCCCGTCACCTTCGTGCCTGCCCTGGATGAGAACTTTGAGTTCTTCTTCAAGAAGGATTCTCTCTGGCAAGCGGAGGACCTCGGTGCCGTCATTGACCAAGATGTCGGCCGCACCTGCATCCTGCAAGGTCCCATGGCCGCGAAGTACTCGACCAAGATGGACGAGCCCATCCAGGACATCCTTGACAGCATCCACAACGCCCATATCGCTGGTCTCACCCAGGATCTCTACGACGGCGATGCCAACGCGATCCCGGTCATCGAGTACTTTGGGGGTAAACTCGGCGAACCGGAAATTCCTGTGGAGGATGTGGACGGGCTGGTCACCTCGTATGATGAGACCAAGAACACCTACCGTCTCGTCGCGCTGCCTGGGACGACAATGCCCAGCGAGGAAGCCTGGCTGGCGTTGCTCGCGGGACCTCGCCGCAGCTGGCGCCACGCCCTCCTCACGTCCGACGTGTTGGTCCAGGGCCAGAAGTTCCAGACCAACCCGATGAAGCGCATCTTCGCTCCGGTGCGGGGCCTCTTCGTCGAGATCCATTATCCCAACGACCCCTCCCGGACCAGGATTGTGGTCAAGGAGCAGCCGCGCCATGGCAAGTACGTCGATGTCCTCGAGGTCAAGCTCGTCGGCAAGAATGAGATTGTGGTCAGCATGATCAAGGACACGACCGCGCTCGGCGCTCCCGTCTCGCTGCCGCTCAAGTTCACGTACCATCCCGAGACTGGCTACGCTCCCATCCATGAAGTGATGGAAAGCCGAAACGACCGGATCAAGGCGTTCTACTGGCGTACTTGGTTCGGCCATGATGCCCTTGACCTTGATGCCGACGTCACCAGCAAGTTTGACGGCGGATCGGCTGTGATCACCGGCGAGGGCATCAATGACTTCGTCCACGCTGTTGGCAACACAGGCGAGGCGTTCGTCGAGCGGCCTGGCAAGACGGTGTATGCGCCCATGGACTTCGCCATCGTTGTCGGGTGGAAAGCTATCACCAAGCCCATCTTCCCTCGCACAATCGACGGCGACCTTCTCAAACTGGTCCACCTGTCGAACCAGTTCCGGATGATGCCGGGTGCGGAGCCTCTCCAGAAGGGCGACGAGGTCAACACTACGGCTCAGGTCAATGCCGTCATCAACCAGGACTCGGGAAAGATGGTCGAGGTTTGCGGCACCATCTGGCGTCGCGGTGAAGCCGTGATGGAGGTGACGTCCCAGTTCCTGTACCGCGGCACCTACACCGATTACGAGAACACGTTCCAGCGCAATACGGAGACGCCGGTGCAAGTGCATCTTGCCACCACCAAGGACGTGTCGATCCTCAAGTCGAAGGAGTGGTTCAACATTGACGATCTGCCCCAGGACATCCAGCTCCTCGGCAAGACCCTCACGTTCCGGCTGCAGAGCTTCCTCAAATTCAAGAATAAGACGGTGTTCAGCAGCGTGCAGACGTTCGGCCAGGTCCTGCTGGAGCTTCCCACCAAGGAGGTGATCCAGGTGGCCAGCGTCGACTACAGGGCGGGGGTCTCGCACGGCAACCCGGTGATCGACTACGTGGAGCGCAACGGGACCCCTCTCGACCAGCCTCTCAACTTTGAGAACCCCATCCCTCTGAGCGGCAAGACGCCCCTGCAGCTCCGCGCGCCGTCGTCGAACGAGACGTACGCTCGGGTGTCGGGCGACTACAACCCCATCCACGTCTCCCGCATCTTCGCGGCCTACGCCAACCTCCCCGGCACGATTACGCACGGCATGTACTCGAGCGCGGCGGTGCGAAGCCTCGTGGAGACGTGGGCTGCGGAGAACAACATTGGTCGTGTCCGCAGCTTCCACGCGTCCCTCGCGGGCATGGTCCTGCCGAACGATGAGATCCTGGTCAAGCTCGAGCACGTGGGCATGGTGGCTGGCCGCAAGATCATCAAGGTCGAGGCGACGAACAAGGACACTGGAGACAAGGTGCTCCTTGGCGAGGCTGAGATTGAGCAGCCGGTGACTGCGTACGTGTTCACGGGTCAGGGTTCGCAGGAGCAGGGTATGGGTATGGAGCTGTATGCCAGCAGCCCTGTGGCCAAGGAGGTGTGGGAACGGGCCGACAAGTACTTGTTGGACAATTATGGTACGGGTTTTTTTTTTTTCTCCCTCTTCTCTCATGGCCCGGCTAACAAAAATGATAGGCTTCTCCATCACCAACATCGTCAGAAACAACCCCAAGGAGCTGACGATCCACTTTGGCGGGCCCCGGGGCAAGGCTATCCGGCAAAACTACATGGCCATGACGTTCGAGACGGTGGCGGCGGACGGGTCGATCAAGTCGGAGAAGATCTTCAAGGAGATTGACGAGAAGACGACGTCGTACACGTATCGGTCGCCGACGGGCCTGCTGTCGGCGACGCAGTTCACGCAGCCGGCGCTGACGCTGATGGAGAAGGCGAGCTTCGAGGACATGAAGTCCAAGGGGCTCGTCCCGCGCGACTGCACGTTCGCGGGCCACTCGCTCGGCGAGTACTCGGCGCTGGCGGCGCTGGCGGAGGTGATGCCGATCGAGAGCCTGGTGTCGGTGGTGTTCTACCGGGGCCTGACGATGCAGGTGGCGGTGGAGCGCGACGCGGCGGGGCGGTCCAACTACTCGATGTGCGCGATCAACCCGAGCCGGATCTCCAAGACGTTCAACGAGGAGGCGCTGCAGTTCGTGGTGAACAACATCGCGGAGGAGACGGGGTGGCTGCTGGAGATTGTCAACTACAACATCGCCAACATGCAGTACGTGGCGGCGGGCGACCTGCGGGCGCTGGACACGCTGACGGGGGTGACGAACCTGCTCAAGGTGCAGAAGATCGACGTGGACGAGATGCGGGCCAACATCGAGGAGGCCAAGGGCGCGCTGCGGGAGATCATCCGCGGGTGCGCGGAGGACACGCTGAGGAAGCCGACGCCGCTGGAGCTGCAGAGGGGGTTCGCGACGATCCCGCTCAAGGGCATCGACGTGCCGTTCCACTCGACGTTCCTCCGGTCGGGCGTCAAGCCGTTCCGGAGCTTCCTGCTCAAGAAGATCAACCGGACGACGATCGACCCGTCCAAGCTCGTGGGCAAATACATCCCCAACGTGACGGCCAAGCCGTTCGCGCTGACGCGGGAGTACTTCGAGGAGGTGTACAAGCTGACCAACTCGCCCAAGATTGCGTCGGTGCTGGCCAACTGGGACAGCTATACGCAGGATGCGCCGGCGGGCGGGGTCGATGGTGTGAATGGGGTCAATGGGCACCACGAGGGCCCGGGCTCGGCTGCCTGAGTGTAGGCTGAGGCAGGAGTGGCGGGGGACAACATATATCCACGCATGGAGGGGAAACGGACGCCCCGCGAACCAAAGTAAAAAGAGACGAAAAGGGGGAAGACTTTGATAGATGGGGGACATGATGCTTGTACTACACCTGGAAGTTTCGGTGTCTGTTTTTGTTTATGTTCTATTGTAATGTTGCTTGTTTGTTTTACCACGAGTCTGCCACGTACAATATGCCTATTAGTTTAGTAGTCTTTCTTTTTCGCCCGAGGGGCGCAATATTTCATGGTATGGGAGCAAATAGAGAAGTGCACTGTCTAGATCCAATCGATGTTTTCAGACCGTTCTTTAAGGAAATGTCGCCGGAGATGTCGCCGGCTAGACACATGGTCACCCACTTGGATAGAGCCGAGCACCTTGAAACGTGGTTACATTGGAGTGTGACGAGTCGGTCCGATCAGATGGGATAAGGTAAAGTAGATGCAAGAAGCCGGCACATCCGTACATCTACGGTCCCGGTCTTTTTTATATTTCCCCGTCCCGTCCCGTTCCGTTCCGTTTGACGTCCGGCTGGCCCATGATCTTGTCCCGGCGCATGGCCAACCATCTTTCCGCACGAAGAAATACCCTTGAATCAAGAATCTGAATCAAGAACAACCAGGCCATGATAAGGACCATGTAGCATGGATTATAAGACGGTAACAGACGGTAACAGAAGGTCGAGGGCACGAGATTATGTAAGCCTTTCGTCACACCTCGGGGTTCCATCGGCCGGCGGCGACCGCCGTGAGAAGGAAGGCAGCGGCAGCGGCAGCGCGGTGTGGGGAACGGTGAGGGGGCAGTTACTTAGGTTACCTAACGCCGAAGACGTCAAGTTCTCGCTCCGAGTTCCGACAAGTGTCTCTCTGTCTTTGATGCCCCGTTCTACGGTCTACCTACTTAACGTCGTCGCCTCGTCTTGTTTGACTTTCCTTCATTCCAGTCGGCTTTCCTGATCTCTCGGTCTCGCCGGCATTTCAACGAATCTTCAAATACCGGCGGCAGAGCCAACATCCCATTCCCGTCTGCGCATCCCATCTTGCACCTGAACCAAAGATGGGAGAACCTCTCCAGGACATGCACATGCCCGATGGCGTGGGACCTGGGTCTCTTAACGCGAACAAACTCTTCTTGGGAAACTTTGTTCACTCCAAGACGAGGGAGGAGCTTGAATACCTGCACTCTGCAGGCGTTTTTGTCGACACGACAGGCGTCATCGTCGCCATCGAGCCGGAATGCGACCTGGCAAAAGCACGGGAGCATGTCTTCCCCCGGTTAGGTTGGGAGAGTGAACATGTCCAGGTGGTTGCTTGCAAGCCGGGGCAGTTTTTCTTCCCTGGATTCATTGGTATGTCTCTTTCTCTTTTCCCTTTTTTTCCATCTTTGTATTTTATTTTTTATTTTTTATATTTTTTCCCTTATTTTTTTATATTTTTATATTTTTTTCATTCTTTTGCGGCCGTCCCCCCCACACGCCACTGAACAACCACAGACACACATATCCACGCCTCGCAATATCCCAACGCAGGCATCTTCGGCAAGTCCACCCTCCTCGACTGGCTGAATACCTACACATTCCCCCTGGAAGCCTCCCTCTCCGACCTGAACAAGGCTCGGCGCGTCTACACCGCTTGCGTGCGCCGCACCCTCTCCCACGGCACCACCACATCGGCCTACTACGCCACCATCGACGTCGCCGCCACCAACCTCCTCGCAGACATCTGCCTCGCCCTAGGCCAGCGCGCCTTCATCGGCCGCGTCTGCATGGACCACGCCGACCTCTGCCCCTCCTACTACCGCGACGAATCCCCCGCCGCCTCCCTCGCCGCCGCCCGCGCCTCCATCGCCCACATCCGCACCATCGACCCCGACTTCTCCCTCATCTCCCCGATCCTCACCCCCCGCTTCGCCCCGTCCTGCACCTCCGACTCCCTCCGCGGCCTGGCCGCCCTCCACGCAGAGACGGACCTACCGATCCAGACCCACATCTCGGAAAACCTCCCCGAGATCGACCTCGTCCGCTCCCTCTTCCCCGGCTCGTCCTCCTACGCGGCCGTGTACGACGACCACGGCCTCCTCACGCCGCGCACCGTCCTCGCCCACGCCGTGCACCTCTCCGACGAGGAGGCCGACCTCGTGGCCCGCCGCGGCGCCAAGGTGTCCCACTGTCCCGCGAGCAACAGCGCCCTCACGTCCGGCACGGCGCGCGTGCGCCGGCTCTGGGAACGCGGCGTCGAGGTCGGCCTCGGCACGGATGTGAGCGGCGGGTATAGCCCTTCCGTGCTCGAGGCGGCGAGGCAGGCGAGCTTGGTGTCGAGGCATGTGGCCATGGGGCTGGCTGAGGGAAAAAACAGGGAGACGGCCAAGCTGACGGCGGAGGAGGTGCTGTTCTTGGCCACGAGGGGCGGGGCTAGGGTGCTTGGGCTGGATGATGCGGTGGGTGGGTTCGAGGTTGGGAAGCAGTGGGATGCGCAGCTTGTCGGGCTGGCTGTCGTGGATGACATGGGGGAGACGGAGACCCATGACGGGAAGGGAGGGGATGATGCGGGGAATGTGGATATCTTTGGGTGGGAGACCTGGGAGGAGAGGATCGCCAAATGGCTCTTCAATGGGGATGATAGGAATACGAAGATGGTTTGGGTGAGGGGGCGTTTAGTCCACTCTCGGCAGTAGACGTAGAGGTGGGAAGCATTATTTGATAGAAGGTGGCTGAACATGGGGCAAGAGGGTCATCATCTATACAGGTACAGGGCAGCTATGTAGATTTTAGAAGTAGACCAGTGATATTACAGTGACGACAACCCGAATCAAGACGCAATTTCACAAACAGACGTTCCTGCACTGTCTTAGGGATAGTAGGGGATAGTGACAGTCTCACCGACACACACCGTGCCACTGGGTGGGTCTTCACCGAAATGCCCCACTAACAGAACAGGTACGAAGTACATACAAGCTTACCCAAGCTCCCAGACCCCATCCAGCCAATCAACAGCCAGAAACTCGGTTCAGCCTTGCAGCAGCGTAATACGGTACTACGGTACTCGCCATCGCCATCGCCCATCGCCGTCGCCATTGCTACCACCGTCATCAACCTTTCTCACACAACCTTGCTCGACCAAGCATCACGTCGAGCAAATTCCCAGAAATCAACCAACATGGTGGGTCAAGTCTATCCCATACAGCCTTTTGCGATGCAAAGGTACCAGACTGGCCGCTAACCCCCGTCGCAACCGCAAACACCACAGCTACCCCTAGGACTTCTAAACGCTGCCCAAGGGCACCCCATGCTCGTGGAACTGAAGAACGGCGAAACCCTGAACGGACACTTGGTCATGTGCGATACATGGATGAATTTGACCCTCAAGGAGGTCGTGCAGACCAGTCCTGTACGAAATCTCTTTTCTTTTTCTTTTCCCCCCCTTCTGGCGCCCCTTCATTCAGTTCACCGACGTCTCCTGGTCCCGAGGTCCCGGGGGGGGAGAGCGAGGCGAACAAGTTGGAAAAACACAAAAAGGGAATCGCAGCTAACCAAGCCCACTCGAATAACAGGAAGGAGACAAGTTCGTCAGGATTCCGGAAGTATATGTCAAGGGTAACAACGTACGTTCGCGCATTATCCATCCATGCCGCCCCCCTCTACCTTCGCGCCATGTTGTAGCGCATCGCAATGGACTGACAGGAAGTACCGTTGGACGGAATAGATCAAATATCTCCGCGTACCGGACGAAATCATCGAAATTGTCAAGGAGAACCAGCAGAACCACCAACAGGGCGGCTTCCGGGGAGGTCGCGGCGGCGGCGGAGGAGGACACAGAGGCGATCACGGCGGACGGGGAGGCGATCGGGGTCGTGGCGGAAGGGGGCAGGGCCGTGGAAGGGGAAGGGGGCGTGGTGCTTGAGGTGTTCACGACAAAACATGTGGCATGACGAAAGCGAAAACGAACCAGCGAACCAAACCTGCTACCCTTTTTATGTTTTACGTACTGGGCCACCCACACCCATCTGGGAGGAGGAGAGGCGGGGAAAAGCGAATACCCCTGATACACCCAAGGTGCATACCTCTTCCCCCGAGGTCGGTCTCCAATTCCGTCGGCGCACTGCGCGGGCTTTGGGAGGCCATGGGATGGGATCATGGTGATGGGTATACGCAGTGCAGTGGACGGATATCATGGGGTATCATGTATGTCCCCCCTCTACCATGGACCTGGTGTTCCGTGCAGATAGGTAGGAGTAGGGGAGTCAAGAACCCAAAGAAGCCCAAGAAACCAAAGAAAATAACTGCGCCAAATAACGCATGAACTGATTAGGACAAGAAATATCGAGACGCTTAACCTTGATAGTTACGATCATCCATTGTACAAATATCAATGGGCGATTGGTTTAGTGGTATAACGTCTGCTTAGCATGCTGAAGGTCCCGCGTTCGATTCGCGGATTGTCCATCCCTTTTTTTTTTTACCAGTCTGAGCTCGGTCAATTCTCGCCGAGGATGAAATAATCACGTGATAAAATCTCACCGAGATAACGACCCACCTACTCCATAGAAATTCAAGCTCTGACCGAGACGGCTCTTGAATCCTTGAACCCCATCCTTCATCCACCGAGTCATCCAACCCCGACACCCTTTGTTTGGTCGGGTAATATAGTTTCCAATCTTCCATGTCGAACTCGAGGTTCGTATTGGATGGGCTATGGCGATGCTTATGCCCTTCCATTGACCCAGCTGTCGCATCTCGGCTGCTTCGATCTCCCGCTCCCCTTCTCCCCAGACGAGTTCATGCAACGCCGCGACGAGCTCCCGTTTCGAGATTCGGTTCCAGAACACGGCCGTGTCATGTACAACAACGGCAATATAGCTTCACGGCCACCGCAACTTCTCCGGCTCCCGCCCCTCGACGCAACAGCCGAGCGAACGACGATAAGGGGAGAAACGCCAACCCGGCGCGAACCTTGGCCGAGACACCATCGCCCAAAGAACTGGATAAGAATGTGTTACGCTCAGCCTCGACGGAGCAAATTACCGAAGCCCTGCAGGTTTTGCGGAATCGCCCGGACGGTTTCCTCGTCACCGCCGCTCTTGTGAAGCACCTTGTCCAAGAGCGCGGCGAGCTGCCGAATCCAAGGATGTACGAGTGCTTGATAGCGAGCGCGCGCGACACCAAGGGCTCGGCCGACATGTTGGCGCAGCTACTGGCTGAGATGAAGACGTTGAAGTTTCCTACGGGCTCACGGCTTTGTCATGAGGCCTTGCAGGTTCGTGACTAGCACCATCACCATCACCATCACTTTGTGACGTTCTCGGCTGACGGGAAATCTTGCTCGCTAGGTCCTCGCGGTCCATCCAAACTACCTCCTCCGAAACGAGATCCTCTCGGCCATGCAAGAATCGTGGACCGAAATCGACGCCAACGGCCAATGCAGCATCGCCCTGGGCCTGCTGCGCGACGGCCAATACGAGCTGGCCGCCTCCAAATTCGACGACATCCTCGACAAATATGCCGCCGACGTGCCCCACTGGATGATTGACATCTTCATCCTCGTCTTCCTGCAGAAGGGCTTCCTGGACGAGGCCGTCCGCATGGCCCACGTGAAGCCCCACGCCACCGCCGCCGAGGGCATCCCGCTGCCGCTCTGGCACCAGCTCCTCGACGCCTGCAGCCGCGCCTCTCACTACGTCGGCACCAGCTACGCCTGGAACTGGCTCCTCGAACACGACCGCCGCGTCCTCCCGGACGGCCTCCTGCTCAACGTCCTCCACACCGCCGCGCGCCACGCCGACCCGCACCTGGCCACCCAGGTCACCGACCTCCTCTCCGCCCGCGGCGCCAAGTTGGCTCTGCACCACTACGAGGCCCTCGTCGACGCCTACGCCGCGCACCGCGACCTCGACGGCGCCCTCCGCGTCCTCTGCATCATGCACGACGCCCTCTCCGTCGTCCCGGACGGGAGCACCCGCTCCCTCTACCTCGCCCTGCGCTCCCAGCCCGCCCTCCTGCCCAAGGCCCTCGACGCCCTCGAGCGCCTCCTCCTGTCCGAGCACCGCCACGTGCCCCTCCAGGCCGCCAACGCCGTCCTCGAGGGCGCCGTCGCGGGGTCCGGCTTCGACGCCGCGCTGGACATGTACCTCGACTGGCCGCGCTACACCCGCGCCCGCCCCGACTGCGTTACCCTGCGCCACCTGCTCCGCGCCTGCGACGACCCCGAGACCCTGCGCCTCCTCGTCTCCGAGAACCCGGACGCCGCCCTCCGGGGGGACCGCGCCTCCTTCGAGCGCGCCGTGCGCGAGTTTGCCCGCGTCGGCGACTTGGAGAGCGCGTATCGCTGCGTGGATATGCTGGGCGCTACTACTCCTGCCCCTGCCCCGGTCCCTGTTCCGGGCTCTGCTCTTGGGATCGAGTCGACGACGGAACAACAGCAGCAGCAGCAACAACAACAACAACAACAACAACAACAACAACAGCCGGCATGGTTGTCGCGGGAGACGGGGCTGGTGCTCGTGCGCCGCTCCCTGGATGCCCGCGACGAGCGCGTATGGTGGCTCTTGGAAGAGGCCGAGCGGCGCGGCCTCGACTTGCGCACCGGGCTAGCCAGACTGCTTGCCGTGTGGGAACAGGATCGAGAACCGCCGACATTCAAGTCGAGGAGGGAGCTGACTACGGGGCGACGCGTCTTGGGTGGTGGAGGGGACGTGGATGCTGATCCGGTGGACTGAGGGTGGGTGGGTGGAAGAAGGGGGGGGGGGTGCCTTTGTTGTGAGGATAGATGGAGAGCTCAGCTTTTGCGTCGTTTTGCTACGTAGACGTAAATAGAAGAGCGTAAAGGAACCGACTTTTCCTACTGCCGTTTCTTTTCTCTCCTTTTCTTCTTTTTTCCCCTTTTCGCGACACCAGAAACTACCACTCCCCCCAACCACCACCACAGCATGTCAAAAACAATCGATTTACAACACACAAAGTTCAACCGACATCACAAACTCTGAAAGGATGATCAAGTCGGCGACAGTCACTTAGAGGAAGAGAAATCAAGAGGTAACAGCCAAGGCAGACAAAGAAGAACAAAAAAAAAGGAGACGCCTTGGCATGTTCTGAAAGCAACTCGACCAAAAACCGCATCTCCCAACCGTAGACATGCCTGCCCCTCCAGATAACTGTCTGAATTCTCGCCCTCTCGCCCTCTCCTCTCTCTTCCCCCCACCCCAGCCTAATCTTCTGTCTCCGCGCACCCTTCAGCCTTAACCGCAAAACAAATCCTATCGCGTGTGCATCCCGGCCTTGAGCAGGTCATAGAGATCATCGTTCGACCCATAACTGTGGTTGGTAGGCAGGTTAAGCGATCCGTGCGTCGTCTGCTGATGGGCTTGGTAGGAGCCCGTCGTATCGCCAGCCGTGCCGTACGTAGTGGAAGAAGAAACGTTGGTTGTCCCGAACGAGTTGGTATTGCTGCCGAAGCCGCCGTACCAGCTAGACTGATGCTGCTGTTGCTGTTGTTGTTGCTGGTGCTGGTGCTGGTGCGACTGCGATTGCGATTGCGACTGCGACTGCGACTGCGACTGCGACTGCTGCTGCTGCGGCCTCGTTTGGTGGGCCCGCTGGTGGGACTGCGCCTGGGTCTGCTGCTGCTGGTGGGAGTAACCATGGTATGTCGGCTGCTGATGCTGCGCATACGAGCTAGACGTCGATGACGGTTGCGTCGCCCCAGAAGCGTCAAGGCGGAGATTAAACAGCTGCTGCGAAGATGAAGCCTGCTGCTGTGCCGACGGGGTAGACTGTTGTTGTCCGCCGTACGAGTTCGAGGCCGCCATAGCCGAGTGCGTCTCATAAGTGCGGCTGCTCCGAGACTGAGAAGAATTCGGCCACTGACTCGCTGTCGACGACACAGTAGGCGCGTACGAATTCGCCGTCGACCGCTGCTGTTGCTGCTGTTGCTGCTGTGGAGACGCTTGGTGGCCATGAGCCGTGGCAGAAGTCGACGATGCTCTCTTACTTGCAACTGCCTGCGCTGCGTAGGGCTCATAGCCGAGTTTCCCGATGGACTGGTCATTTGCAGAAGAAGCGGAGTACCGTCCTCCGTACGCGTTGTAGCTTGAAGCGCCGCCCATACCAGTCGACGTGCTGTAGCCTGAAGTGTCGATCATCGGGGTTTGCGTGGAGGGGAGCGACTGCTGCTGAACGACATGATGGGTCGGTGTTGTTCTCCGACCATCGGTTAGAGGGGTCCGTGTCTGGCTCCCATGACCGGTTCTCGATTTGGCACGCCCTAGCTGCGCCGCTGCCTGGAACGGCGAACTTCGAGACGGCGTCGCATTGGCCGACTGAGCGGCGTGGACAGTGGGGGACCGTTGCTGTTGGTGCTGGACACTGGCATGCGACACGGTGCCCGACGATTGTTCGAGGTTTCCATAGACATGCTGAGCTTGGCTTTGAGCCTGGACGTCTGAGATTTGCGAAATTTGCGTCGACGGAGAAGTTTGTTGGACTTGATGGGTCGAACTCCTCGATTGGTGCTGTCGTGCCAGATGCTGCCCAGTGGTCGTTGACGCTTGGTGTTCCGTGCCTCCAAAATGGCCGGACGGGGATGTCGATGTCTGCCAGCCACTAGCATAGGCTGAGAGGCTCAAGGCCGCCTCTGCCTCCGAAAGGGTCTGGCTCCCGCCCAACGGGCTACGTTGTTGGCTCGCCGAGCTGGTCTGACGCATTGCCATCTGAGGACTATTCGACTGGGGCGGTTGCTCTGCGTGAGAATGCGACTCGGAATAACTGAGACTAGACGGTTGCAACCCCGGGTCCACATCGTTGGACACGGACTGTGGGAATTGCAAGCCGGTTGAGCCAGAGCCGAAGTAATCCTGATTAGAGGTGTCGGCCGGCGTGAGCATGCCAGCCACGGGCATGTTGGATGTGTAGTCAATCGTCTCAATCTCGTCGCTGCCATGGTCGGGTTTGGAGTCGGATTCATGCGTAGATTCATGTGCAGCTGCATGCAGAAGTTGATGTACAGGTTCCGATGGTGGATCCTGCTGGGGGGCTGCACTGGGTTCAGGTTCAGATTGACGTTCAGGCTCAGGTTCAGGTTCAGGTTCAGGTTGAGATTGAGGTTGAGATTGAGGTTGATGTTGAGGTTGAGGTTCAACCTCGGGATCCGACTCGACACGAGGAGCAGACTTTGTTGCACCTTTAGATTTGCGTTGCTTCTCCAGGGGATACTGGCACTGAACTCCAGCGTCGCGGCAAGGAGCGCACGACGGCTTCTTACTGTCACACTACAGAAGATGGTTAGCAAAGTAGAAACAAGAAAAGAAAAGAGAAAAAAGAAAAAAGGGGGGAAATGTTTCCTTGCTTCTAATCATGCTTACCTTGGTTTTGTTCGCTTTACAGGGAATGCAAGAGCCCCGGGAGAGGCGTGGCTTACGGCTCGGCGTGTTCGAGGCCGGAGCTGCGGCTCCAGATGCCGCCCCGTTCGCCACATTGGAGTCAGTATTTTGGCCGGCTCCTGATGCCAAAGCGGGAGCCGGGGTCTCGGTACCGGCTGGGGTGGGTTGGCCTGCCGAGTCGGGATTCTGCGATGTCCGCTCTGGTGTCGCCGAGTTGTTCGTCGATGCAGCAGTACCAGCACTAGCGCCGCCAGCCGAGTCCTTGGGATGCACGATACGCAGACGCTCTGCGCCGTACTTAACGAACATCATGAGCGATTCCTTCTGCAGCTCGGGGGCCTGGTTGGCGAAGATGCTGAACTGTTCCTCGGAAAGTGTCGCCGGGTCGACGCTGGCGTCGGTGAGGAGGCGGAGAGCCGTCTCACGTCGCCGTGCCGCTTCTGCCGGGGGTACATTCAAGAGCGTATGGGAGTGGATGCCACTGTCCACGGCAGCTTGGGCCGCCTGGGCTTTGGCTTCCGCCGTATCGTCGGCTGCGCCGCCATGCCCGACGAGCGCGTCAGGGTACTCGCCCGACCCAGCAGGCACGCTCTGGGGACCATACTGCGGAGGCTGGTTGGTAGAGTCCACGGGCGCGGCACCGGGATAGTCCGGCGGCATCATGGGACCAGCGGGAGTCGAGGCGTTCGCATCCGACTTCTTCTTTCTTCGTTTCTTCGGCTGAGCCGAACCCTCCCCTCCTTCGCCATCGGCCGCAGTGGACTTGCGCTTCCTCGGTGTCTTCTTGGGCTTGCTGGCAGTGCCACCTTCTCCAGCCGGCGTCGCGTCGCCCGTGGCAGCCTCTGACTTGCGTTTCTTGGGGGTCTTCTTCGGCCTATCCAGGGTGGGTGGATTCACCGGTGCGGGACGAGGGGGCGGGCGATAGAGTGCAGCCACATCGGCGACGGTTTTGTGAAGCGGGGTGTGGTCGTACTTGACGTTGATGGACCGCGAGTTCTTGGAAAAGATGATGGATATTGATCCACGACAATCAAACGCCGGCCGAGCTACATGATGGGAAAGAAAAAGAAAAGAAATCTTCGTCAGGAATCGCATCATAAGGCAAGGAAAAGGCAACGGATCACACATACCTCGATGAATCGGATCGAGCTCCTTTTGGCTGTACTCGGCAATGGCCGACTTGTCCAAACTCTTCGCGTTCTGCCTCATCCAGGCAGCAAGGGAGTCCTTGCAATGGTAGGTCAACGCCCAGCCGTGAGATCCCCTGGAAATGTCGCGTACGGCCCAGGAACAACCGTCAGTCGCACCTATAAGCGAGATGATCTGCTTCGCAACGGCGCGTTGCATAGCAGGGTCGTCCTGAGGCTGATTCATAACCACTTCATTGGTGCGCACGAGCTTCATCGACCGGCTGTTGCTGCTGCTGTTGTTGCTGTTGTCATTATTGTCATTATTGTCATTATTGTCATTATTGTCATTATTGTTATTATTGTTATTATTGTTATTATTGTTATTATCGTTGCCATTGCTCCCGTCCCGGGTCGCACTGGCGGCAAGAGCAGGATCGACATCAACATGGGCTTCGGCGTCGGATTCGACAATGGTGAACTGCACAGGGCCGCGCAGGTCAAAGCTAATGGTGGCGTGTTCGGCGCGGGTGGGCTGCATCTTGGTCTCGAGGAGCTGCCTCAGCTGGTCTTGCATCTGGTCCAGGTGCGAGATGGGGACCTTGCCCGAGAGCGCGTCCACACCGCTGCCGCCGCCCGGAGGCCCAAGGCCCAGCAGAGCTTCGGCCATGGCACCCGGTGGTGTAGGTGGTTTACCGTGATGCCGACGATGGCTCTGGCGATTCCAGGCGCGAGGAGAAGATGACGATGAAGCGAGCTTCGATGATGCCGATGGTCGTGGTGGTGGTGGTGGTGGTGGTGGTGGTGATGATTTTGGCTGGATTAACAGGAAAAGGCGCGTAAGCTGGAACCTGGCCGTGGGAGATTGCTGATCGTGATTGACGCGATGAGGCCAAAATGTGTGTTTACGACTGGTTGTCGCGTTACAATGGGTCGAGGCACAGGCGCGGGATGGGGGCGAGGGAAATGGGGATCGGGGAGAGAATTGTGCGCGCTGCGAATGAGAATGAAGAGAATCCTTAGCAGGTTGGAGTGGGAGAATTGTTGTCGGTCGCGCCAAGGTCGTTCCTTTCGTCGTGTCCATTGCGTTATGAATGTGGGTCGGCAGTGGCACCCCAGAAAGGGGGGTGGCTTCATCAGGGCTTGTTATTACCACCCCACCGCGTCTTGCCGAAACTCGTGCGCATGTGGCTGGAGGGGTCATAATACGAGAACCTGTGGCTGACGGTGTCGCTGATGGTGTGGCTGACGGTGTGACGTATCCATCTCGTGCCGGAGGTGATTCTGGGCTGTTTGTGATGTCCATTATAATTATCCCGTATATCTTCGTCCGCCCCTAAACTCTCATGGGCTTATGAACAAAGTGCATGGAAAATGAGAGGAACTGCATATGTAGGGATCTAGGAAACAGAAGAAGAAGAAGAAGAAAAGAAAGAAAAAATAAGAAAAAAAAGAAACAAAGGAAAAAATTGGTTTAATAAACAGCCCAGAGAAGTATGTGCTTAGTATTCAAGGTCAAACTTGGGAAGCCTGAGGTGATAACAAGCAAGGCTGAAATTCTGAATCAAGCTTGAGTCTGACTTGATTGTCGACCAAGGCAAGCCTGAAGACCAAAATCTAACCAGGTAGGCACAGAAAGTCCGCCACTGCCTTGGCTATCTAGATTGGGACATTCTGCTGCCTCTTACTCTTTGTTTTAGACGTATGCCTACCGCAGTATCAATCGAGCTGTTTATCGGCACAGGTCAAAACAATCAGATAAATAGCCTGGACTGGAGTACAACAGGCAACTGTCAAATCGCCACGTTGTTACCTTACAAACCTCCCAAAGTAGAGATGCTCTTGTGCCTTGCCTCTGCGAATATCACGAATGTCTGGAAAACCCTATAAAGAGAGAGGAGTGTCTAGGGTAGAAAATAATAAAAAATAAAAATAAAAAAAGGAATCATTATGAGAACGAAAGTTAGCTATCCAGTAAAAATAGCGATTGTCATGTCAAGACAGTACTATCCATGCATCCATACGTCCCGTTATGAAGATCGCATAGCCCGGTTTCTGGCGGTGATGGTATAGTACAGGTAGTCCGCGATTACTATTACTGAGAGACCCACGACATGTCATCGCAATGCCGCTTGTTCCAAAACATCAATTCCAAAAGCGGTATCCAATTAGTAGTAAACCTTCTCATCCCAAATGGGAGGCCGCGCGCCCTCGGCATCCCAGATCAGCTTATTCTTCTCGTCAATGGTGCAGCCCTCGTCCGTAATGTCAATCACCTTGCTCGTCAACGCAATCTCGTCCTTCGACACGCCCGCCGGGTCCGAGGGGATCCAGAGGAGAGGCGTCGCGCTCGTCGCCGAGGGGGGGTAGTAGGCGTCCCGCTCGACCTGCTCCGAGTACATCTGGTCGAAATCAATCGCGTCCTGGGGAACCAGCTGCCGCAGCGTGTGGTAGTCGGCATACACCCACGGCTTGAGGAACCGCGTGATCATGTTGCCCTGCCTGTCGGACGCGCCCTGGGCCTGGCTGGGAGTAGAGCCGTTTGCCGCGCCTGCTTCCTTGGCACTCCTACTCGCATCCAGGGCAAGGGGCCGCGCAGCTTCCGCGTCGCTGCCGGCCAGCAGAAGCTCTTCTTCCACCTGAAGCGACCGGGGTAGGTTGTAGAGCAGCGGGTCGAGCACCTTAGAGATGGTGAGGTGGAACAAGAGGGTGAATACGAGGAAAGCCACCATCAGGACGAGAGGACCAAACGCTTGCGACACGGCGAACAAGCCGACCATGCAGATTTCCGCAAGGTAAACGCCGGCAAACAGCTGCTTCAGTGCGCGAGGGTAAATCAGGCCGCGCGTGTCCACAATCGTGTCGGTGACGAACAGGATGTTGTATCGATACGCCAGGTAAAACAGGAAAATACCGAGAGACGACCAGAAGAGCATGAGAGGCGCGATGACGGCATACACAATGCCTTGACGAAAAAGTCTGTCAGCATAATATCGCCTCGCTTCAACCCATCTCGTGACGGTGAACAGAATGAATTGCCAACTTACTGATGACGGAAATGGTGGTGTAGATAGGCAAGACCGAGCCCCATGAAATGGCGCTGAGCGTCGCCCACTTGTTGTACATGGCACGAGGCGTGTTCGCCAGGAACTTGTACAGCAGTTTAAATATGATAAACCCGACAACCTGGGAAACGACACCCGAGGCGATAGTCAGACCTTGCACGATGAAGTAGGAAATGTAAAAGGTAGACGCCCGAGGAAGAGCCGCCGAGAGGATGGAGAAGATCCTCCCAGGTTCCTGAGATATCTCGAGGGCGGCGCCAACGGCCGAGCCGGAGATGGTGGTGATCAGAAAAACCTGGATAAGCTGAAACCAGAAGTAGGCGCTCTGCGTGAAGAGCTCGACCCGCGACAAAGATGGCTCGCCTGCCAGCTTCGCACACAGGCGCATGACGACAGGGACAAGAGACATCAAGATGGCCAAGGCCACGGCCGGGAGCAGACCGGAGATGACGCCCATGATGACCTCCGGAACGGCATCGAGCCAGGCGAGCCAAGACAGTGACTTGAGGAACGAGACCTGACTGATCGCGCCCACGGCGGCGGTAGGGATGGCCCAGAAGAGGATGAGAGCAGTAATGAAGGCAATGACGGCGTATCGGCGGATGACCTTCTGCCACCAGGAAATCCTGAGCGACTTCCAGAGCACCTCGCCCGGCTGGACGCCGATGTACCGGGGGGACATGCGAAGCACTTGGTGGTGGGTGAGAACCTGGTAGGCGGCCTGGGCATCGGACTGGGTGTGAAACTCGACAAAGACGGCGCCGACCTTGGCGAAGTCCCCGGCGCGGAACTGGGCCTGAGCGGCCGCGGCTTCGGGGATGAGCCTCCGTAGCTCGTCGCGGCACCAATCGATGGTGTCGACCTTCTTGCCGTACAGGCCGAACTTGCCAAGTCGATGCGTAGGTCGCTTCTTGTTCGGAACCCACCGCGCCGCCACCTGGCCAACCTCGGCGTTGTGGCTCGCGGGGGCGGAAGGAGCCTCGTCAGGGCCGGCGGCGCCTTTTTTCAGGGATTTAACGCGTTCCTTGTTCGCCAACTTGATGAGCTTCACCTCGGCACTCTCCAGCTTCATGGCCGTCTTGTCACGCTCCTCGACGACCTCTTCCAGCTTGCCCGTATCGCCGACGATCCATACGTTCTTGACCGAGTTACTGAAGAGCCTGCGAATTTTCAACTCGTCGAGGTAGTCTTCGGGCACAGAGGTGAAAAGGACGGTGCGCGAGGAGATGCGATTGGCATAGACGGGGGAGAGCAGGAATGCCTGGCGGAGATTGATGTAGAAGATGCACTCGCGCAGAATCATGTACATGACAAATCCGTAAAAGAGCCAGCCGAGGAAGACGTGGGCATAGAGGCGGTTCCTGCCCTGCGGGGAGTCGACATCGACGTTGCTATAGCTCAACATGTTGAGCCCCTCCTGGGTGCCACCGCCAGTAGCATTAACGGCGAAGAGAACGGGCCACGTCAGGATGAGGCCCACGACGCAGATGGTGGCGCAGATACGCAGGTAGCGGAGGAAGAGGTACGCGTCCAGGGACTGGTGCTGGAGTGCATGGTAATCGGGTATGTTTCGAAAGGCGCCGAACCAATTGAACAGACCGCCGGGCAAGGCGGGCGTTCGCTCCCTGTGGAGGAATGATCTCGTTAGCGAGCGGACACATCATAACGAAATGTAACGGGGGCGCAGTCGGCCAAAGAGGAAGAAGGACCAAAGACATACTGCTGCCGCAAGCTCCCAATGTAGGTCCTAGGAGCATAGAACCTGCGCTGGCTCTTTCGCAGGACGAGGAAGATGGTGAAGTAGATGCTGGCGATAATGAGGGTGGGGATCAGGGTCGACACCATAGCTAAGGAGAGCAAGAGAAAAGAAAAAGAGATTAGTTTTCCGGCGAATTGCAAAACTTCCAGGGTGGACGGCATATAGTACGAACCGGAGACGGACGAGTCCTGAGACTCAGTGTCCGCCGCCTGCTGGCGAGCTTCCAGGACACCCATTGTGGCAGCAGGTGGTGTCACTGCCTCTATGGCTGCTCTATCACGCTCCCAACGGCGGGATCAAGTGAGTGGTATGGCCGGACAACAGTTGTGATCGAGTCGAAGACCAGGAGGGGCTGAAGCAGAAGCTCTCGCTGGCATCAAGGCAAGCGGGGACGAGTGGTGAAGGGGGTTGAAGAAAAACAGGGCTCAGGGAAAGGAAAGGAAGAAGGAAAAAAGAAGGCCGAGGAGGGAAGTAGGTAAGGTAGGTAAGGTAGGTAGGATAAGGTAAGGTAGACGGGATACTAGCAGACGCTATGTACCTAATATTATTCTCCCGTAAGGTAAGGTACGTTGTAGGTGGGTAAGGGTCGCTACTGCAGAGGTCTGGATCTATGAAGTACCATGGAACTGGTTCTGAGCGGGTCCTCTACATGTACGGAGTACAGATAAAGTTACGGATATGTACCGGTAGATCAATTTTTATGGGGGATGCTGATCGGGTATTCATCCTGTCTCGGTACTCTGGAGGGGTTCTCATACGTAAAGGCTTGTCGTTGGGAGAAAAGGAAGGGTAGAGAGACTGGGAGGGAATACCTAGCCGCCGCGAACGATCTGACCCCAAGGTAGGTACTTTAAGGTAATAACAAACAAACCAAGACATCGGCGACCAAAAGTGTACATATCACACCAGTGTGGGAAAACGGCGTAGGAGATCGTCGGCTGCGACACGTAATGCATGGCGGAGAAATCGAAATTCAGGCGAAGAAGGGATAAACTACTCAGATAGTGCGCAGTAGGCGGGTGTCGCGCGACTCAAGCACTGACTGGTTAGCCAGACTCATTTAGTCGGTACCTTAGGGTCAGGCCACTGCGCCTATGTATGTGCTTTATTATTTTGATGACGGCGGAAATCACTGTCTCAGCTGGGGTGTCTCTCTTTTGTTTTTACACTACCTACCGTCGAGTCGTTGACCAGACAAGTGACGCCACGCTGTTCCACTGGGCTTCCCCTTTCCCGTCGTCCACCATAACGCCAAAACAAACAGGGTACACGTATTGGTAAGGTACCTTATGTGATTCAGAAGTACGTGTAATTAGGTATTTCCGTGTTCGCCAGGACAAAACAGAACGCCCATCATTCTTCAAACCAAGGAATAGGTAGACAGACGACGTCAAGTTTCAAGAGCTTGATACGAGAAAACCAGAGTCGAGGTGGTATTCTTTACGGAACCCCGCTGCACTCCACGCGCATTTAGCTGCAGAATAGGTAGGAAGCGAGCAAATGCCTGGTTACCTACCATGGCTCTCCGATGTACATGTCTTGTCTGTGTAAGGTACCTAAGGTACATAAGATACTCCGTATATCGATTGCATGTACCATGTACCAGGAGACGAGCAGACGATGCCTGCCCTGCTGAATCCTGCATCCATGACGTAACATGATTGGCCCATATTAGCTCCAACCTTGTCCAACGGCCCCCCACCTCCCCACCCGGTCGTTTTCTTTTTTTTATCTCCATTTCTTGCCTTTTCCCTTTCCCTATGCCTGCGCTTCAGTTTGTTCTCGACCTTCTGTGGCTGCTTATTATTCTCCCTTTTCAATGAAACTCCCCTTGGCCACCGTGATGTTTTCAGCTCGCTATAGTTAAATCACAGCAACCGCTCGCTTTGTCCGCGGTTTGGGATGCAACCATAAACGACCAGCCTCGACGATTTCGAAACGATGCGAGGGAGTACGGATGCTCTTGTTGACCGCATTTCCTCTCGTCTCACCGATGGCGGCTGATGGTGACATGTACAGAGAAACATGTAAACCGTACGATGTGCATTTCCTACGGAGTACGTCATCGCATCTCCAAAAAAAAAAAACATGTACATACACTACTGTTATCCAGCCAGCCAGCCGCTCGGCTTTTCCGTCCCTGTTTTGCTCTACCTACCTATCTCCTGTGACCCTTCCACTTCGTCTGTCCTCACGTGTTAATTTTCATAACACAAGCAACGAGAGTGTACCAACGCACCCTTCGACCCAGCGACTCTCAAGATCATCTTTGCTGATTCTCGACGACTCGAATCCAACACGGTACTATCTCCTGCATTCGTTTTCCTTTCCATTCCCCATAGAATGCCCCTATGTGATCTTCATTGCTGCACCCTTGGGGCGCAGTTCTCGGCGTTCTGCTCCCCATCATGCAAAATTCAGAAACAAAACTGCCAAAGTCTAAGTACAGGCTCTCCTCATTGGTCCCCGTACCTACCGTATTTTGGGTTGACAGTTGGCTGCTACCTTCCAGCTTATCATGCCCGATCTGCTTGATGGTCGAGGAAGATATCCACACGTAGGTCTCCCCAAGCGGTCAGCCCCAACCGGTGTACCGATAGTTCTCGGTCTACGTGAACGAACTGCGACGATTACGGAGTATAAGTGTACCTAGATACCGTATAACATTCATGTAATAGGTATCGAAGATACTGGAGATTCCTTACAACATTGATTCCTGGACGGTTAGACTCTTCCGACCATCCATGGTCTCGAATGATGTGAGGGGCTTAGAGTCGCGGACGGATACACGAACAACGGACACCATCCCTTTTTCTTTTCTTTTTTTTTTCATTTCTTTTTTCAACGTGACCCCTCTCATCCCTTTCCTCCCCAAGCCGGTCAAATGGGGGAGCAGTATCCGTATTGCAGCATATCATTTCTCTTGGGCCAAAAAACCGAGTCTCGGTTTCTGGCTGTTCCTTTGTGAGCCCATCCCGTCCTTTGTTGTCGTCAAGGCATTGCGATGGCCTCCCTACGCAGCCTCCTTTGTCCCTTCTTGTGGACTTGGCCGGAACCGTACCTGCTCCTTTGTTGGCGTGGCCGTGGGAATGGCAAGAGAATTCAAAGAGCCTAGGTATCAATAGAACATCATCGTGGTCATAAACAATGCTTTCCACCTCCTCGGACACTCTCACTCTCTTTTATGTTTTGCTCTTCTTCGTCAACTCTTTGATTCGTGAGTAGAGCAGCCATAACGCCAAAGTCGATACTCCTGGAACCCTCAAGCTAGAGCCTGAGAGACCCCAAGATTCAACGCATCACCAGCGTCACACCGAAGTTGCGAGGAAGAACAATGGCTTCAAACACATTTACTCCCGTCAACGGAGCGATTCCCAAGACGCCCTATGCCGCGGAATACGTTTCACGGTACGGTCAGGTGACGGAGATGGACGCCCAGCTTCTCTCCCATCTGAACTGCAGCTACTTCTCGACCACAGGCGTGGCCCCCACACTCCTGGCGTTGAAGAAGCACGCCCAGGCCCTCGCGATTCTCATCCGGCAGATTTCCGTCAGCACCAGCTTCGGCGAGGTCGACGGCAAGAATCACGCTGCTGGCGGCCACGCGGTGCGGCGGTTCAGGGAAAACGAGGCGTTCGACTGGCTCGACGACCTCTCGACACCATACCACACCGACGACGAGTGGCACCACAAGCCCCTGGTCGAGCTGATGAACCAAGTGGCGGCGCAGACGGACGTCGGGGGCGTGGCGCACCACTGCCCCCTGACCCTGAGCCGCCAGGTCGAGCAGTACCCGGGCGGCCAGAAGGTCCGGCCGTACGCCAACCACGCGGCGCTGACCATGCACGCCAACGAGTGCCTCGAGATCCTGGACCACGAGTACAGCGCCACGGGGGGGCTCATGTCGCTGCTGCCCACGGACGCCGAGGCCGACAGGGAGGACATGGAGGCGGCGCGCAACACGCTGCTGGGCCAGTGGCTCCTGTTCAACCAGCACCTGGTGGGCCGCATGCACGAGCTGGAGCTGTCGTACGCGCAGGCGCTGGATGCGCTCAAGGGCGAAGCGGCCATCCCGCTGCAGACGCTGTCCAAGACGGCCGGCTCGGGCGGCGCCGCGGGAAGCGGACGAGGAGACAACGACAACCTCCACCTGGGACGGGAGATCGGGTATCCGCAGGACCGGTGGATTCTCTGCAATTCCGGCGATGACGTGTTCGAGCACATCCACCGCGTGCTGGACCGACAGGAAGCGCTGATCGAGCCCAAGGAGCGGATCTGGAAGCAGCGCGGCGTGATGGGGGAGCGGATGTGGCGCGAGCGGCGCGGCGGGGACGTGTACGACCGCGGGCTGGTGGCGTGGGACGCCAAGACGCGGTTCATCCGGCTCCGGGGCAAGACGCGCAGCCCCATCTTCATCCTGCCGGCGCACGGCGAGCTCCCCGGGACGGCGGAGACGGTGCGGCTGGAGGAGGCGCCCAAGGTGGTGTCGGTGGTGACGCCCACGTGGCCGGCGCGGACGTCGGACTGGGAGCGCAAGTACGTCGACAAGCTGGACAAGGCGACCAAGACGGAGATTGCCAACATGGAGCTCGCCAAGAAGAGGGACACCCTGGAGTCCAAGACGCGGCTGCTCGACGGCGAGCTGCAGAACCTGCGGTTCGCCAGGCAGATATACGAGGAATATTACGGGGCCGCAGCGACGGAAGACGGGGCCAGGGTCCTGGAGGCCCGCGCTGCCGACCTGGCGATCCGGTATAAGAAGATGCAAGATACGATGGAGAACCTTCGCAAGAAGCTGCCTGCCAAGTATCACAAGCACCTGGGTTCCATGGAGAAGGCGGCCGACGGTGGCGACCCTGCTGCCGAGACCGGCACCACCGCGCAGCCCACGGGTACCTCGACGTAGCCATCGGCTTAAGCATCTTGGGCTGTCCGTCTCCGTTAAGAAGAGGGTTGGCGCTATTGGGATTTAGGAATGTATGCACGCGTTGGTGTATTTGAGGCCTCATGCGGGATAGAATGAATTTATTGTGCTTCGTATGAGACATGTTAATTTACCGGAATACGTTCTTGTGGATTTCTGAAAAATGGAACTTCGGCCGTTTTTTCTTTTTCTTTTTCTTTTTTTCTTCGATTCGTTTCTCAGGCTCGTCTTGAAGAAGTACCTTACCCCCCTCCCCTCTGGCACAACGAAAGGTCATGATGACATTTCGCAACATGATGAGGAGGCATCGTTCTGCTTGTTTGCCCTTTCATCCCAATGTACAAAGTACGGAGTACTCCGTACTGTCCAGCTCACAAGTTGTCCCCGGAGCCCCTTGGTGACCAGAAAATAAGCTGGACGAGCCACCTTCCTTTATTTGGTGCCCATTTGTTTGCTGTTGATTACTCCGTACTAGGTACTTCATACGGAGTACAACGTACGTCCTGGGAGGAGAGTCGGTGAAAACCACCTGAAGGAAAGAAATCTGAAGGAAGTGTTAGGGTGGTTACGTAACCACCCCTAGGGTGGCTACTTATTTTACTCCTCCCTGTATCTGGTAGTCTATTAGTTTTTCCTGAAATCAACAACTTCTAGCCGACCGACCGTATCGCTCTTTTCAGAAGGAAGGACTAACTGACCGGAGGTGGGGCACGATAAGGGCCCCTGACAAGGGCTATGACCACATGCAGCGGGGTTATAGCCATTCATAATGCTCCGATAATGCTATAGTGGGTCGTTGCTCTAACAACAGAAGGAACGGTGCTGCATCAAAACAAACGCTCCTGCTCTATCTTCCACTCAGTGGCACCGTCCTAGAAGGCACGATGGGAGGTCAAGAGGTCAAAGATGCAGGTGGGCTTGGATAGACTCGGATGGACTCGGATAGGACTCGACGGGCTTTAGTCCTACCTTCCTGCCTGCAACCATTGGCTCATCTACAAACTTGGTGGTCTCTTGATTTGGTCGAACCCTGCCTGATTCTGCTCCGTAGACACGTTCTCGACTCGTCGACTCCGTGCATTTGCATTTGCCTTGATCCCCACTTCATCTGTATGTATGTCTTGCCCTGTTGTGTTGTGCACTTCCAAATATCTTCCACTGGTCCCTTTTTGCAGTGTCCTTTCCACTCCGTATCATACAGCCACGTTTTTCTTTTTTCTTTTCTTGTCCTGATCAGGCCGCTTCTTGGGTCTTTCGCCTCCGCTGTCTTACCTTATGATTGTCTTATCCATTCTTGAATCTCTCTAACGGAACCGACACAAGCGGCTTGCGAAGGCAGCCCCGTCATGAAGGCTTGCTGAGTCTGCGCTTTCTACATCACCAGTTACGACCTACTCGTGGTGCTGCCACCATCTTCGTTCCTTCCTCTAAGCGCCAGACCACAAGGCTTAGGGCGGTAGAAAGATCATCCAAGCAACTACAACCACAGCGATAGCGACACAAAAGCGACGCCGACGACGACGACGACGACAACCGACTGGCGAACAAGAACCGCCGACACCGCCGCCACGACGCATCCGCAACAGGCAAACACTAAGAGCCATGTGTTGACAAATCGCCGGGCACTGCTCTTACGATCGAGGTAACCGAAGAAAGACCATCACTCGGCAGTACGCAGCATGTCGTTACCGGCGGTGTCGCCGTCACCCGCGGCGCCCAGCGGCACAGCGTCTCGACCGGCCAGGCTTTTGCCGCGACTAGCTCTGTTTCTGCTCGCCATCTCCGCTCCACCCTTGGCTGCGCAGAAGTTTCCGTACATCCCCACCACTATTCTCCTTCCCGAGCTTTTAGCCATTGCTCCCGAAAGCAGCAATTTCAGCGGGGTCGATTCCGACTTGGTCTATATCTTTACCCCCAGCGACAGGAGCGTCGGCGATAAGCCCGCGGTCGAGCTTCTTTCCCTCAACATCTCTACCGCCGTCGACAGCGACACAAGCCTCGAACTCGTCTCCTCCAGCCTGCCCTTTGTCGATGAATTATCCAACACGACCACTTTCCTGCCGAGCCTGACCGACAACGGCACCCTCGTCGTCCAAGCGGGAGACTGCCAGTCCCCGACCGACTACAACGTGTGGACATACACGCCTACCGGCCTGGGTCTGTCGTCGACAGAGGGCGTCTGGGCGAAGCGCCGGGTCGACATAACTGAAGATCAGGATGGTTCCATCCAGCCGGTGCCGCATTTCCTGGGCGCCGGCATAAGCTTCTCCTCGGATTGGAGCCCCAGAATGTCCGAACCTGTTTTGTACTCGTATGGCGGCATGTGTTCATCGCCAACCGCAGACCCGTCAACTTGGCAATCCAACGGGACCTATTCGAACCGGATGGTCCGCTTTACCCGGACCCAGGACGGATCTCGCGGGGGTTATGAGGTGTCCTTCCTCGCAGCTAGGGGCCCCGCCTTTCCGGCTGCCGGCTTCACCTTTACGGCTCTCACGCCCTCCATTGCCAATAGGTCGGATACGCTGGTGCAAAATAAACGTTACGTCATGCTTGGCGGCCACACAGAGCACGCTTTTATCAATATGAGCACGGCTGCCATCTGGAGCCTACCCGAGGAGTCGTGGTCATTCCTGGACATCAATGAACCCATCCAGAACGACAATGCCGACGACGATCTTGGCCTCGAACTGGCCGTCAAGAATCTCGCTGACCGGGACGTGTGGCACAGCGTGGACAGCCGGTCTGGCCACACCGCTATACTAAACGAAGAGGGAGATGCGCTGATTATACTTGGAGGCTGGGTTGGCAGCGTCTCGCAGGCGGCTTACCCCCAACTCGCCATGCTCAGGATCGGCGACTCATACGGGGAGTGGACGTGGGAGATTCCTGGTAGCCAGCCGGACGGTCCTGCCCTTTACGGCCACGGTGCCGCACTGCTCCCCGGTAACGTCATGATGGTCTACGGTGGATATGAGATGACGAATTCTGATGAGAGACTCGAGAGACGGAGTAGCCGCGGATCACCTCGGTTTCTGAATCTAACGTCCATGTCCTGGGGCGCCAGCTACGAAAACCCTGCATATACTGGACGGGACCACGGCAGCCCGGACTCGAGCAGCGGCGGCGCAAACGACAACGACCGCATCCGGACCATTGGCCTCGGCGTGGGTATTGGTATTGGGTCTCTCGCCATCATCGGAGCCATCTTGGTCTGGTTCTGCTATAGGAGGCGACTGAAGAGAAAAAACCGCGAGGACACGGTCCGGGGCCTAGCTCAGGACGCAAGCCGATTCCTGCACGACGATGATGAGATGATGGAAAGGGATGACCATTGGTCTCAACAGTCCTGGTATGTCGGCGGCCGCGGGCCGTATGACCTGGTAGGGGGCAGATCCCTCGGGTACGAGACGCTCCGAAGCAGCCGCAGCTCGCTGGGCGGTTACGGAAGACAACCCGCCCCTGCGTTGTTTGCTCCGCGCAAGCCAGTCCCCCGGGCGGCACGAGGTGCCTATCAGCCCGCCTTATCCCACCCAGGCAGTTTAACGAGCCCGGGTCACATTCACCCGATTTACGAGGCCGATGAAGAGGATCCGGACGACCCTGCTGAGCAGGCTAAGAATGCTGTGAATGCTCGCGTCCCCCACGCTACGCCCGGCACGCCTACCTCGCCTACTTATTCCGATCCGTTCGCCACGCCTACAGCAGGCTTGACGTCTGCCCCGGCCACGTACTTCCCGCCCACCCGCGCCAGCGCCACGCCCAGTCCCGAGAGAGACCTGCAGCGCCACCGGATCGACCCTGAAGTCCAAGACTGGAAATCCGATATAGACGCGGCCGAGGCCCTCCTCGCGCAAATACCGCCCCGCTCCCGCACTGGTGGTATCAACCTCCGCGACTCGCCGACACGGCGGCCTTCCATGCGTTCCGCCGCGTCTACGCCTTTACCGTCTGGGGTAGACGATATCGAGCGCTCAGCTAGTGGGCTCTCGGACTCAAACCGCAGTGCTCTAAGTAGCTTGGTCTCGCGCTCGCTCCTGGCAGGGGCCAACGCCGCCGCTGCCGCCGCTGCTACAACAGGAGCAAACACCAACAACGACGACCGTGTCGGGACCTCCGGCTCCAATTCGAGTGGCAGCACCAACACCTTCACAACTGCTACAACTGGCTTCGGAGCCCTCCAGGCTGAGGGTCCATCGCTTCTGCAAGGGACGGAGGAGCGGGAGGGTCATCAACAACACCGTCGCGGAGACAGTTACCCGGGCGGAGACGATGAGGACGATATCCTCGTTCCCGGAAGCCCCAGCAAGAGCAAACCTCGCCGTCAGCAGGGGTGGCTTGGCAGCATACGACGTGTGTTCAGTGCCGGAGGCGGTGCAGGGCGGCCAGGTCGAGGAGACAAGAGCGCCGCGGGTGAAGAAGGGAGCGGCAGCAGCGGGAGCAGCGTCGGCCCCTCACGCCGGTCACTAGATGGGCAGGACGAAATCTCAACCACCTATGAGCCCCGCGTTCTCGGGCTGTCCAATATCGGAGGCGGCGAGTTGCTGCGACGGAAACAGGGCAGGCGAGGCTGGGGAGTCGACGGTGCGGGGGAGCATGCGAGCGAGAAGACGGCAAGAGGTGAGGCCTCACGGGGACCGGCATATGATGGCGAAGGCGGAGGGCTAGAAGACGACTGGGACATTGAGAAGGAGATTGAGAAGAGGCTGGTGCAGGTGGTGTTCACTGTTCCGCGAGAAAGACTGCGCGTCGTTAACGGCGACGAGACGGACCTCGACCGGCAGGAAGGGGAGGCGGAAATGGTGGACCCGGAAAAGAGGGTCATGCTGTCCGAGGAATCGTCCTCAAAGCCGGAGCCATTGCGCATCCGTAAGCAAATGCCGAGTCTCGAGAAGATCAATACCAACGTGGGACCTGCGGCTCCCCTCGTCTTGGGAAATGCCAAGGGCTCCGGAAGGGCAGACGACCCCTGGTCCCCGGCGCCAGAGCGGACCAGGCCGACGCTGTTGCAGGTGCCCTCGCCAGAAGAGGGCGCGGCACGACGAGGCTCCGGCGGGAGCGGCGATGCCGGTCTAGGAGACACCAGTCCCGGGGGAGAGTCGTTCGGGGACGGTGGGTCGTCGGTAACCGGAGACGGGCGACACTCGGCTACGATTCACACGGCGGAGGCTGTGCGGTTTGCGAGGCCGCGGACCAAGGTGCTGGAGATGGTGGAGAGTTTCGAGACGAAGGGTAGGGAGGGGAGTAGGGAGAGCAGTCCCTCCAAGTCGATACGGAGCGGGAAGGGCAGGTAGCCGGCGAGAAAAGCGAGAGTCTTTTTTTTTTGGGACATCCCCAAAGGTTGTCAGGGATGATGGGATTTCAGGAACGTCATGGGAGGATATTATCTGAAGGGGGCGTTTTTTGTCATTACCGGCTTCTGGATGGCAATGTTTTGTGTATATTCTCAGGTGTTTATCCATGGATTGATATCACTACCTGAAGCAGGTATGAGTTGGTTCATGTAAGTTAGGGAAAGGGATGCAAATATGAGAGCGATTGATATGGGGATGAGAATGCGAATGATTGAGCATTGAGCATCTGATGAGAATTGCTCAATGCCATGTGTGCTTTGATATGACAATGTGGCCCATGTCACTGTTTCCTTCTCCCGTCCCGACAATGTCGAGGGATGAAGATGTTGAACAGATTATAACCAGCAAAAATCACATACGTACAATACGTTGGGATTTTCCTTTTGGCGTTGTGGTGAATTTCTGCTGCTGATAGAAGATGGGTGGTTGATATGGGGGGGGGGAGGGGAAAGAAGACAAAGAAGGGAAAAAAGGACAAAAAAACATACAACACCGGGTATTCGCTGGTCGTCACCGACCCAACTACTAATCCGGCCCTCACTGGCTTATCTAGGGGAGAGCGGACGGGATCCCGAGTTTTCCAGTGGGTATGGTCGTATGTGATAGTACTACAAAACAGATGCTCTTATAAAGCCTTGAAACATAGCAAAAGCGACGGCAATGAAAAGAAGTCGTCTTATGTTCCCAGGGGACGGTTTCTATTTTACGACTTGATCTCGACGAGGTGTAATTCTGGCTTGAAGCGGAAGTGGTGGAAGAAGTCTAAGTATAGACTATCGATTTTTGCTAGGGACGCCTCCCATTGAGTAGGGGTATCCCGCCTGCCTCCTCATACTGACTAGATGGTTACTTTATCAACGTGTCCTTCGCGAGGACTGGAAATTGGTGTCTACTATACGAAAAGTGACTGTCCACGAGAGGTCCTGGAGGGAGAAGATCGTCCTTCTCGCGGCGTCATGCGTCAGTTGCATCTCTTTTGTCTTTGTCATAGTTTTGGCGGAACTCTACCTTGTTGGACCCTGACATATGGCATCTCCACGAAGCAATCCATTAATGATCAGGAGATATCCAAAGACTGGGGCTGACGCACCCATGTTCTGTATTCTACATCCTTTCTTTGGAGGCTCACAGCCAGGGGCCGAATATTAGATGGCCAAGGATCCAGTATCAACAATAATAAAACTCTTCTGGGTCCCTTTATATTTCGTTGGCTCGAGGGCGAATATGGTACCTTCGTTTCTGGACTGGGACGGTCGTTTCACTACGTTTAAGTCTCGCGGGATAGGGATCAATGTCCCGGACCCCCCCCCCCCCCCTTTTTTTTGTCAAGGTCATCTTAAATCGAGGACTCCCCCGAAATTAAAGACGTCGATCCGATCTCTCGAGGCTCTGCGGATCGATCGGGAAATAGAAACCAGCAGATGAACACACCCTTAAATAATACGAAACGAGTCGCAGTGTCGATCGTCCTCGGCGGAGCGGGAAAAGGGGAAACCCCCGAGCCGCGTTGGGATAAATCTTGGCAAATCTATACGATGCATGACGGCAATGACTGTTCTCCGTCGTCTAGTCGAATAATAGTTTTCTACCTACCTATTCCGCAAGCGGAGTATTCGTATTTTTTTCTTTCCCTAGTTCGTTGCGTTCTTTGTCAATCCATTTTCGGATCGACAAAAAGCCCCTCCACCCCTCCCCCCCAGTCTCACAACCCCCGCTTCGACCACGCCCCGTCCGCCAAGACCGCATTCCGTTCGAGAACAGCACCGACGAGGTCTTGTCCAGGGAAGTCCATAATGACGATGCCGGTCCTGCCACGGTGAGACGGCGCCTGCTCCACCAACCAGCGTCCGGTGCGGCCGTTCATGCCGACGACGGATCCGTCGCGCGAGCCGGCCGCGGCCTCGATGGGCAGGACGCCGACCGAGGCGCTGAGGTGGGAGAGGTACAGCGCGTCGTCGGCCTTGCCGGCGGGGGTGGAGCCGTTGGCGGCGCGGACGAGGGCGGCCTCGACGGCGTCCCATTTCAGGTCGAGGTGTTGGAGGCTGGGGATGATCCAGAGGTCTTCGAGGACCATGGCGTCCGAGTCCCATACGAGGCCGTAGCGTCCTGACCCAGGCCTGGGCTCGGGTCCTGACGTCGAATTGCGGGGTTTGCCTTGCTCCACCGAAGAGGACGACGACGAGGTGGCGGTGGGGAAATTCTGCAAGAGCAGAATCTTGCCGCGGAGCGCCCCCAGCGTGGGCAGCGGGAAGAAGCTCTCGGGCATGTAGAAATGGTCCTGCGCGCCGCTGGCGGTGGCGGTGGCGTTGTGGAGGTAGTATGCAAAGGCCTCCTCGAAGGTGCGGTCGTTCTGGCCGTAGGGCCTGCCCTCTTCCTTGAGGCGCATGACGATGGTTTCGCTGGGGTGTTCGTCCAGGAAGCCGAAGACGGCCAGCAGCACGTCGGCGAGGGTGTACCCGGTGTACCTGTCGGCGTGGTAGATGAGGATCGAGTTGTTGGTGAGCCGGCCGCGGACGTCGAGGTAGCGCATGCCGGCCCGGAGCTGGGCGGCCAGGTTGTGGTTCTGGCATTGGTACGTCTCGTCCCAGATGTCGAAGGTCAGTGTGTCGTGGGTGCCGGGGATGGAGAGGCTGGTGAGGTTCGTCTCGTCTGGGAGGGATTGCATCCAGGAGGAGTGGTCGACGTCGACGCGGTCGATGTCGAACGAGTATTCGGAGTGGTAGCCCCTGTAACAGTGGCTCTTGCCGGGGAAGAGGCATGGGTCTAAGGAGAGGAGGGAGGAGAAGAGCACGAAGATGAGGACGACTGTTGTGAAGAGGGAGAAGACGGGGAAGTAGTAGGACCGCTTTGAAATGCCCGTTCGCACCGCCATGCCGGTCTAGGGAGAAAAGAAACAATAAGATAAGAAGGTCTAGAATCAAACTGGATCATCAACAGTTCATCTACATCGCACCATATCGCAAAGATAAACGATGGACATGAGGATGACAACGTGAGGTGGGACGAGATGAGAGAGTTGTCGTTGCTGAACGTTCCGAGATTGAGAGATCTTCCATCAACGCCTCGCTCAGCTCCTCTGGCAAGATTTGTCTTCGGGGAAAGTCCCCTTAAGACAAGATACCTACGAATCTAGTACGATCGTAGTTGCCAAGAAGTAGGAGCGAGGTGCACGAGGCTGGAGGATGGTGTTGCTTGAGGAATACGCAGTTGTGATCCTCTCTGGCCTCGGGTGAGGTAGCTTATTGCTTATTCGTACCTAGGTAGGTACGTACCTTAGTTTACCTCAGCCTCGACGATCAGCTATACGTACCTGACTACAGTGGCCTGACACAAAGACCGAAGCACTTTAGGTAGTCATATCGTGGCGACCGCTTCGGTTATTTAGGCGCTACCACTGTAACCACTGTAGTACCCACAACCGTTGGGTAAACAAGCTCCCTCCCACTTGCAATGGAGGTAATCTGTACACGTGTAGTGTTATTCAGAAACCAATATCCTGAGCGGCACCGTTATAAGGAGATGTAGCCGGAGGGAAACAAAGATGGAATACAAAGGGGTTATTGAGTTGAGAGAGTCTATAGACCACGAGCTTAGCAGGTTGCCCTACGGGCAACGCCGCTAAGCTCGCCCCCCCCCGGACTATGATAACTATCGCCGGTACGTCGGGTATAAATACGGCTACCGCTATACCCGCTACGCCTACGCCCGCCACGCCTACGCCCGCCACGTCCGCGCTTATTGCCCCGCTTATCGCCCCGCCCGTAATAACCTTTAGTAATATCGAAGTGCTAGCTATAATACTCCTTACCGGTATAACGATAGCATAGATGAAGTAGTTAATCTAGTGCTATAAGAATATAATCGCTGCCCTAAAGAATAGTATCCCGGCGGATAATTAAGATAGCTTTTTTTACTTTATTATTTTGTAAAGGGTTTACGGTTATTTTGTTTTTATATTTACGGTGCGGCGGGAATAGGTAGTTTACTTCGTTACTTTATCTACCCTTAGTATAGACTATATAATAAAGAATCCTAAACGTGTTTCTGATTAGCTAGTTACTATTATAGACTACTACGTCCGTAAAAGTAACCGCTAAGAAGAATCTATTAAGACCTTTAGGTATATAATATTAAATATATACCGGCTAATCTACGGCTAAGCCTACCTAGCGCCCTAACCGTTATCGGCCTATAATAAAATAAATAGACTCCTAATATCTATAACCCTTAATATCGTAACGTAAAACTGACTATAAGTAAAGGCGTGCTACTGGAAATCCACGCTAACCGTACTAAACGACTAGCCCTACGACTTATTAATCGTTATCGCGAAATAAAGCCGTAGCGGGAATTAATAGCGGCGGATAATATATAGGTAGTCTTCCTTATTAGAATCTAAGTAGATATAGGGGATAAATATAACCTCGGTAGCGTATAATCCTAATAGGGCTTTTACCTCTAGCATATTCCGCGCTATCCGTAAAATAACTATATATATACTATTATATAAACCCTACCACGGGCTTAGGTTCCGTATAAGTATAACGGGGGCGCCGACCTTTAACTTAATACGTGCTAGCGGGATAGAAGCGAATTATAACTATATTAAAAACTCCGGGGCTAGATCTAGCGTAGGGCCGTTAATATCCTTTACCCGATTAGCGACCGAATTCTCGGCCCGGTAAACACGCGACTAGCTAGGTAAGCGCCCGAGTATCTAGTTATTAATCTCCGTGATAGTAGTATTATAAGTTATTAGAATAACACGGTTAATAAAGACTATATAGTCCGATAACGTTTAATCTAGTAAATTCATCGGGTAAAGGCGCCCGTAAAAATAGACGATATCGTAAAGAGTCGTGATAGTAAGGAAAAGGTTAATAGACCCGTAAAGAGTAGTATTATAGGAGAGATCCCGTAACTATTAAATAAACGCCCGATTATTAGAATCGATAGAGGTAACCCATATATTCTCTATTAGACTAAGGATACAGAGTTACGGCTAGATAGAGGACCGCTAGAAGCAGGTATATATAATCTACGCCCGATTACTATTCCGAATAATAAGTAGAATCTAGGCAAAATCGCCTCCGAAAATAACAGGAATACCGCTAACTAGATTATCGTAGCTTAGTATATCCTGTAATATATAATTAACGGCCTTAAAACAGAACTTATACTATATAAGGACCTTATCCTAAATAATAAGAGTAGTCTCCCGTCATAGTGTTATAAGGTCCGAATTCTTTAGCACGCTATATATAGAGGAGTTATTAACCTATAAAGGGATCTTAAACCGCGAATAAGCCATATAGCTACCCTCAAAAAGAACCGCCGCGATACTAAAGGAGGCTACGTAAAGGATAATCTGCCCACACAACCGGAAATAGGCGTAAAGACCACGATATATAAAGGTCTTACCCGTGCTGTTAGGTCCCTATAAGAAGAAATAACCGCGGCGAGACTATTACGGGCTATGGCCCGCGGAATAGTCCTCGACAGTGGCCGGGACCAGGGAGCACGGACCTCCTAGTAAGGCCCGTACGATCTAACCTATACTTAGCTGCCTACACACCGTGTAGACTTTTCCTTTCCTCCTTTTCTCCCTTAGTTCGAATAAACTATATTTTCGGCCTTACTACGTAAATAACTTTTAATAAGCCGCTATATATTCGAACTTATAAGACTATAAGCTTCGACGCTTATATAGAAAGAGGTCCTAGTCACTTTGCCCCGAGCCTACTAAGGGGCTAAGGGCAGGTTATAGGGACCTTATATAACGAGATCGACGAACGCCTATCATAACGTGTATAGGAAGTAGTAAGGATATATATTGCCCCTATTCACGATATACTCGCTAGTATATAAGCTGCCCTTAAAAGATCTTAAATTAACCTATACCTTGTACCCACCACGTACCCGACGCCTACCCCGGTTATCACGCCCCTGCTCTTACCTAGGCCCCTAGAAGCAGAGACTACTATAACTATCCCACTACTACTACCTACACTCTTATACCGCGTATAGTAGGTTACTATTCCCGCGAAATTTAGTAGAAAATGCACGGAATACACCGCGTAGTCCTAAGCTATACGATTAAAGCTTAAACTCGATAGCCCGCTATTTTATAGTAATAAAAAAGCGTAGTATTTAATTAACGCGTATTTAGATACCTAGCCTTAGCAGGTAGTTAGCACCTTCTTCGGTAATAGAGATATAAACGGCGATTTTAACCCGGAAGACTTTATAGCTTACCTTAACTATATATATAAGGATCGTAACGAATAAGGTCGTGCTATTAACGCCCTTCGATTAATAAAGTAGAAACCCGACTAGCTATTTACACGCTTCTTACTAATATTCGAGAGGAACCTAGTATAGGCAGGAGGCTATAACTAGGTAGACTATATTAAGATATCGTTCCTTAATAGCGCCCTAAATAATAGGCTACGTAATAGCTTAGTAGTAGCCGACCTCCCTAATACCTATACCGAGTAGGTTAATAAAGTATAAAAGATCGCGTAGAGATAAAAGAGTGCTAGTAAGTCGCACTAACTAATTCCCGCCCCCCGTAAACGGGCTAAGGATACCGATAGCGATATTACTATAGGTAGAGTTAATAAGGTCGGCGAGTCTAAGAGGTCCTAGCAGAAACCTAACCGCTACGCGAATATTATATATTAGAGCTACTAGAAGAAGGGCTATATCTAGCGGTACTATAAAAGTAAGAAGGATACGGTGGCCTAAATATCTCCTTAAAAGGAGGAATCCGAAGATATTCCCGAGGATATCGAAGACTCGGAAAAAGAGTAGCTCTAGTACGAAATCGGTTACCGGAGCCGTTAGCGCGAGAGTAATACGAGTAGGAGGAGTTTAAGCCGCTACTACGGAGCGAGTTAGTATTAATCTAAGTAAGAGTTAATAATAGTAGGTTAATAAACGCTCTTATAGATACGGGTTATAACTACTATACTACTATAAATAAGAAGTTTACTTAAAAGATACGCCTATTATTAGTCGATAAGAAAAAACAACTACTAAAAGGCTTCTCGGATAAGACTAAACCGGCTAGTAGCGCTAGTACTATAGTCTTTATACTAGATTTATAAGGGTATACTAAGCGCGTTTTCGCGTATATAATACTAGGTCTAGACTAGAATCTTTTTCTTAGGCTTTCATAAATAAAACGTAATGATATAGTCTTCCATGCTAAGGAATAAAGGCTCCGCCACGAAGTAGCCGATATCGATATCCGACTTTAAAATAATGAAAAGCCGAAAGTAGTATAAGAGATCTGTATTATAGTATTAGTAATAGGGTCCGTGTTTATAAGACTATACCGACGATTATAATACCGGAAAGAAAAAAGATTAGAAGAAGGCCTACGGGCTATATCGTTAAAGGATATCGAAAAGGCTCTAAGTATAAAAGAACTGGTAGACCCGCGGGAATATATCCCTAAGAGTATAATATAAGAGTTCGGCGACTTATTTATACCTTTATACTCTATACGCCTACCCTCGTACTAACCTAGCGCTAACTACGAGGTCCACTTATAGAAGGATAGTAGTAGTAACGAATAAGCCTTACCGTGGGGCCTACTCTATAATATATTACGTGAAAAGCTCCTCGTATTACGGAAAATAATAACGGACCTAATAGATAAGGGGTTTATTCGTGCGAGTAGCTTAGCTACCGCTATACCTATACTATTTATAAGAAAGCTAGGAGGCGGCCTCTGATTTTACTATAATTATCGCGCCCTAAATATAATTATCTAGTAAGATCGCTACCTACTCCCCCTAATTATAGGGATACTATATAACCTAGCTAAGGCGAAGTAGTTCACTAAGTTAAATATCGTTACCGCCTTCTATAAGATACGGATAGCGCCCGAGTATAAGTATAAAACCGTATTCCGTACGCGGTTTAGGCTACTCGAGTAGCTAGTATACCCCTTCAGGTTAACCGGTGCGCCCGCGATATTCTAGCGATATATTAACTTATCTTTACGGGAGTTCCTTAACGATCTTGTCTCTATATATATAAATAACGTCCTAATCTATTTAGACGGATCTTATAAGGACTATAAGGAGAAGGTACGGTGAGTACTCCGCGGTCTTATAAACGCTAGGCTAAACCTTAATCCGAAGAAGTGTGAGTTTAGCGTTAAGACGGTTAAATACCTAGGGTTTGTTATCACAGCGGAAAAAGGGGTATCTTACGACCCTAAGAAACTTAAGGCTATCGCAGAATAGGAGGCCCTAGTTACCGCGACTAGGGTACGAAGTTTCCTAGGGTTCGCTAACTTCTATAGGATATTTATCCGCGACTTCGTAACTATCGTAGCGCCACTTATAGCCCT